GTCTTATATATTTCGGACAGGTTATATGTTCTTATAAATAGTTATATGACCCTATATAAATGAGCATATAACTTTTTATAAAAGGTCATAAAACCCATTATAAATATTCATAAAACCTTTTATAAATGTTTAAATAACCTGTTATAAATGGTCATATAACCTTTCATAAATGATCTTATTAAAACTTTTTATAAATGGTCATATAACCTGTCACAATTAGTCTTAATTTTTTATAAATGGTTATATATCCTGTCATAAATGGTCTTAACACCTGTGTTATAAAGGTCATATAACCTGTTACAAAAAAAACTTTGTAAAACACATTATAACACTGCCCATTTTTTTCTTCTTTTACTTAAATTATAAATCAACCTTAACCACACCGCAAATCTCAAATGGACAAGTCCATCTTTCAATCTGAGCAAAACCATTCATCATTTTTAGGTAAAATTTAAAAATGAGTACTGACTGTATAGGGAAACAGAGACTTTTATCAGATGGCATGGCAGTGCAGGCTGATATTTTCAGTTTTCCGCCACCAGGCTAAAGGTTAATGCATATTTTTGCAGCTGTCATGTATATAATACAATACCAGTGATATTGATATCTCAACCGTCCAACGAAAATCAGTTTTACAAAAAGTGCAGTATTATAAATATTGCTTTAGAAACAAACATTCACCCAATCTCTATATTTACTACGAAACCAAAATACAAATAATCACCAAAATAACTGGTAATATTATTATCATTTGTTAATAAATGTATATATACACATGTTAATTATTCCAATTCAAATCCAAACACTCAAACTGTTAGCTACGGAAATCTGTAACAATTACTGGCTCACTTTTGCAGAATATAATTTGAATAAAATATTGAAAAACTGTGTACTAATGTAGTCATCATCAGTCAAAAATTTCCCTCAACAAAGGATAATAGTCTGTTTATCTTTGAAGAGTTCAGGCATAGAAATTTTGTTTTAATTATAAAATTTTATAAAAATTTTAACTAACATTACTGAGTAATAATCTTAAATTTTAGTACAATTATTCATATAAATTGTACATACACAAGTAATGAAATTATATAGCATAACAAACTTTGACTGGATTAAAATATATGCAAGAATTTTGGTATAAATTTCTCTGTAGATAAGGCAAATTTTAGTAAAATAAAAAGCTCAGAAAAAAACACTGGATATATAACAAGTTATAATACCGTACTAGACAATGTGACTGTAGGACAAAAGCATTGGTGACACCAATGCCAGTACACTGATGAATATACGACACAGTTAATGAATTATCCCTATGATGAAAACATAGGAAAAATCATTTCTATCCACAGTGACCTATTCAAATGTTACAAGTTAGTGTAAGGTATCCACATATCTATAGTGACTTATAGGCCCATTGGGCCGGGTGTTTAAATACCTTGATTAAAATATTTGTATATATTTTTATTGTAAATGACACATGTCACTTTAATAAACAATTTACTTACTTATTTTAGATCCTTAAGACATGGGTCAATAAATGAAGATTTTACATTGTATGACCTACTTTAAATTTTAATGACCTTGAACCTTGACCCCAAATTGAAGGACAAACCAGTCACCAGCATACATTCCCCTGAAAATCTAAGGGAGAGCTTTATAACAACAGAACAATATGTTTTGCATCAATTGTAGCAAGTTATTTCCCATAGGGCGTCCATTTTCATTTATATGATTTACATGGTAAACACAATTTAAATTTTAATACAATAATATAATTACTACATAGATATATACATATAAACATTTTATGATATATATACAATTAAAAAATATCTTCTTAAAAACCACACTTCACTCAATGCATGCTCTATGAACATATAGTAACTTCACTATATACAAATAAATCAAGTCCAAATTTGGAGCATATTATTATTTACATATATGTATATACAACATGGTAATATATAAGTACTGAAAGTAGCTTTATGATGCAAACAGAGGATATTGAATGAGTGTAGATTTAATACTAAATTTGTGGAACAATTTGAATAAAAACATATTATGTAAGCCTCTCAGGCTATGGCAAACAAAATATTGTTTTATTCAACAAGTCCAATAAATTTAGTATTGAATATGCACAAATGTAATTTTCTGTTTAATACATATCTGACATACTAACAGTAAAAAAAAGTCAATTTTCATTGCCGCGCTTAAAGTGTCATTTTTCATTGACATGCCTATAGTGTAACACTAAAATTTACAAGCTTTGAAGTTACGTTTGTATAAAATGCACATAATGTCATGTCAATATGATATTACACTAGTGTAATATCTTCTTTATTACATGGCTTAATTACACTCAAGCACCATGGCTTATGTGATATTTAGATGATATTGAATGAGTGTAGATTAAATATAAAATTTACTGAACCAGTTGAATTAAATCATATTATGCAGTATATAGTTAAAAAGGAATTATTTTTCATTGACGCGCCTTTAGTGTAACTAACATGCATTCACTTAAACGTTATGTTTATAAATATAAAACGCAAATGATGTCATGTCAATCTTTTATTACACTAGTGTAATATAATTTTAATTAAATGGCTTTATTACACTCCTATGCCATGGTTTATGTGATAAAGTTACTCTTTGTAATAATTGCATATTATCCTGTAAAAGTGACATGTATTTACAGCCTGAGAAAAGTAATGGTTATCTCTATGGTAAAGACAGTGTGTAAATAATGTACATATCAGCAATCATGTCTTTGGATTTACACAAATCAATTTTTTTTTGCATGATTTACACAAATCAAAATGCCTTTTACATGATTTACACAAATCAAATGTGTCTTACATGATTTACACAAATCAAGTGTTTCTTACATGATTTACACAAACCAAATGTGTTTTACATGATTTACACAAACCAAATGTGTTTTACATGATTTACACAAACCAAATGTGTCTTACATGATTTACACAAATCAAATGTGTCTTACATGATTTACACAAACCAAATGTGTTTTACATGATTTACACAAACCAAATGTTTCTTACATGATTTACACAAATCAAATGTGTCTTACATGATTTACACAAATCAAATGTTTCTTACATGATTTACACAAATCAAAACTACTTTTACATGATTTACACAAATCAAATGTTTCTTACATGATTTACATAAACCAAATGTTTCTTACATGATTTACACAAACCAAATGTGTCTTACATGATTTACACAAATCAAACATTTCTTACATGATTTACACAAATCAAATGTTTCTTACATGATTTACACAAACCAAATGTGTTTTGCATGATTTACACAAATCAAAATGCCTTTTACATGATTTATACAAAGCAAATGTTTTTTACATGATTTACACAAATCAAAACATCTTTTACATGATTTACAAAAATCAAAAGTCTTTTAAATGATTTACAAAAATCAAGTGTCTTTTACGTGATTTACTTAAATAAAAAGATTTGACAAATTACAAGAATTTCTTTTCACATGTTGTAACATGGTAAGTTTTTGTATCATAAATAAACATATATTTATTGTTATATCCCTAATCTTCATTGTTTCTGAATACAGAATAAAGCATTGCTTTAGCTTAAACACTAAACACTTCTAGAAAAATCACTGTTCCTATTACATTTAATAACAAAACAAATTTAGTGTAACAATCATAGCATTAACAATCTTATAGTTTTATCATACCTTTATACAGTAAAAAAATACAACTACATGTATAAGTTTTAACTGCTGAAAAGATAATGTCACACCTGTCTAGCTAACTTACAATCAAACTTCAACAATTCTTCCACTTTCTAAATTCCAATTTTTTTTCATAGATCTTCCACTATCCAAAAATCCACAATCAAATCTGTAGTGAATCATAAATTGTATATATATTTAATCATAAATGTCCCTAAATGAGACAATAATAAAGAGAACTATAATCAAATATTCTCACGGCTGTTGATTGTCACCAGACTGTCTTTATTCCAAGTTAAATATATCCTGAAAAAAATATCATACTTGTTTCATCTATTATTAACTTAACATTACAAAACAACTTAAGGACATAAAGGATACTTATTGTGAGACAGTTGATATTTCTACTCAGAATCTTTTTCAATCACAAAAACTTAAAGTTCACTTATCCTGAAGTAACAACAAAAAGGATATAATTGTCTTTTGATAACACTGATTGGGACATAGGGCCATCCTTAAAAAAATGTTTGTTTGCAGTAACGCGACCAACTCACAAAATTTGCCCCTACTCAAATTTTTTTTTCATGGTCTGGATATTTTTTTTTTTTTTTAATCAGAAAGTTATGCCTTGTGCTTTGTTTTCGTTCTTTTAAAAGTTAATAGAAGAAATAAAATGTAGTTCTTATTAAATTAGAATTCATTATTTAATTTATTAATTGTTACCAGATTATCAAAGCATATATTGTCCAGCATTTTGAAATTCCATGTTTATTTGGGAGAACAGTTCAATAAAAAAAAAAAAAAAAAAAAAATCGACCTACCTACCCACCTTAAAAATTCTGGGTCGGGTTACTGCAAACAAACATTTTTTTAAGGATGGCCTAGTTGTTATTTCAAATCAGATCTATTTCAATCGTAGATTCCAAAATCTGGATACAGTTAAAATGGTATTAGTTTTACAAATCTGTGGACATAAGTAAACAAAAAATTACCAATTTCTCTGCATGTGACCAACTATATAACCCATATAATTTCTTAATCAGTGATGCAGTACAAAGGTCCATTAGACTCAATGGTCTGAGATCAATTGTCAGGGAGAAATTCACCCAGTGTGAGAATCAACCCAACTTCATACATACAAATCACATGCTCATCCATATACTTTTTTCCTTTTCCATTGAACTAAGCAGTCCGAAAATCAAATCTTCAACTGATTGTATAATAACTACAAGATATAACTATATCCAGAATTCTCTATTCTTACCAATAATGTAGAATTAAGTCTGCGACAACCTTGATCAATGACGGTTCTTCATATATTCTGAGCACTTGGCAGTCTCTGTTACCTGAGCTTGCTGTAGCTCTTGTTCTTTCTGTAAAAACATATAACACCATGTTATTATTCTACATTCATTACAAACCATATAATACCATATTATTCTACATTTATTTAACCCATTACTTCATGAGCATTTTGTGAAAAATGGCTGTTTTCATTGAAAAGTCTCCCATTACAAGTTCAAATTGCTATAATACTATAAAAAGTGATTCAACACTAATCAAACTTGGCACAACTGTTGACTGGACCATTGCCCTTGCAACAACATGCTCAGGCTTAAATTTTCTGTTACATATCAAAATTGCCAAAAGTCACTATTTTGCGTTGATTTTTTCCATCAAAATGATTTCAAAGTGCTGCAACTTCTCAATGGATTGAGATAGAGTCAAAGGCTTTTCAGCGTTGGTTACATGTTACCTTTTGATCAACCTGGGGTCATTTTAAGCCTCTCACAAGTCCAAAATTTTCCTGGCGATGAGGGGGACTCTGCCCTCTTCAAACCCCCCAAAACAGAAGGGTGCACATCCCCCTTTTGGCAACCCCCTGATGTCTCTTTTGGATGGGGGACGGCGCCGAAAAAGTGCTCACTTTTTTTAGCAACATTTCTCAAACATGTGTTTGGGGCCCAAATAGGATATTTTTTCACTATTTCAGGCCTAAATAAAGGGAGGGGGGGGGGGTCAAAGTGCATTGTTTCTTGTATATATGAGGTAAAGGGTTAAAAAAAAACATATTATTATTCTACATACATGTATATTTAAAACCATATGTTGTTCTACATGCATTGTATATTAAAAACAAAGTAATTATTCTGCATATTATTACATAAAAAAATATAATACCATATTATTCTACATTAATCAAATACCATATAATAATTATTATTTGACATATATCAAAAACCATATTATAAATGTGGGTTTAATTTGAGAAATTTGTAGATATGGCAGTTCAGGACCTTGGCCCTTACCTTGTGCCCTATACTTGGGGTGCCAAATGAAAATATACAAGCATATATTAGGACTTTATTTTAGAATATTATTGGATATTCAGTAATCAGTAAATTACCAGAGCTATCTGCATCTGTACAGCCTGTAACTTTACGCTGAGTTTCTCATCCTCTGTGCTCGCCTTCTTTGCTTTCTGCTCCAACAGGTTAAGCTGTGTTGTCCTAGCAAAATAATACATAATTAATACATAAAATTCAAATAAAATACCCTTATACAAAGTTAAGGTAGGCCACCCCTTATGCATTACCTTCACTTTGAAGAGTATTTCAAATAGGCTAGCATCACTGTCAACTGCAATGAAACTGAGGGGCGTGGGTTCAAACCCCAGAAGGTGCAACTTTTTACCTTTCTTTTTTGTGGTGTTATAAGTTTGGAGTTGGTGAACCATAGATCAAGTTCCATGCCATGTGATCAAGGTCTGCAATATTTCCTATTCTATTCTATCAATACTTTTTTAGATACTATATTTTTAATTCCCCCCACCCTAAAATTGATGCATGGATTTGTCTGTATTGAAAGATGGACAAGTCCATTTAAAATAGCATGGTAACTGAAAAGAAAGTCATACACATTCAAGCAAAATCCTTTCACTACAAGCACTTTTTTTAACCAACTTTAATTCAAATCTTAAACAATTTTAATATATGTCCAAGATCTTTAAATTTCAACTTTCTACCTCTCTATCCAATGTTCATGGGTTTAAGCATGACTTGTGTTTTACCAAATGATTTCTCACATGGCATAAGTCTTGGTTAAGACACAGACATACCTTAACTTTCAAAGCCTTTTCCAAAATCCAGTTAGAATAGATATGAGCCGCATCATGACAAAAACCAACATGATGGGTTTGCGACTAGCATGGATCCAGACCAGCCTGCTCATCCGCTCTGATCAGGTTCAACACTGTTTGCTATCAGTTTCTCTACTTGTAATAGAGTTGGAAAGCAAACAGCATGGATCCTGATCAGACTGCGCCGATTCACAAGCTAGTCTGGATCCATGCTGGTCGCAAACCCATTATGTTGGTTTCGTCATGACACGGCTCATATATACACTTAACAAAAGTTCTAACCAATCACTTTTTAAATTTTAATTATTTTATAGCGGTCAATAGATCCTTAAACAATTTTGCAGAGGTGATTTCTGTGTCATTTTCTACCGATTTGTGGAAAGAAAATTAATCTAATACGGTTCCATGCACTCGCGCGTGAGACCAGGGTTGTCATTTACATTTTTTGCATAAGGTTTGTTTTGAACTTGAGGCGGTCATTTCTGTCTTTATCAAGCATAACAAAGAGTGTTTTCTTAATTTTGAGGCGGCCCATAATGCATTTGAGACAGGCATTTTGGCCCCTTCCGCCTCTTAATGACAACCCTTGGAGACAGGGCGCGGTTTACACATTTTGGCACGAAATGTTCGTGCAGAGCATGGTGAGTATTAAATTTTACATTGCATAAATCTTTGTTGACTTTATAAGTGAAAAAACATAAAACATGGCACGAATGTCGATGCAGGATCGTGCCTTAGCAGTTGGAATGTTGAATGCTGGAGCCTATATCAGACAGGTGAGTGGTTGTTCATAAAAATATTTTTTTAAAATATCGATAAAGTATTTTTTAAACAGAAAATGTTATAATTTTATTATTCTCAATGTGTTCATTCTCTTCGAAATAAAATAAAAGTCAGATCTATTGGTATAATTCTTTTTCATATAAAAGCGAAAACTCAGGGTGTTCGGTTACAACTTTTGTTCAGTGTAGTCAACTTAGTGCATAACTGGTTAACTCCTATTAAATTTAGAAGGAGTTAACCAGTTATAGCATTAAGGTGACAATATATAATAACAAAACTTTTATCAGCATTTCATCTGTCTTTGTTTTAATTCATTATTTATACTGCCACAAATTTAGTGCCAATCAATATCAGAAACACGGAAATCACAGAATTTTCTTACCATAATGAGTAGGACTTCTCGTAAGCAGTTAAGGGGGAAGAACTCTTTTTGTTCGTTTTTTGTTCAGCATCATCCTGCTGTGTGAACCTACTGGGTACCCTCTGGGCGCTGGGTAAAGGAGGCCCTTTTAGTGGCGTCACTGCTGTTACTGGTACAGTTTTCGTAGCCTGTAGTATTATAAAACAAATTAGTTATTGTAAATGTATCTTTAACCAAAAAGCATTAAAGGCGTATTAAGCCTCAGAAATGCTTTTAATGTTTTATTTATATTTCTGAAAAGGTTTTTAATTTTGGTGTACTCATTGGCCAGTTACATGAACCATCTTTATCATCTGCTGCTATTTGGCAATCAGTGCATTTACAGTGAATATGCAATTTGTATGGAAGTCAAAATATTTCTTTGTTTGCATTTGGATAAGTTTATGACAAATCATTTCACATTTATCACTACTTTCTTCAGGCAACAAGCATCTAACATTCTATCTAACTATTATTGAAACATTATAAAAATTCATGTTTGACCTTTCTCAAGAAATAAAAAAAAAGAACTATATTTGTTTCTGAGGTATATGTGTCTTTGAAGCACACTTGCATTAGTCCCTCATTTCTAGCATCCTAACTTACACTCGGGCGTTAAAATCCTCACTCAATCAGCAACAGCTTAACACAAGCATAAGTATCATCACCCTAGCATTTTAAACTTTTCACTTACATCAGTAGATTTAATAATGTTACAGCCCAAAACTGACATGATACACAAATGTATTTTTCTGAATTGTTTTGTACATTTGTACAACAAGCATAACTGATAAAATATGCAAAAAGCTGAACAGTAAAAGCTTATCAATTATTACACATTTATAAAGAAAAAAACCTGTTATCCTCCTCAACAGAAATAAATATTCATTCATTTCTGAGGCTTAAAGGCTCTCCACTGACGGTTTTTTAACATGACAGGACTGAAAATAATTTAAAGAGATTAATGTTCCATTTGATAATGGTCTAGACTAGTTACTTGTGTGCAAAATTTCAGCTAAGTTGCTCCCTCTGTTTTTCCATAATGATTATTCTACCCGGAATATTGACTCCAACTTTGCAACACCTTTCACTCAAATTCACCAAACAAAAGCACAAAAATATGATTTTCAAAATATTTCCAATTTCTTAGTTTATTTCTTAATTTTTATTTGTATTTTTATTTCTGCGATAAGCACCCAAACTGATCTAAATAAAAATGCCAAATTTTATGTTTTTGTGCTTTGGGGATTCAGAGGATTCCCTTTAATGTGCCTTTTAACAAATCACTGTTCTGAAAATAAGAAAATAACAAGCAATTATCTTAGTATTGCAAGCAATCCATAAGTCCCCTACCGGTAAGAGCCCAAGCAACATTCTGAAGGGCCATTGGTCATTCACTTATGTTCCTATTTTAAGTAAATTTGTTGAAAAAGTTCTTTAAAAGTGATCACAGGAAACAGTTTTTATGTACAGACAGACGGACTGAAGGACACTCTAAAATTATTTTTTAAACATCCCTGTTATCAAAATATAACATTTTTAAAATCCTATCATGATTGAAGAAGTTGGAGTAAAAATTACCAATTTCTCAAAAAAAAGTCTAAGTTCAAAAGGGGCATAATTCTGGAAATAGTCTTGCTAGAGTATTGAACACTCACAAATGTTGAGTGATAATAAGAAACATTTATATGAAGTTTGAAGTAGATACATTCAGAAAAAGAAGTTATTTAAAAAAAAACAATGTTTTTTCATGAAAATTTTAAGTTCAAGGGAGGTAATTCCGATAAATTTTGTGCTAGAGTTGTAAACCTTGTCACATATGATGTGGTTGATGACAAGCAACTTATATTTAAAGTTTGAAGAAAATACCTTAAGAAATAAAGAACTTATAGTGAAAAAACTTAAAAACTAGAATCAGAAATCTTGAAATTCAGTCTATTTGTTGCCATAGCAACCAGAATTTTCAACATAGGAAGATAAGAAAAGGATGTGCATAATTTCCATACTGCCATCTACCCATATGTCAAGTTTCATAAACATATTTTCAGTACTTTTTGTGTTATCAATGGATCCAGGTTATGTGTAAAATTTGCCATATTTTCAGTCTATTTGTTGCCATAGCAACCAGAATTTTCAACATAGGAAGAAAAGAAAAAGACATGCATAATCTCCATACTGCCATCTATCCATATATCAAGTTTCATTAAAATATTTTCAGTACTTTTTGCGTTATCGCGGGATCCAGTTTTGTGGACGAATGGACTGACGGACGGACAGACGGACGGAGGGTAAACCTAAAGTCCCCTCCGGTAAACCGGTAGGGGACTAAAAACTACATTTGAACAGCATGGATTCTGATCAGACTGCACGGAGGCGCGGGCTGGTCTGGATCCATGCTGGTCGCAAACCCATTATGTTGGTTTTGTCATGGCGCGGCTCATATACTTACATCATCATCGGCAGCATTCTCAGCCTGTATTGCCGTCTGCTGGGCAGTTTTAATGCCGCGGGAAATGGGACCGTATTTAGATATGATGGGGGACCCTTCTATAAATGGGATATCATCTTCCTCATTCAAATTCATGAATCCTGAAAATAAAAAGAAACAAAAATATAAGTTAATTTAAAAACATTAAGCTCCTGTCCAGAAAAAAACCCCATATAATTTTGCACCATCAAATACAATGTATATATTTGGTTTTCAAAATAGATACATGTATATGGTTCAGAAAATCAGATTTCTGAAATCCTGAGAAAAACAAAACAACAACATTTCTGATGAATAAAATACTTCTGTACACAGATTCTAAAAAATGTTACTAATTGTAAAATAAACAAAATTTCAGAACAATTTCAGAACAAAATTTCAGACAAATATATCTGATTACTATTTAAGATAAAAAGACTTTTCTTCTAAAATGCATTAAAATTTCTATAACTTAAATTCCTGTATGCTGGTTTCATTGGTTACTCAATAAGCTCATGATGGGGAAAGTAAATTATTAATAGTTTGAGTCAAGCAAGATTTGTACCACTGTCAAGTTAAATTAAATACATGCTCCACCATTGTTTGCTATCACTTATTCTTGACTGGAAATTATATTAAATTACTAACAATAATTGCTAAGACATTCGTACATTTACAGATTCAAGCTATAAATAATTATTTTTTCTGGGTATTGCCAGGAAAAATATTCAAAATCTTACCGCATGTACAATGGCATTCCACTTAATTTTACATGGGTGGTATGGCTGTACTACTAACAGTCAAGGTCATTTTGAGGTCAATGTCATATTTAAATTATTAAACATGTCAGAATTATCATAAGAGTTGCTTTGTACAAATTTGTTTGAACCAAATCAGTGAATAAATGACAAAGTTGATATCACAATTTAAGCAGAATTCAATGACTTGACCTTGACAGTCAAAGTTATTCAAAGGTCAAGATTTATAATCAAATCATATAACATGTTTATTTGGTCATGTGCAAGCATTTAACAAAATCCAATAATTGGAATGCCAAGGTCAAGTAATTAATAGTTATAGCAAATTAAGGAAAGTTAACAAGCAAAATTCAATAGTCAAACCTTCAAGGTCAGTTATGAGTCGAGGTCAAATTCAGTTAAGTCTTCTTATGAAGGCAAAACAACTCATAAGAATCATATTTATTTCACACTTTTATAAAAAATCAAGCAATTTTTTTAAAATTTGACCATCAAGGTCTTATAAGAGTCACAGTCAATTTCAATCTGGTCTTAGAGAAAGTCTTGTCCAAAGAGACTATGTATGAGGGTATTCCATTGAAATATAAGAAAGCTATGATTCATTTTAAAGTTTTCAAATAACAATAACAGGGAACAACACTATGACTTTTAACTTTTTTAAAGAAACAAATCTGAGCAATATATGATTTGAAAATACGTACGTGAAAATGAAGGTTGTGACTGCATATCAGAAGATGTGTAAAATGTTGCAGCTGAAGAGGAACCGTATATCTGAGAAGAAGAACGGTAAGATGTTGAAGACGACATGCTCATGGTCGAACCCTGATTAGACGGTGTTGTTGGCCAGTAACTTGTCGTTGGACCACAAGCTTCTGCTGGCGGTTCATAACTTGTTGAATACTTCATAGGCTGACTTCTAGCCGTATATGAAGCAGTGGCCATTTGTGACGGGCTAACTGTATATGACGACACTGTTGCAAGCATTTGAGAGCTTCGTACAGAAGATGGCAATGACGCAGCACTTACGACAGTACTTCCCTCATAACCTCCAGAATGGTTAATAGGCAACCCTGCATTTACAGAGCTGTTAACTTGTACTGACGACCTTGAACCATAATACCTTGTATCTGAAGAAGTGCTTGTCTTATTTGAATCCGGCTGACCGTATGTTGACGTATAAGTGCCGTTCACTGATTCAGCCCTATGACTACTGGCAATGTTCTTAGACCTATGAGAAATAGGATCATAACTGCCCGAGGCCTTCTCCGACATAGCCTTCAAACCACAATAAGAGTTGTTGACAGAGGCCGGACAAGGGGTGCTGGGAGGGGTCGTCAAAGGAGAATCCAAATTTTGAGTAACATCTTTCCAATATGGAAAATCCTGATCTACATTACTCCAATTTGAAGAACTATTGGCCTGTAAGTAAAAAGGAGCATATATTTTTATTACAGGTTGGCAAAAGGAAAAAGCAAATGTGACTGGAAAAAGTCCTACCACCTATCATGCATATTGGATTCTTACTAAGGACATAAAGGACCACCAGCTTGCAAAGAAATCATCTAATAACTATAAACCACTCAGCCAAAGAATGGATTCACTGACACAGTTGTTAGAGCTTTTATTAATAGCAATTAAGGTAGTTATTGGTAGACTAGCTTCAGAGGATATTAAAAGCCTATTTGTGCATATAAAGAGACAAAAAAAACAAAACAATTTACATAAAAATTCTATCAAACTGCTGGTAATAATTCAGATTTCTGAACATGGTTGACTTTAAACTTCATAAATAAAGGGCATGAATATATAATGAATGAATCTAAATCATGGTTACAGAAATTATAGACTATACTTAGGTACAAATTGTTTGACATTACCGTGCTCTTATAAGTTGTTTTACTGTTGGACTCGGATGAAGCAGCCTGACTTGCGAGAGCCTCTGTCTGATTGGTTTCTACAGTATTGTTCTGATACTCTGAAAAATTGTTACAATTTATTATTATCTACATACTGTATATATATATAAAAACAACTAGACCTATCACTGAAGGTGATTAATACCCCCACCAGCAACTTTGACTTTTTGAAAAAAAGTAGTCTGAATAAAAATTTGAACACAAATTGTCAACTGTGTACAAAGGAATATTTCAATTAATTGTAATCACAACTGGGGTCTCGAAATAAGCTTGCTATACACCAAGTTTGATTACAAAATCTCATTCCTAACTCTAGTTATTGTCCGGCAACCATTTTTCTATTTTTAGTAACTGTGACCTTGACCCTAGGGGGGCCAAATGCAATACCAACCCAGGTCTTCATATAAGCTTCCTATACACCAAATAAGATTACAATATCTCATTCCTAAGTCAAGTTATTGTCCGAAAACCATTTTTCTATTTTTTGTAATGGTGACCTTGACCTTGACCCAAGGGGGCCCAAATGCAAAACCAACCAAAGTCTTCATATAAGCTTGCTCTACACCAAGTTTGATAACAATATCTCATTCCTAACTCTAGTTATTGTACGGAAACAATTTTTCTATTTTTAGTAACACTGTAACGGTGACCTTGACCCTAGGGGGTCCAAATGCAATACCAACCCAGGTCTTCATATAAGCTTCCTTTACGCCAAATTAGATCACAGTATCTCATTCCTAAGTCAAGTTATTGTCCAGAAACCATTTTTCTATTTTTAGTAACAGTGACCTTGACCCCAGGGGGTCCATATGCAATACAAACCGGAGTTTCCACATAAGGTTGCTATATACCAAGTTTGATTACAATACGTCATTCCAAACTCTAGTTATTGTCCGGAAACCATGATGTGGACCGACCGACCGACAAGCTGACTCCTATATACCCCCCCCCCCCCCTAAACTTCGTTTGTGGGGTATAACTATTTAAGACCACTTTAGAATTCAGACCAACTTGTTGTTTGTAGGACTGACTTTCACAGACATTTTTTGTTACATTTTTTTATTTGAATGGTCACAGGATCCTATTCATATATTTATGGCATGGTTATAAATTCTATTGTCAGAATTATGAGTTGGAGACAGAATCCTATCAATTTTTTTTCTGGAAATATCAGTGACATGGGATAAGCAATTTGTTATTGTCAGAACTAAATTTAGCCAAATCATTCCACTCTCTCTTTGCATAGTGTAGTTAAAACACCTAAAACTTAGGATATTCAACATATCTTCCACTCATATAAGCCAATACTCAAATATCTTATAATTATCATAAAAATACCATATTTAATCTTTAAATATTATAAGCAATAACAGACCAATGTCACCATTATAAATCAGGTTCTGTATCCACTTCTACTTCTTCATTGCTGCCTGTTCATATTTTAATATTTTTATAATAAAATCCCTTATAACTATACTTGAATTGGTTCAAATTCGATCCAAAAACTTAACCAAATAGTTTCACCAATGACAATACCAATGCCTACAAGTGGGTTATGACAATAGCTCCATTTTTTTCTTCAAAAAAAGATAAGGCATAATTTACTCCAACTTCTTGACATTCGGACTAGCTCTATACTGGTGGCAAATGCCAGTTTAACGTTTCTTTTGGTTCAAGCAGATGGAGGGTTTAAATAACATCAAAACTACAAACCTGAGTATTTGAGAGTAGCAGCCGTCCATGAGGCTATAATGCTGTCATTGACAGATCGAGGGGGTACTCCAGAAATAGCTCCTAGTCTCTCAAATATCTCGCCGTTAGATGGTGCTATTTTCTTTAAACTAAAGGGACCAGTATCGAGTGGTTCAGGATGTTTTAACGTACTGGCATATACCGTAGCTTCTTTAAGGGTAGCAGAATCAAACTCTTTAAAGTCTACATGATCAAATCTGAAAAAGCAAACAATATATTTGATATAGAAACTATAGAATATATAGAGGATATTCAAGTTTTTTCTATAAATACATGATTTATTTTCATCGAGTGGTATGAAAATAAATATTTCATGAGTGGCGGTAGCCACGAGTGAAATATGGTAATTTTCATGCCACAAGATGAAAATAAATCATGTATTTATAGAAAAAACTTGAATTTTCTGTTTATTATATACATTTTCTCTTTCTGGACATTAAAATTTGAAAGACTTTCCCTTAAATTTTGAGTACTGGCAGAATTTAAAAGAAAGTAGTCCGGCAAGACACCAGTGAAAATACGGAAAATATGTTTCACTGCAGTGAAAAATAAATTTTTACAGTGAAAATACGGAAAATGAAAATACACATTTTATTTCATCAATATTTCTCAATATTTCATTTAAAAGTATATAATAAACTTGTATATCAAATTTGAAAATTAAAAAATATCAATTGAAGGTCAAGGTCATTTATGAATAAAAGTCAAGGTTTGTCTTGTCTACTTGAATGAAAAAGACCATAATCAAAATGAATATATTTACCTGAATAAATTAGGCAAGCTTTCCGACAGCTCCTCTAGTTTGTGTTCATGTGCTGTAGCCTCCTTGTTGATCTCCTGTAGTTGTTGTATCAATGAATTGCGTTTTTCTCTCAAATTGTTCAATGATTGTCTCTGTCAAAGAAAAAAAAACATTTCCAAGTTTATGACAGAGAAAAAACATTTCCAAGTTTATAAATCAATCTGCAATGATAAGAACAGTCTAAACCTAATTATATATCCGTTTTTTATATTTAATTTGCAGCAATACTGTTAAGGTCATATGGCTGCTTTCGAACTTTTGGAGCGAAACCACCCATATCCCTCCATGATTTATTTCAGTGTATTACAATTTTTGAAATATTCTTAGTCTATTCATGCCAATGCAACCAAGTTTCTCAATATAGGAACAAACTTAAGATGATGCACATGATCTCTGTAATGCCAAATATCCATGTTTCCATGAAATTCAAGAAAATATAGAATAATTGTAGAATAAACTTGGTGCCGATGGATATACTAAAGGTTAGAAAAACTACTAGTCACCCATACCAATGAAATTTAAGAGTATTCTTCAAGTTTTGTTAAGAACAGAGAGCTAATCATTATTTATAGATTAGAATAATCAATATAAACAACTTAGTAACTTAAAGATTTCAGGTTGGTGTTAATTTGCAGAAAATGAAAGAAATTACATTTCCGGAGACTGGTTTTTGTCCTTAAAATAGCAATAAGAAAAAAACCTAATGATTCACACCATTGGTCAACAATAAACTTATGTTATTTCTATGTTTAAATAATCAGTTTTGTTTTTTCTTTCAAAGCACAACAGAAAAAAACTTACATAAAGTTTTGCATTTGGCTCCATCATCACAGGTATTGGTGGAGTTTTTGCTGTGCTCAAAGCTGTTGATGATGATGATATCACCTTCACCGACTCCTGTAGTATATATACATATATATTGCATTATAATACTGAACATTTGTGATGTCGCTTTTCAAAATTGTGACATTTATATAGTTTTATATACACAGGTGCTGTTAATTTTTAAAGATATCTAATTTTTTTCTCTAAAAAAGAACTTTGCAATATTATAATTTGTTACAAATATCCCTGACAAGTTATATGGCCCAATATAGATGGTTGTTTGCTATCAATTTACACACAACCATTTATATAGGGCCATATAGCCTGTCAACATGTCAACAAATTTATTATTAAATTTCATGAATGAATTTCTATGTTATACTGGATGATAAAAAAGCTAAAATATTTCAAATAAGATGCCGTAAAATGTAACTAAAAGTTTGAACTGTAAAATTTGAAAAGTGGAGCTACAAAAATCTACATTTAACCAGCACATAATTTCACCCGATTTCTTTTTCAAAACGTTACCAAAAAAGTATGAAAATTTTCATCAAATGAAGAAAGAAAAGTATTTGTGACTTTTATTATTCACCTTTTGTTGTTCCTTGTAATCTTTTCTGTCATATTGTTTATCTCTTGATTGTGACCGAGCTTCCTCTTGTAACTTCAAGCTGAACGCCTCAGTCACACTCTCGTCATATTCTTCATCCTCAAAATCATCGTTAGTACTCCATTCCGGAACCTCTTCTTCACTACTGCTTATATTACTCAACTCATTTTCGTAAGAATAACTTTCATTAACAGTACATTTCTTAGATTTCGCTAAATCGCTCACAAATTTTTTATTGTCTGAACTTCCGCTATTGTATCCATTTTGATTATGCTGCCCATCTTCTCGATAAGATTTTCCCAAATCAGGAAATTTTACATTCGTTTTATCAGTACTGCTTTGTTTATAGTTATACTCTTCATTATGGACACAGTCTTTTTCATTTTTATGTTTGTCACAGAGGTATCGTTTTCGCTTTTCCTCCTGATCTTTCTCACTGCACATAGAGCATTTCTCTGCTCCATTTTTAACACTAAACTGTGCTCTTCTGTCATGGTTGGGCCCCGGACCCATACCTGGTTTCCATGGTTCAGCAAATGGATTGAGAGACGTGTAATAGTTGTCATATTGTAACTGGGAGTTCTCACCAGAAACAAAGCCTTGCTGGTAATACGCCATGTACGGGTGTACGGCAGGGTACGGATACTGTCCGTACATCATCGGGTGCACTGAAAATCTTGGTGGCATCATACCAGAACCAGCTGAAATGTAAACAAATAAAATAGAATCATCAAATAATACAAATATAAACAAATGAAATAGTACAGACAACATTCAGACATCTATTGTATTGTATAGTATTCTTTTAAGAAAAAAAAAATTCATAAGATTTTACATCAAACTGACTTCATACATTTTTGTATATCATAAATATAATCTTAAATTTAACCAAACTTAAAATCTTTTCTTTCCTTTTTCCAAATTTAATATTTAGATACAAAAATTACATTTTCACATATAGCTTAAAATATTCTAAATATTCATAACCATAGTCCGATTAGAAATAAATTTGTTTAAAACTTTTTTGCAGTTAAGAGATATATTTAATGCCTCTACAAGTATACTTAACAGTTTTTTTTTAATTTCTATTTTAACAAATACCTGGAGGACCATAAGGTGGCATAAATGGATACATCATTCCACCAATCTGTGGCATGTTGGGTGGCATATTGGAAGCTCCTCCTCCTGGCATCATTGCCCCTTGCTGCATTTCCATACTCATTCCTTGCTGCATCATACCCTGGGGATTGACTTGAACTGACATTTGAGGCGGGGCCATTGAAGGAGGCAGGCCTTGTGGCATTACCATGTTTTTTGCTTGAGGAATAACATTTCCTGCCTGAAGAATAGCTGAGTCATCATTTGGAGGCATGACAGCTATGGGGGAATTTCCAACTTGTTGCTGTAATGCTGGATCTACTTGTGAAATATATTCATGAGTAGGTGTGGCAAAATTAACTGTGGGTGTGACTGGTGACTGTACTATGTTACCTGTAGGCTGGATGTATCCACCTGGTCCAATCACCATCTCAACAGGTGGTTTAATCATATTATCACCCATATCTACATTATCAACAGTCTGACAAACAGGTTTTCCAACAACTACAAATTGTTCACTTTGTGGGGATGGGGTTTCTTGTATAGGCGGAGCCATCTGTTGCGTCATGACTGCCTGGGGCGTTGCTAACTGTGGAGGCGGAGTCATTTCAAATTGAGGTTGTACAGGAGTCGTCTGACCAGGAACTGCTGATTGTAGAGGAGGTGCTACAAATGGAGGGGGAGGTCTTTGTGTGGGAGGGGATTTATATAAAGGCGGAGCTCCTGGATTAGGAACTGGGCCTTGAGGAAGTTGAGGTCGCTTTGGAGGTGGATGTCTTTGAAGAGAAGACACTGGGTGGGTCATTGATTTAGAGAGTTGAAATGGTTTGGGAGGATAAGAGGCGCCCCTTGACTGTGAATGATCGTGTCTATAACCATAACTATCTTTATCATCCAAATAGTCATAACTATCATACTGAGATCTGAAAAGTGAGAATTATAAAAACATTTTTTCATTCTTCATCAACATTATAATAATTTTTATTATGCAAATTCTACCACTTTACAGTATTCAACTTTTTAAGTAAGTAACTTCATATAGAGGAAAATTTGTTCTAACTTCAAATTGTATGTAACACAATGTAATGGAATGGAATAAATGCAAGGTGCTATTTTATGATGTCATAATCTACAAACCTGTCATCATCTCTATAGCTACCAGGACCTCGTGGTATTTTCCTACTTTTCTGCCTGTACCTGTAATAACATGCATAATGCTGTTACTTTATTTCTACTTTCTCATCATCCCCTTTTTTACAAGACAATAGCATAAAACAAAACAAACAACAAAATAGGTGCTTTCACAGCTTCAACTTATTGTATTTCCATCAGTTCAGGCCATGTAAAGCCACATAACTAGAACCAAGGTCATTCTGTAATGCATGTAGATCAGGAATGAGAGAGCTCTTAATCGGAAGCAAAAATGTTTGTATTCTAGCTGGACAGCTTCCTTACAATAAGGATTCCAATATATTTGGAAAAAAGAATCCAATATATCTGGAGGGATTTAAACCCAGTGAATTATGTGATTGAGAATAGAGGTAGGATGTACATACTTAAAATGATTTTTATTGGTAGAAAGCAGGAAGAGAAACAAATGATATTTTATTTTTTCGTATCAGACATGAATATCAACCTTTTACACTGGTGCTCTTACTCAATCCATGTTAGACACATCAAGTGTTTTAAATGACATAAGTTACAAGCATCTTTTGTAAATGAACTGCATCCTTAGGAAGATGTGGTTGTGCCATTATTAATGAAGTTGTAAATTCATATACTACTGTAAGAAAAAGTGCTTAATAAAAATATTAGTTTTTGGAATTTCTTAATTTGTAATATGCAAGAAAAAGAATCAATTACTGGCTGTCTTCACAGACAGGAATATATAGCTCTCAGGATAACAGTTTACCAGAAACTCTGCAGAGCTTTGTTATGCCCATAAACAGTTACCCCTGAGCTAGATATACCCGTCTGTACCGGCAACTGGTGTAAGATCCCAATATTCTAGGTCTAGAAAGTAAACATTTAGTAGTAAAATTCTCTTACTTATCCAACTCTTCTTCAGAATGAGCAAATGTACAACTGTTAGCTCTAGGACAGTTTCCATGCTCCATATAATCTCTACAATAGCTGGTTTTATACCGGGCATTAAACGGCATGGATAGATCCGGTTTTCTGGCACCGGCACTCTGTAGAAACTTCACCAAGCCTTCGATCACAGTCTTGACAGCCCTTAACACACCAACTAAGTTATCCCAGGTAGGGCAAGGTACATCTGGGAGTAATAATTATCACATTTAATATGAATCTTAAATAGCTTTTCTCCATCTGTCAAACAGTTATAACAAATATCTACTTTAATATAACAAATATCTACATATATTACTTTATCAGAAATGTAACAGAAATTTTTAGGTCACTGTATAAAATTAGATTTCAACTAACATGATAAAGGAATAAATATTCAGATAATGTGATTTAAAAACACAATATGCTTGAGCTAAAGTTGTCTATGAATATCAATGGGGCTAATTTATTTGCTGTCTTTTTTTATGTGAAAATTTAACTTTCAAGGTCAAGACTAGTAAGGGATAAATGGTGAATATGTAAACACAGAGACAAACTGACAGAAATTGCCAATAAATTCTTGATGTGAAAGGCATAAAAATGGCAAATTATGTAACAATGAATAACGAAGACACAGTGTTACTGAGAATCAGTATTTACCTGGACTAGGATCTATATCAGTGTTACGGAGAATCAGTATTTACCTGGACTAGGGTCTATATCAGTGTTACGGAGAATCAGTATTTACCTGGACTAGGGTCTATATCAGTGTTACGGAGAATCAGTATTTACCTGGACTAGGGTCTATATCAGTGTTACGGAGAATCAGTATTTACCTGGACTAGGGTCTATATCAGTGTTACGGAGAATCAGTATTTACCTGGACTAGGGTCTATATCAGTGTTACGGAGAATCAGTATTTACCTGGACTAGGGTCTATGTTAGACAGGAACTCTAATTCTGGTCTCAGCTGTGATAAACTATAGGGGTCCCCTGTTCTCTGTAAGGCTATCAACAGTTCACTCACACTCTGTGAGAATGTCTGAGGGGTCTGAAGCTGAAATAAGTTACAAATGAGCAGTGTCACAACAAAACCAACATAATGGGTTTGTGACCAGCATGGATCCAGACCAGCCTGCACATCCGCGCAGTCTGATCAGGATCAATGCTGTTCCCTATCAGTTTCTCTACTTGAAATAGGGTTGGTAAGCAAACAGCATGGACCCTGATCAGACTGCGCGGATGCCAAGCTGGTCTGGATCCATGCTTGTCGCAAATGCATTACCTTGGTTTTGTCATGGCACGCCATAAACATCTCATTAATGTTGACTGATATTCAACAAGCTTACTCAACTTAAGATAAATTCAGATACACTTTACAAACAGTGCTGTAGCAAGTGAGTAGGTTATAACCCCTTGTGTTGCTTCAAGCTTGTAATATATTATTTATTCTACATGTATTTTCAAAAACCCATAATGCTAATTTTGTTTGTCTGCACACTAACAAAGTGTAGGTCATTTGGATCCATAAAAACGATTTTGGCGAAACCTTGGATGTTACAAGCTGAAAGCTCACAAGGGGTCAAAACCACCTAACTTGCTGGAGCTAAGAGATGCATAGACTCCAGTTATGCAAACCTATTCTGTTACCTCTTACGATCACACAGGAATAAATGGTGACTGCAATTCTTAAGCTTCACCCATTTCAAGCAACCCCTCAGCGACAAGGGGCACACAAACCTAATTTAAATTAGAAAGTAACATCAGAGCTTGCAAGCACTTTAACCCTTGCCAAGCTAAGATTGTATAATGGACTTCTCTCACATTGAATTTTAAAGTGCACATTATTATATCAAATTGCTAAATTTCTACAGCCAACATTGTAAATCCTGTTCAATCTGTATGAAAGATGGTGGCTGGACTTTATATTAATGTCAAACTATCGAAAGTGTATTCAAGAAAGAATTTTAACCCTTTCACAAGGCAAACAGAGCATTTAATGATCAAAAATTGAAAGTTGAAAACCTTATTGTTTACTTTATCTTATCAAATTTATGGAAACCAACAGATGTCTTTAACACTGAATTACTTTAAAAAAATTATTTAACTAAATCCAATTTTTAATTACCTTTTTTTCATTTACATGTTCTTTGCCCTGATCACATAGGACTAAAATGTGCACAATTAAAAACAAGTACCTTGTCAATTATAGACTGCATGTGAGACTTGTGAGTGGAATCACCATACAATAAAGATGACCACTGGTCAGGTGCGATCCTCAGTCCGGCTTCCATTGCAATCTGTACAATCTGTGAATCATGCTCACGTCTCAGAAACTCGTACGAACGAAATTCTTCCTTCAGCTGCATCAATGATGATTCCTCATCTCTTTTGGTCACCTTTACAAAATATATAAACAAAACACATTGTAGCTATGGAAACTGGTATTTAAAGGTGTTCTTCAAGCATCCATAACTAATTTAAAGGAACTACAATGCCTTCGTTATGCCCTTATATTAAAGGGACTAAAGATTTTTTACTGGAAATAATTGTTTAAAATTTTTATATATTCTTGTTTCTCTTTTGATAGATATCAAGTTAAGAGAGAAAAAGATTTTTTTATGCTAAAGACAAACTCCAACGAAAATTTAATATCAACCAACTTACAGCAAGTCCATTGAACATGAAGGCACCTCCAATTCCACTGTTTTGTAAATCTACAGACAGCGACTTGAGCAAAGCTTTATGCCCCCATCTCTCACAAAATAAGAAGTTGGGACATAATAATAAACAGAAAATTATTTGATCCACACGTTAAACTGGTAAACCTACCATAAAACAGGAGGCTCTATATAACAGCTGTACCACATGACCTATAGCAGTCTTAGATGCCTGTGGGTATTGAGCTTCCAGTCTCTGTACCACAAACAGAACTAATACCTTCCTTGACAAAACCGAACCATCTTCTAGTGCAAGCAGAATCAGCTTCAGCACTTCCTCTTGCATCCCTGGAGCAAATAAATTCATACTGTACTTACTTAAAAAAAACATACACTGACAAAAATATGCTTATTTGTAATGTACATCCCCCCTTCATGTTATGTAACTATTATTATGTCATGCTCATTATTTATTTTAATATTTATCTAGATGAAAGCTTATGTTGAAAGTAACTTGAAACATTGGTAGGTAAATATTTATCATTTTATAAGTTGTTGTTGATTTTCCTACCCTAAAATTTGTACCATAATTATGATCACACAAACAATTTCAAACAAAATACCAAAATACCATAAACAACTGCTGACACTTTTGCCTGAAACTAAATTCCCAAGTGGGCATAATTAAAGTTGAGATAGACCTATATCATTAACATGAATAAATTGACAGCTTACTTTAAGGCCATGCGTACAGTAATATAATAAGGCTTTTCTTAAGGTAAATCATAAAAGTATATGTTTACCTAACATTATATACAGATATCATGACAGATGCAATTTTGAATAATCAATATATTGCAAACTTAGATTTTAACTTTACAATGTAAATATGAATACAACAGTCTATAAACAAAGGGCATATACATATTTTCAATTATTATAGAAACATACCAGGCCCGAGAAATTGACACCCACGACCACGTACTGACGCCCAGAGATTTGATGAGAGCTGTTGAGGATTTTGATGCTGCAATATAAGTTCAGTGACCGTCCTTTCACCAAGTGACCTTGCAGCACGTAGAGCTCGTGCACGACCCTCCTCTTCAACTAGCTGACAGTTAACCAGCGAGATCAGCTTACGTTGCATAGGTCTACTTAAGACACAGCTTGGTACTCCGGGACTACTAGAACTTGATGTGGATACTGATATTATTGACCCAGTACTGGCTGTTATCATGAAAAATAAATGTTTATTAGCTATAGTACTAGAAATAATTGGAATATTTTTTAGATCAAAGAAAAATGACCCATTCAAACAAAAATTTCAGTTTTATCAGATAAGAATTACACAATAAAATGAACAATATAGTACTAACTATTATGGTGTAAACATCACCGTAGTATTTAATAGGAGGATAACATTATTTCAACTGCTGTGACAATTATTACATCAAACTCCTCGCAGCGGTTACTTCCCCTGATCTGTACAGTAACCACTGCCACCACAAGTAAATTCGGTCGAATATAGCCGGATATATTTTTTTCACTTTTAATTTTGAAATAGAATACTTTATATCATTTTAGTTTTCTTTCGTTAAATAGTTATGCTTAATGTACAAGAAAGTAAAAAAATATACGTATAAAAATTATTTTGTAAACATAACGAAAGATATTTTCACTGTGACACCGTATGCATAGTAAACAATGGTAGAATATAAACAGTTATTGAACGACTGCACAAAAAGATTTGATCCGGCAATTGTTTTAAAGTGATAACAAATTGTGTGTCTTGAACTTATTTTGTCTGGTAAGGATGTAATTATAAATCTGCCAGTTTGATATGGGATCCCTGGCGTTCTGAAACTGGCCGCCATGTTTTTGTCACATGATACAACTATCATCACGTGATTTCAGTGGTGGCAGTGGTTAAAGTAGCAAAGCGTGACGTAACCGCTGTGAGGAGTTTGTTATTACATATCTTCATATCAAGTCTCATGATGAGCTTTATATTATCAGAACCAACGTTTAAATTGCAGTTTGAGACATTGGACCTCAACGTGAGCATTAAAACAGGGTTCTATTTCTTTTAAATGTAGAATATTATTGTTAAGTACACAAAAAAATTGGAAAAATGGTTTGGAAAAGATGATAAAACTCACTGGATGAGACTGGTTTCAAAAGCAGAGCCAGATCCTCCACACATTTCTTAGACTTTTCATAATGTTTCTTGTATTCCTCTGGTACACATGGAAGTTTGGTATCAGGTGACGCTGACACGCTGAGTAACTGTAACAATGCAAAGTTAGCGGGGAGCTCGTCGATGTCTCGTGTTATCAGAGACTGATCAAACGGGCACTTCCGCTGCTGGAACTTTGACAAGCATGTTTTACAGACAGTGTGACCACAGGCCAGACTGATTGGCCTATATAGCTCTTCATTGAAGACATTATAGCACACAGGACAGGATAAAAACTCTGTCCACTGTGGTGCCTGTATCGGCATCTTCTGTGTTATCTATATGTACTACCTGGAAATACAAAAACATAATATTGAAGTTAAGAATAAACTGTATTAAAATCATAATGACAACTAATTGATCAACATGAGTAAGCCTAAGACAGTTCTTTTCCCATTAACTGATCAAGATAAACCAGTTTATTATTTTGTGATCTAATTGATATGAAACAAAATTGCAGGCCAACTGCAGTAAATAGCTTCTGATTCCAGTCAATTCCAGTATTTAGGCCAATGCCAGTAAGTTGTGTTACCCCTGTAACTACGATAAAGAAATGTTTAAAAATAATGTCACAATAAAGTAACATACATGTATAGTGCCCAGCTCAGACTAAACAAAGGATGCCTGCTATATGGTATAGGCTGGATAGAATGAGGCATTAAAAAATGTACAGAAAGTCACTGGTGTACTGTAAAAATTTGTATCATTTTATTCTAATATTATATTATAAATTTGATATAAATGTTATGACTTAAAATAAATGACTTATATAAATGATTTACATTTAGCCATTTTAGCAGATTTATAATACTATAAATATCTGTGCAGCATGATATACACTATCATGTTATATAACTAGACATGTGCTGAAGAGTATAAAACATTACTTTTAAGCCCTTCCCAGCAAGGGAAAGTCACAGACTGAAAATGTCTAACACTGGAAGTCGCATTACACATGTTTATGCTGGAAAAGGAGGAAAAAGCAATATATTTTGGATTGTTTGTTTGTTTCATTTTACACCTTTTCCCAACAGTATTTCAGTCATATTATAGGTGGGTAGTTTCCTAACCATCGTTTCTGGAGAGTTACACCTGTACTAGACTACTTTCCTCTGCGCTAAACTACCAAAGCATCTACTGGGATAACCCACGCCAGAGAGGTAACTGGATTAGAAGTCATCGACTCTAACCCCTCGACCATGGAGGCCGTTATCACAGGCCAAATTCAAGAGTAAATGACGCCCAAACTTTCACTTATGGATGCCTGTTTCCCATGTTATTTATGACTTTTCATGTAACTTGTCATGTCCTGAATGATGAACACTGATGTGTTACATAATTTGACAAGTGCTGAATATGAATGGTGTCTACATTATAGTGTTTTATGTACATGTAATTGTTACTAAAAATAGATAACCTTAGGTTACTTTACATTCATAATCAGCTTACTTTATATTAATAGGAGAAGGTTAAAGCAACCTATGTTACATAACATTTAATGATTTATGGTATAACTTTATAATGCTTTATTGTTACAGTATGACAAATGATATAAAAACATTATTTATTTAGTGAGTTTATTACCTATATTGACCAGTTAGCTCATATATTCATTTTTATATATTATAGTTTTTATACATATAAGTAACTGTGTTCTTTAAAAGACACTATATATAGGATAAATTTCTAGTTCCAAATAGAAGTGATAATTATTTGAAATCAATGACTTTTTTTATATTATTTAATTATTTGTACTTATTATAAAAAGAAAAGGTTAAAAATTCCTAAATGCACTCATTTGACCAATTATAAAATAAGCTCTTGTGTCACACTGTATTTGACCCTACTGACCTAGAAAATGTTACTCTGGTGCATGAAACAATAAAACCTATTTGCCAATCAAAAGCAATGCTGCATTACATACCTACATAACAATTTGCTCCACCTACTGGTACATGTACATGTATGTAGAATCATAATGTGCATTAAACCAGTTTAAACCAATAAAAAGCCACAGTGATGATATTGATAATGAGATTGAGAGTAGACTTTATACATGTATTTTCATGTAGCACAACTGACAACAGCATCTCTTGTTGCTACAATAGGAATAATTCAATTAAAGGACCCAGAATACACAGGAGAATACTGGCAATTACATGTCATTTATTTAATTTCAATTAAAAGTTTCTCAATTAACATAAACAATCTGAATCATTAAATATGTTTTGTTAAAATTTCTACTTGATAATTGAAGACTTTAGCTTTGACATTTTTAAAAATAAAGATATAACTTAATGGTGAACTTCTGATCAAAGCTCATGCTAAATTAATTAATGTTGAAATACTGGCCCAGTGGCATCTAGAACTTTCAAATAATAAATAAATAAATTTAGCCCCCCCCCCCCCCCCAAGAATTCTTTACCTATCAATGAAATTTTCAGTGTCAGCTATACTTATAGTTGGCCCTTGGGTATGGCTATTTTCAATGTAACTGATAATAGGACAGCCCAAAGTATACTGATAACAGTTGCAACCTTTCTGATTAATTAATAATTGAGTGTTCTGTGTTTAAATGGAAACGGTGCATGAAATGCCAATTCACATCTGTAGAACAGGAAAATGAATGATTTATTAACCAACTTCACCGTTCATAGGCTTTGCCGTACGACTAGCCAGGACACACTTTATTGTCTGGTCGTACGACACTTTTCAAATTTATATAAAAGTCTTTAAAAGAGGATTAAACCAGGAAACAGCAAATGAGCAAATATTTACATTGTATGTTTATGAATTGGCATGTTGGCTAAAAGGTACAAATATGGATCGTTGTCATCTCTAGATGGCTAGAAAAAAACGTTCATATATAGTTGAAAACAAATGACAGCAATTGATATCATCTACATAATTATTATAATGACCCTTTTTGTTTCAATAAGTTTAATTTTCAACAACTTTAAAAAATGAAAAAAGCACCAAAAATAATTGTTATTGTGCTCTGATAATTGTGTCAATACACCTATAAACACTTTTCATATGAACTACGTAAATAACCGAGGTATATCGAGTGAAAAATATGAGTTGTTTCCCTTATCTTTGAGTAAAATCGATAACTCTTACGCTAAAACAATACAAATTAAGCCATTTTTAAACCGCCAGTTTGTTGTGATTACATGTCCGATTTTAAAAAATATTACCAGGGCCAAAAAACCCTACTTTGTAGAGGCCGAATATAGGCTGCTTCCCCAACCAAATTAGCCTCTTTTTTTCCCCAGTTTGGTCCTCAAAATTCCCCAGTCTTGAAATTTCCCATAGAATTTAGAAAAAAATTAAATGATAGTGTTGAATTAAGGTCTTTTACTGCCTTATCAGAATTTCCAAGTGCTTTTTGCTTTTCTATTTTGAAGGACTTCTTAAAAGCTTGTTTTAATTTTGAGACCCCTTTTCCCAAAGTATGCCAAAATCACGCATATTTTCCCCATGAAAGAGGCTGAGGCCCCTTCCCCAGAATGGTGTTTTGGCCCTGATTACATCAATGGAAAGCTTTGGATCTTAGCTTTGCCACAGTATATAATTTTCCATATTTTTTTGTCACCAAAGTATTAAAATTAACTGTTAAACCTACCATATGTCAGGCCATTTTACATACGATTTATGTATACAGTGAGATACACAACCAGTTATCTTTACTCGAAAACCTACTGATAAGAATAGCATGTCGTCTGCTAGTTGGGAAAAGTGTTTATTGGTGTATTATTGACAGTAGAAGTTTGTCCATCAATTATGGAAAGTTTACATGTTCCCTGAAACTAAGTCAGTAAGTGTGGGTGAAACGTGTCCTTAGAAAATTCTATTGTCACTCTTTTTTTTTGGCTAGCCCTTCCTTGCCTAATTTCATGTTATTCTTTTATCCTCTTTTAAAACAGCTCTTTATCTTTCTTGCAATTTCCCACAAGTGCTTTGATAATACGGGGAAGTCAAAGACCGGGCCCGCAAAGCGGGTCCGGGCTTTGGCTTGCCCGGCTATAGACTACACATGAATATTTAAAAGAAAATCAAAAAAAATACAATTAAAAAATATATATAGAATTCTATACCTATCAATGAAAATTTCAGTGTCAGTTCTACTTCTAGTCGGGCGCCACCATTTACAATGTATGTCAATGATAATAGGCGGGGTATTCCGATTACGGAACAATTCTCAACTTTTCGGATTAGTAATAATAGTCGAGTGTTCCTGGTGAAAACGGAAGCGGTGTATGTAATTTTGAATTACACCGTTAAAGCGGAAAGAATGAAAGGATTTTTTAACGACTTCCCCGTTCATAGGCTTTGCCTAATTTCATATTAATGCAAGATTGATAATTAGATGTTGACAACAAGAAAAAGAATCAGAGCACCAATCTGCTGCAAACAGAGACAATGTCTTAGTCACAGACTCACCTCAGTCATTCTGCAAGATTGCAGGTTTAACAGTTTAAAAAAGTACAAAAAGATGCAGTTATATCGATGAAATTTCTTGTTGACATGTTTTATGGCGAGAATTTAATGCATTTGATAAATTGAGACAAGACCGTGGACTCTGCTCTTATTGCGTGAGAGACAAAACAAATATTTACGTGTGTATAAACACCGTTGACTGAGCACGGTTTTAGAAAATGATCAGTATTCTATGTCGTAACAAAGTTACACTTACGTTAAATTTAGAATGCAATCCAGAAACATTTTGAACATATTTCTTTAAAAAAAAAGGTCAACTGAAATAAAACGTTCTATCAGAAAGAAACGACAAAAGAAATGTAAAATTGCAATTTTAAAGTTTTTTGTTGATCAGCCGCCATATTTTTCTCGTATCACGTGACACAAATAATGGTCACAAAGTCAATTTATTACCAAAAAGAGGGCAACCGAAAAGAAACGAAAACAAACTAAATATTACACCGGTACCATATATTAGAGATACACCGGTACAATAAAATAGCTCTTATTTTTCCAATCATGACCCGGAGCTGACGTAAAATCGCAATATTTATATGCTTGATACAAGCATGTAAAAACCAGAATGAAAATAATTATAAACTCAGATCCCCTTACAAAATTCCATTTTATTTAGTTCCGCCCATTATTTTCTAGTTTAGGGCACAATCTCATGCATGCATTCTTTTACTTGGGGACCATACGCCGCTTTTTCTGGAATGACACTACTGTCTCAAATTGAATGTTCCATGATAACCGCCGTATGAACACATCTGCGGATATTTCTAAATTCAAAATTTCCCTGTTTTGTGTTTAAATGTTGAATTCTGCTTTAGCCGGTGTTAAGGGCGTGGACGGTAACTTGCACTTTCCAGTACCATCCATGAACAGGCTCAATCAAACCTAGCCTGCAACTTTTTACAATTCTGTCGTGTTAGGCTTTCTTTAAGGATTCTGTTTTTGTCTATACTACGTTTGATTAGGCCTGATTCATAGATATATAGATCTACATTATGTATTCTTGTACGTACTGTATAATATATTTGTTTAGAGCTTTATATATATATATATAAATTATTAATGTATCGATACAAATTAGTTATAAAAGAAACCACAAAACTGATGCACATTCTTCTTTAATTTTTCCGACTGGAATTGATCTTGATAGATGTTTATGATCGCCAGAAGAACATTTTATTGACTTATAAACTACAGTTTAGCATATAGTATATATATACGATTAAGAAGAAGAAGAAAAGAAGAAAGGATGACATTTTATTGGCTTAAACTACATAAATAGTTTAGCATATTCATGTAGTTTACGATCACGCCAGGAGTCAGATAGTCCTTATACTCGTTGTATGATCTGCTGATTGTTTAGACAGACACTATCTTTAGTTGACTTAACAGTTTTCACTTGCACATTTAATATTTTTTGTGACGTGGTTCAAGTTTGGACACTTAGAATAGGTTGACTTCCATGTCACATTTTAACTATTACTTGTCAATATTTGGAGGATAATCGATTGTTGTGGTGTTGTGTCTGAGCAATGTATATCCCAAAATCGTTTTGAAACAAGCGGACATAGGAGTTTATGTCATGTGTGAGGTGGTTTATATATTAGAAGGCGAGAAAAGGCAATGGTCGAAAAACTGAACATTGTGGAACACATTTGAAAATATATATATATGTCGCTTCTCTACAACCGTTACATGATTCAGCTTAATAATTAGTTTATTCTATATTGGACATACATGTAATGTTCCTGATTCTATGTAGGTTAATGTTTGTAATTTTGAAATAATTTTGGAAATTCCTAGTCGAATTTTTTCTGTTGTTTTGTTTTCAATCCAAATGTTCGTGCTGAGGTGCAACGATTTCGAAAATGTCCATGAATGTTTGTTGTGACTTTGTCAGGGGAGACAACTCACATTTGATAATTCTTTACAAACTAGGCTCAGATGCGGATAAGTTGAACAAAAGTCCACTACAATAGGTTTAAAATCTTCTTGTAATGATTTATAACAGTCTTAACAGAGAAAAGAAAACTTGTAAATAAGCAAATGACGATCTGTTAGATTATAGCTTTGTATACATAAGTGTCTACAAACACTCATTACACTATATAGAGCTAAACCAGGGTTCGAATCATGCCTGTGAATTTCTTGAAAATAACTGACCAATTGCTGCAATGAGGACAGAGATAATTATATTTGGTGGTACATTGTACAACAGAGGACGGCTCTCAGAGATAATGTTGCATTGCATTGAGTTTTAACGCTTAAATTTTTATTGACATTTTTATTTGTTTGGGTCGTCAGACCAAACAAATAATGGTAGCGAAATTTCAGAGTCTAATGTTGTTAATTGCAAATGCCGAAAGTAGTCCACTTTTTTGAAGCGGTTACTTCCCTTTTGTATGTACACTAATGCCAAAAAATTCAGGGGAGATCACTGCGTAAAGATGGTCAAAGACAGGCGCATTAATTTTCAAGCAAAGAAATTCCCGAATGGTCGAAGATTTCTAATATTGTTTTATTGTATTTTCTGATCGAAAATAAGTAAATACAAAGCGAACATTCAATCTCTGACATAGAAGTTTACGACAAACCTAACAACAGGTAGTTCTCAAAACAGCTTAAAACTAGCGATTTAAAAGAAACAAATATTTTATTTTGTTACAAGTATCCAACAAATTACAATGTTTTCAAAGTTAAACAATAGCGTTGGCTTATAGAATTGTCAATAAATGCACAATCACAAATTACGCGGATGAATATGATTTATCAATGAAAATACTATTTTTAGCGATGTCGATTACCGAATACTACACAAACCGAGTAGTGGTATATATAGATTCTACATGTCGGACTGTTTGGGCGAGAAGATTTTCGCTAAAATATTTACTTCAATTTTAAACAACAGGTCTATCCTGATCAAATACCTCGAAATTAATAAGGATTACAAACCCGAAATGCAATGGAAGTTCTAAATTTAGAATGACTTGATGTTAATCAGACTTTGTTTGTATAAATAGTGGTACAGTGGAAACGCGCTCGCTTAGTGAATGAGAGGTCTCGAGTTCAAATCCCAGTCGAGGGACCTTTTTTTTTGTTAAATTCTTTTTTAAGTGTCTTTGTTAAGAAAGTAGCCATGATAACAACAGTTAAAGTCGTTACAAGCCCTAATTTAGAATAATATGGTTTTCTTCAGGCCATTTACATATAAATTCACCGTGGCTGAAGGGTTTTCGGGCTCACTTAGGAAGCGAGAGGTCTGGAGTTCAAATCCCAGTAAAAGTAACTCATTTTTTTTTTTCAAGTTGTTAAAGTCAAATAAACCTTGGATTGAATATCAGTGTTGCAATTAGTCTTATAGCCAATTTACTACAATTAAAACGCTGGAAAGCATTGGTGGCACTATACATATAATCTCACAACCTGCACCTTTCTTACATTCTGAGACCCAAACAAATTCAGCGCCTTCTGTGCTTTGATTTTCTAATAGAGGTCATTAATTATTTAATTATTATACATGTATATCAATAACATAACTTTTCTCAAATTCAAATTGTCTCCAGGGATAAATGCATATAGATGTACCACATCGAAATTATACCACAGTCTCGGCTATTTTCGCTTAACTCCGTGGACTATTGGATAATACTTGAGAAGTCCAAAATACAATAGTTGCTCATAGAGTCCATGAATGTTTGTTGAGTGCCTGTGTATCTCACCTTTAAAAGATCCTGTAACACAGTTTTTTCATGGTTTTATTTCATAAATATGATGCTCAAATTAAGATTTGCCAATATTGTAAGTTCCAATAAGCATTGTTTATAAAGATATTACCCAATTTAACATTTAATGTAAATAAAGGGAGGTAATAGGAAATTTATTTTCTATAAATTCTAAGTCAAATTTTCCAATAAGAAATGAATGCCTGTAATTTATTGATTAAATATAATGTGCACAAATATTTGCAGTACACATTTTACATATTCTTCGATGTTTGAAAATTGTTTTATTTGCATAAATATGTACATATATAATATTTTTTGCTAGTGTGGTATTCACACAGTAAAAATATGAATTACAAAACATACAGGATCTTTAAATATGTTAAAGTTAACTTAAACGTTGGTGAAAAATACGTTCGGAATGGCAAATAGATGAACAAATAAAACGATTTACACATTCTCCACACGGTCCTCTGTCCACATTTCAAGAATCATCGATTTTTGAGTTATGACAGAATCTAGATTTCTTAAGACGGAGGGAATGACAGAATCGACTAGCGGACGGAAATAAGATTTAAAATGACTTGCATAATCACCATACGGTTAGATCCTAATATCAGGTATCATCAACCATTACCTATAGCATTTGTACGTTTAATTAAAGTTATGGAAGGATCCAAATGTGATCAGTTATCATTAGTTTCATTGCTGTAACCATACCAACCACAACGAAAAGCAAGAGCTGTTAGTAGACAACGTGCTAGACTTTTCTCAATGCTTGTTTGTAAAACAAGAGCCTTGATAATGTACGTAGAATTTTCTAAGTTCAAAAGGAGCCATAATTCTGTCAAAATCCATGTAAGTGTTATGCGCCTTTGATAGTGACCTCCTATTATCCTCTCAAATAAGTGTGTGACGTATCAACCCATTCCCTGAAATCGTTTTCGAGAAAGCAAATTACAGGCAAAAACCTAACCAGCTTAATTGTCGAGCTAGAATATAACATGCATAATCTCCACATGATCCTCTTTCCTCACAACAGAGCATTTGTACTTTTTTATATTACGACTGAAAGAGACTAAATGGCTGACGGAAAGAAAGGACCAAACATGTATTCCAAAAATCGTCTATACGGTTAGTTCGTGATAAAACTGGCTACTTGAACGTTTCAGGAATACAAATGTATGGAGAAAATAGACACATAACTCACATCAAAGAATTATCAAAATATTTATTTTATTTGAATTTCATTCAAATTGAGCATATAAAAGGTAAAAACAAAAATTAAGTAATAACAGTAACAAGTTATTTTCTGATAACAACGTTAAATGAAAATAAGAAAATATAAATAACAGAACGACTGTTTCTGTTTTGGGTTTGAGTAGTCCTCTCTCTCTCAAACAAAAATATATAAAACACAACTTTTTACACCATGACATGTCGGCACTTCAATTTTCCGTTGGTATGGCTTTTTTAAATTCAAGAAATAATTGGACTCTTTTGTAAGATTTAAACGTTATCAAATTTTTTAACAAATGGAAAGAAATACTAGACTAAAAGTTTCATAATTATTATGTATACTTAGTATCAAAATATCAGTGATATTGACCGATGTTTCACGATTGTTAAAAGCGATAAATATACCTTTAGTTTGGGGAAAGAAGTGCCTTAATGACCTTGACCTCCACCAAATAAACCTAATATCCTATTCAATGGTAGAAGTTAACCTAGAAATATACCAGCATATCAAATATCACACAACTAATGAAGGTGCTACAAGAAACTGTAAATATGTTTTGTATAAGGACGGAAAAAATGAAGGCCTAGTCGACAACTATACATGTATGTACATGGAGCATAAAAATTCCATAAAGTGTGTGCTTTCACAAGATATTCTATAAACAAAGACTAAAAGAGAACAACATAAAAGTTTATATATCTTAAAATGAATACCTATTCACTTAAAGCTCTTAACATTATGGTAACAACGCCATTTCCCGTTTTAATAAGACCATTACATTCAAGAGTGCCAAGTCTGGTCAAAAAAATCTTATGGCAACTTTCACGAGTGTGTTGTAAAATAAATTTCATTAAACTGCAATGAGGCTTATAACAAATGAAATACAAAAATAAAACATAAACAAAGAAAAACAACAACAATATGTTAACTGTTCATACTCCACAGTGAAGATGAAAATATCACTAACGCCAAATAAATGAACCTTTAACTTAATGTGACACCTAAGTCAAGCTTTGATACATGTTTTGATACACATTTATAAATGTTTTCGTCACATGAACTGTCCGCCATTTGTAAAATTAATATACTGTAAAGAAAACAAAAATAGGCATTTTAAGTGTGCCATGTTCTAACGTTCGGTGACACATGCAGGCAATAATTTGAAGCTTTTGAAACTTGGAACTAGCATATGTGTTCTGAATAAGTGGGGGACTTAAAGGGACTCCACTACTGTTTTTTGACGTGATGGGACTGAAAATAATTTTTCCAGAAAATGTACCATCTGATGTAGGTGAGGAACACCAATATTTGTGCACAATTTCAGATCATTCACGCACATTGTTTTACCAGAATAATTACCCAAATTGTAAAAAAATGACCCAAAATGAAACGCGTCACTGAAATCGTGCTAAGGAAAACATAAACATATGATTTTCAATTTATTTACATATTATATTATTTCATATATTTAATTCTGTCTAAAAAGCCCAAGCTCATTTATGTAAGAAATTCAAATGTTATGTTTTTAGGCTTTTAAACCTCAATGGAGTCCCTTTAAACTGTCGGAACAGTCTGTTAAAAGTTCAATAAGTGTTAAAATACCAAAAACTGAGTTATCAATAGTGTAAAGCCTGGTCAGGCGCGTATGTGCTGGCTTGCATGGCTCAAAATGACGATCACTTTAGCATGTTGATATACATATACATGCTAAATACAAGTGACTTTAAAACTTCACACACAATTCATTAACATTCACGTGTCTTGTAAAGCTTAGATTGTTACCTTTAATTTATGAACAGATAGACACTTATGTTCATGTCATCAATTAGGGTTAAGTACATTGAACACATAAACATGCAATGTTTGCAAACGTTTACAAACACAAACAACAATACTGCACTTAAATATATGTTGTCAAATATGTTGCGGAGGGGTAGTGGCTGGGGAGGGGGGACGTCAGGTTTGTTCCGTTTCATTTTCACACAAGATTTAATTTTCTTGAATATGTTCTACCAGATGCCTTTTTAAGCAATTTTTCGTTGGGAAAACCTCGTGACAAATTTTACAACGAGACGTGTCGTTTTCACGATGTGTTTTTCTTATGTGTCTTTTAAGATGATTACCATGGTTAGTAGAATATCCACAACGGTCACAGGTCAAACGTTTTCCCTTTCTATGTATTTTCATATGAGCTTTCAGCTCTTCTTGATTATTAAATACCGGTTTGTTTTTCACCCTGCAGACAATACACTTCAGGCCATTGCCCGAAATATGCAGAGTTTTGTGTTTCAGCAACCCACTTTTCTTGAAAAATATCTCATTACACATGTCACATTGGTACATTCTATAACCAGTATGTTTCCTTTTGTGAACAATAAGACTTTTTATTTGGATGAAGCATTTATCACAATCAGTACATCTGTGGGTACGGTTACCAAGGTGACTAGCTATATGCTCTTCCAACGAATTCTTGCTTACAAAACTTTCACCACATAGATCGCACGTGTTTGCCTTCACAGGCAAATAAAACTTCACGGGCAAGTGCAGCCATAGATCATGTCTATATTCCAAATGATGGGTTAAATGTTCTATCAATGAAGTTTGCTTTAAAAAGCTTACACCGCATATCTCGCACGATTTGGGCTCCAGCGGCAAGTGACGTCTAACATGCGTTTTATACGCCTCTCTTGTCTTCAAACGTATACTGCATGTTTTACACTCGTAATTTAATGTTTTCGAGTGTATTTCTTTGTGCTTTCTTAGATAACAGTTGTATTGAAACCCCTTGTTACATATGTCACATATGTGTTTTTTGTCCCCAGAGTGCACAGTCATATGTCGAGTTAAGTTGCCACGTTTTGAGTATGCCTTTTCACATATGGGACACGGGAAACAATACTCGTTCGTGTGAGTTCGCATATGCTCGCGAAAATTTCCGGAAGATTTAAAACGCTTACTGCATACATTGCACTGATAAGGCCTGATATCATAATGGGATTTTATATGTATCTTTAGATTTGACAATGCCTTAAACGATTTTGGGCATTTCTTACAGTGCCATTTACTTCTACGTGCATGTACGGCTTTCATATGATTCCTTAAATTTCCAGGAGACGAAAGTGTGCAGTGACATTTTTCACAAGTTACCATGTGACACGCCTTATGCTTAACTAACTCAGATTCCGTATCGAAAATTGCCGTGCAGAACGAGCAACGAAGTTTATTGCAGTGAACGACCAGGTCATGAAGTCTTAAACGAAAACTGTCTTGAAATCTTCTGCCACATTTTACACATCGTACTCCTCTTTCATCGTTTGACTTTCTGACAACAACTTTCCCTCTTGAGGTACCCATGGAAAATATTGCTGGAAGAAAAACAACAACAGAAATCATTTACCATTAAGGCAAAAACCTTCAAATGATTTCTGTTTCCCATCCCGCGACCCGGTCTTGTCAGGTTGGGCTATTTTTTCCTATCACAATTATATGGAGTTCAAAACAAATTGTGAATGCATAGCATCTTATAAAAGATTATAACCATATTTACAGTTTTCTTATGTTATTAAACATATATTCTTTTTTCTTTTTCTCTTTTTTTTGGTAGGCAATTTAATTTTTTGGGTAGCTGTGACTTTTGAGTAGGAAGCAGTAGGGAACGAGAGGGGAAACAAATATTTTAAAGTATTATTCCTATTTATAAAAACATATGTATTATAATTATTTTATTTGACTTACTGTCATAGTGAAACATTATGCCATCAAATTAAGAAAAGGTAGCTTTTCTGTAACGTATTGACGCAAGTGGAAAAATGACGTCATGAATTCGTTTTCATAACAGTTAAACGCACTTATGTGTGTCACGATTATTAAGGGACATAATATATACACCAATTAATGAATTTTTGAGACTGACTTAAATACACGTAAATCATTACCCAATCGCCCTTAGTGACAGAGAACAAATTAGATTATAAATAAATGGCCATACTCTGCCTCTGCATGTACCTTGCAATGAAATGAGTTTAAGGTATGGAAATCTGCAATTTATGACCTTATATTATTTTACAAAACTGCTTATACATAAACAAAGCATGAGGTGGTTGTAAACTTGGTTCAAGCAGCGAAATGGTTGCAACATTGACCATATGGCTACCGAGTAATGAACATTTATAAGGCCCACCTATAAAGTTTAATTATGTTACCATGTATTCTGATAATTTTTGATAAACCCATTCATTAACAAAAATTGATGTAAAATCTTTGAATTACAGAAAATCGAGGTTTTTTCCATGTTGTACGTCGAATTACAAATGTACACATTATTTTGGTGAAGAATTGTGTTTTTTTGTGGCATTTTTTTATTTTATAGTAAACAAACATATATGAGGTAAAAGGTTGAGGAAGTGTATAAGACACTCAGTTTTTACGTTTCAGCTTCCTTGCATCTAAATTGTTGAAGTTTTTGAAGATATGGACTGGTTGAAAAAACTAACCAGAATAGACACTTATGCTTGCCAAATCCAAAAACATGTAAATGGCCAGCTTATGTCTACAATAGCTTAATACCTTTGTCAAAAGCTGAAACCTAAAACCCAGTGCGTATGTTTTGTTTACTACCATTTTGCTATCTGTAGCAAGGTGTGCAACCACTTAATGTTCTGTCCCTTGATTATCAAACGTGTCTACGATAAAGTTACGAAATTTTCATACAATCTGCAAATAGGTGATGTATTATTTTTTTCTCTATCTTGTACTCGAACCATTGCTGACAAAAAAAAAGTTAGCAACCATTTAGAAATGTTGTCAAGTGATTTGCCATGCTCCCATATAATGGTGTTGTTGTTGTCATAGAAACATAAGCTCACATGCAGGCAATGAGACGAACTTATTCTGTTATAAAGCATTGCAGTACAGACAGTGTGCTTATTTGTAATGATTTAGAACTTTAAGTTGGCAGATCTTTTCAAAAAATTATGTTCATGCAATATAGTATTTGAGACCAGAGAAATGGGACAAAAATGCGATTATAATAATCTGATAATACTACAATATTTTACATTGTTACATATGAACAGACCTGGCTGTGACCTCAAGTGCCTACAGATTTCCTTCAAACTATATAAACGACTACATTAAGTACTATTTTAGATCAAAAATGTATATAATCATGTTTTAAATAACGTATTTTGGTGTTCTTTGTTTTTGTTTGAACTTTAACTGCAATGCTTATAAACTGTTTGACAAATCGCAACGTTTTGGTCCTTCCGTCAAGTCCGATGCCGTGAGGAATTACGAAATGGTCACAAAAACCAACTAGATATCAATGAAGATATTAAGAAGAATATAAATAGCATTAAAATGATGAAGACTTTCTCACCGTTCAACAGAAAATAGTAAATCACCGGTTATTTACTTTCTAATCAGCACGCCTACTTTGTGCAAATGGAGGTTTTCTTTGGAAGGGAGGTAACTGTGTTTCGCAATTATGTACTATACTGTTTGATAGTGGTTTAATGTCACTTTCGTTATATGAATAGCTACACTATGATAATTAAATGTTTTATTCTTTATTATCTTTACTTGGTTAGCTTATCTGCATGCGATAGCAACTTTCCGCATGTTCCGATATGTCTGACTCACACCGTACAATCAAATGGGCAGACAGCAGTTCAAGCGTCGACAGCTGTACCAGTATATACATGTCGGCGCAGGAAACACAATTGAGGGACGGTAAGTATTCATCTATATTAAACATATCCCAATTGTGCTCGAGTAAATTAATGTTATGGATTTATAGTCAACATCCAAAGGAGCATGCTAACAAATTTCTGGCCCTGTGCAAGCTTTACTTCATGCGAATTTTGACAACAAAACTTTCTACAATGGTGATAATTGAAAACCTGGTTCCATGGCATTGTCATGTTTCTTGTTTGTATTTGGTTTAGGCCCTTTGTTTTGTATGGTAACTTTTTAAGTAACTGAAATGCTTACTTGTAACGAAAGGACATGGCATATGTTTTATGTTTATATGGTAATGGCACAAATGTTGCAGAGGTAGATAATTAAGTAACAGATGGCCAGTATTAACATTAACAAGGCCATTATGGACCACATAGCCAACGTTAATATATACATTGCGATTAGTGAATATGTTAAAGATGGTCAACATTTATCTATACATAGCCAATCACCAACGTCACAGATATGTTAAAGATTGCCAACATTCACGTGAACTTGGCTGAATATCAACGTCACAGATATGCGAAACATGGCCAACATTTATGTGTGCATAGCTGATCACCAAAGTCACAGAAATGTGAAAGGTGACCAACACTCACGTGTTCTTGGCTGAATACCAACGTCACAGATATAAACATCCCCCCCAAAGTTAGACAAACTTTGACACAAAGGCCATAATTTGAACATTCAAAGAGATCCATTGAAAATTTCATGCCAAATATTCAAGCTCTAGCACTCAGGGTTTCAGAAAAGATGACTTTTTGAAGTTTTTACTATACTCATACATATAAAAACCTATGACCCTGATCGGTACAGGGCCAATATTTACCCCATCAACAGGCTTGTAGACGGTTCACTTCATGCTTTTTCATGCCAAATATCTTAGGTTTTTGCCATTGGGGTTTCAGTGAAGAGAAAGAAGGGCACATTTCGACCCTAAAAATAAAATTTGGTAGAAGACATCTAGATGATATTATATTTCATACCCCTGGAACTTGTAGCTTCAGGCAAACTTTTTTTTGAAATATGAATTTTTAAACCCCCTTTTTTAGACCTGGAACCTAATAATGCAACCAACTGGAACAATTTGCACAACTTTGATAGGGAATAACCCAATGTTTATTGGGTAATATCCCCCCCCCCCCCCCCCCCCCCCCGATGTGTGCCTGCTTCCTGATACTGACAATAGTTCACCTTCAACATGAGGAAACCAAAAATTTTTGAAGATTATATAAAATGAAAACAAGTAATTTCTTTTTCTTTTTTTCTTTTAATGTATCAATTTGATTATATATTATGTTATAACACAACATTTACACACATCATAATGTTTTGATGTTTTTTAAATCTAATTAAAAATAATAATTTTTGGTTAAACAAATATTCTAAAGCATTATAAAAGTCTCATGAATAAAATTATGACTAAGAATTACCAAAAAATAAAATTATAATTAGAAGAAAAACAAAACAAAAACACACAAAAAAACAACACATAAATACAAATATCATCAGAAAATATTAGGCAAGTTTTAAAGTATGTATGTTTACTATGTACATGTATATCACATTTAACTATGTCAAATCATTGTCCCAGGTGAAATATGAAATATAAACAGCTTGATGATAAATAAAAACAACGACTAGTTCCTAATACCCTTTCAATAGTAATACAGGAAACAAAATTTATACTATATAACAAAACAAAAAATTAAAACATTTAATTTAACACTACCTGCAACAAAACTACAAACAAATCCATGTAAACAAATTTATATAAACAAATTAACTACCAGTACTTGCAACAAAACTACAAACAAATTCATATAAACAAATTCATATAAATTACAAATGTATATAAACACATTTTAAAGCTGGTTGTAATGTCTCCAGATAAAAAGGGCAGAGTGTCAAAATGTAAAATTTCTATAAGGAGTTTTAAAAAATGTAAAAAAAAAAAAATCACAAACCATATAAAGCTTTACATCATATTTATAACATTTGGCTAAATTTGCTAATTTTATCAACTTATTTCTACCCCTTTACATACAGAATTTAAGGCTCCTTATGTTTACAAATGTACTTGAAAACAATTTTTACCATGTTAGAGCTGCATGCCTCCAGATGAGCCAAAATATTTCAAGAAAATCAAACTTGAGAAAACTGTACTAAGATTTTAAGGAAAGTTTTCAGTAAAATGATTTAAGATTCAAGTTATTACATGTTATTCAGAGTAATGACTGATTTAGCAGTGATTTATCACTATATTTTTTACTGGGTGACTAATGCAGCAAGGGCTATTTTTGCACATTTTGACCTCTATTTAGTAATTTACATGAATTGTATGTGCAATTTACAATGTTCATTTCAAAATATCATACATGTACCTTTAAATACATTTTCAAATTGTTCATGAAAATTAGCATGAATCTGGAGGCATGCTGCTTTATAACACAGTCTGAATTTTCATCAAAATTATATTCTTTTGAGAATCTTGTCAGCAACTTATATAACAAATTTATAATAATGCAAATTGTAATAGACAACAAGTTTATACAAGAAACAGCAACTTTAGATGCACAGGAAAAAAGACGCTGGTAAAGAATTTATGACTTAAGTCCTTCATCAGGTACGCGAATGCTCCACAATAAAAAGTAATTCAAGTATAAAATAATCATTGTGGTATAACTTTAAATTACTTTTTGTTAATTAATAATAGTTTAATTTAATTATGAAATATGCTGTAAAGAACAAATAGCAACAAGAACTGTCGGAGGACAGTAACGCTCGACTATTCGAAAATTTGTCACAAGGGTGTTTCATTGAGTATAATAATGCTTACCTATATGAATACATAAAATTGTACGAAAAGGTACAAACCCTTCAAGTTTCAATACAATCACAGAGAACAAGTGTGTGAAGTTTCAATCCATTCCCTTCAGTAGTTATGGAGATACCAGCTTACACACAAAAACTTAACCAAGAATTTATGAATCAAAAAAGGGGAATAATTATGCAAAAAAGCAAATCAGAGTTATGGGACTTGTGCCAATCATCTTAGATAATCACAGAGACCAAGTGTGTGAAGTTTCAATCCATTCCCTTCAGTAGTTATGGAGATACCAGCTTACACGCAAAAACTTAACCAAGAATTTCTTAGTCGAACAAGGGGCATAATTATGTAAAAAAGCAAATAGGAGCTATGGGACTTGTGCCAATCATCTTAGATAATCACAGAGAACAAGTGTGTGAAGTTTCAATCCATTCCCTTCAGTAGTTATGGAGATACCAGCTTACATACAAAAACTTAACCAAGAATTTCTAAGTCAAAAAAGGGGCATTTTTATGTAAAAAAGCAAATCAGAGTTATGGGACTTGTGCCAATCATCTATGATAATCGCAGACAACAAATGTGTGAAGTTTCAATCCATTCCCTTCAGTAGTTATGGAGATATCAGCTTACACGCAAAAACTTAACCAAGAATTTCTAAGTCGAAAAAGGGGCATAATTATGTAAAAAAGCAAATCAGAGTTATGGGACTTGCCAATCATCTAAGATAATCACAGAGAACAAGTGTGTGAAGTTTCAATCTATTCCCTTCAGTAGTCATGGAGATACCAGCTTACATACAAAAACTTAACCAAGAATTTCTAAGTCGAACAAGGGGCATAATTATGTAAAAAAGCAAATCAGAGTTATGGGACTTGTGCCAATCATCTTAGATAATCACAGAGAACAAATGTGTGAAGTTTCAATCCATTCCCTTCAGAAGTTATGGAGATACCAGCTTACATACAAAAACTTAACCACAGGGATGCCGACGCCGACAAATGGGTGACTGCATTAGCTCGATTATTCTACGAATAGTCGAGCTAAAAATAAAATCTTTATGACGTGGAAAACATTATTCGGGCCTGCTCAGGTTCTACATGGTATATACTGCACAATGTTTAAGCCAAGAAAATTTGAGTACTACAAATGTATCAAATGTGTCCATCATACACACACCACAAAAAAAAAGTTGATTTTTTAGAAGCCCACATTTTACATGACGTGTCTAAATTCTCAAGTCTCAGTTATTCTGTCTGTCCAAAGTTTGCAGGTTAACAGTTGGTCCTTATAATGCTATTGTTACTAAAAATAATACTTCTATATATAAATATATCCAGATCATTATCTTATTATACAAAAGTGTACATGAAAACAATCTATAACTACAAAATGTATGTCTGTAAATAGACAATAGTCTATAAATAGGGTGAATGTAAAATTTTCAAATTCAAAAGTCAGATTCTTTACTCAAACAGTAGTAAAAATTGACAAGAAAATGTCATAAAAAAACAACAATACATAATTATCATATTGGTACATTATTGTGAACTATGTAAATTGTGTAAATACAAATAGAACATTAGCTGTAATAGACTATACAAGTATAAATGCAAGAACAAAACAAGAGCACCGCTAGGCGGAGCATTATATGCCCGAAAGTGTTTTTTTTTTTTTTAGTAAGGATGAAGCATTTAAAACACATGGGAATTCGCTGTTCATCCTATAAAATTTTACAGCTGTAGGTTGATTAATACTTACGTTATTAATAATGAACTTAACCTTTGACCTTGTGACACCAAAATCAATAGGGGTCTTCTACCTTATATAGACAATCATCCTAAGAAGTTTGAATATTGTGGGCCAATTGGAACTTTAATAATGCTCTAGAAACTGTTTTCAGTATTAAGGTAAAAGTGACTTTGACCTTGTGACCCCAAAATCAATAGGGGTCTTCTACCCAATATGGACAATCATCCTATGAAGTTTGAATATTGTGGGCCAAATGGAACTTACGTTATACTCCAGAAACTGTTTTTGGTTTTAAGGTAATTGTGACCTTGACCTTTGACCTAGTGACCCCAAAATCAATAGGGGTCTTTTGCCCAATATGGACAATCATCCTATTAAGTTTGAATATTGTGGGCCAAATGGAACTTAAGTTATGCTTCAGAAACTGTTTTCAGTTTTAAGGATATAGTGACCTTGACCCTTGTCCTTTTGACCCCAATATCAATAGGGGTCTTCTACCCAATATGGACAATCATCCTATGAAGTTTGAACACTGTGGGCAAAATGGAACTTAAGTAATGCTCCGGAAACTGTTTCCAGTATCAAGGTAATAGTGACCTTGACCTTTGACCTTGTAACCCCAAAATCAATAGGGGTCTTCTACCCAATATGGACAATCATCCTATGAAGTTTGAACATTGTGGGTCAATTGGAACTTAAGTTATGCTCCGGAAACTGTTCTCAGTATCAAGGTAATAGTGACCTTGACCTTTGACCTTGTGACCCAAAAATCAATAGGGGTCTTTAACACAATATGGACAATCATCCTATGAAGTTTGAACATTGTGGGTCGAATGGAACTTAAGTTATGCTCCGGAAACTGTTTTCAGTTTTAAGGTCATAGTGACCTTGACCTTTGACCTTTGACACCAAAATCAATAGAGGTCTTCTACCAAATATGGACAACCATCCTATGAAGTTTGAACATTGTTGGTCAATTGGAACTTAAGTTATGCTCCGGAAACTGTTTTCAGTATCAAGGAAATAGTGACCTTGACCTTTGACCTTGTGACCCCAAAATCAATAGGGGTCTTCTACCCAATATGGACAATCATCCTATGAAGTTTGAACATTGTGGGTCGAATGGAACTTAAGTTATGCTCCGGAAACTGTTTTCAGTTTTAAGGTCATAGTGACCTTGACCTTTGACCTTTTGACCCCAAAATCAATAGGGGTCTTCTACCCAATATGGACAATCATCCTATGAAGTTTGAACATTGTGGGTCAATTGGAACTTAAGTTATGCTCCGGAAACTGTTTTCAGTTTTAAGGTCATAGTGACCTTGACCTTTGACCTTTTGACCCCAAAATCAATAGGGGTCTTCTACCCAATATGGGCAATCATCCTATGAAGTTTGAACATTGTGGGCCAAATCGAACTTAAGTTATGCTCCGGAAACCAAATTGCTAACGGACGGAGGGACGGACAGACAGACGGACGCCAGGGGGTATAACATAATATGCCCTTTCGGGCATATAATAATAAATCAAAAATTTTCTCTAAAGTCATTTGAGAATTAAAGAAACACTGAGGTCAAAAAGCATAAACATATAAAATTTGAAATTTTTATATGCATTTTTTAAGGTTTATTTAGGAACCAATAACCTTTGATAACCATTCAGATGAGATTTTAACCCACAGCAATGTGGAGCAGGTGAATGGTTGTCCGTACCCTTAATCACCTGACCATAGACGCCAATATAGCTGTACTATCACAGTCATTATTATCAGAGAGTCATTTACAAATCAATTAATATCGAATTATTTATAGACAGTTCTAGTGGGTACAATTGAAATTAATATTTCCAGAATTCCTCTTTTATTCCTATATTATAGTACAAAAATATTTTCAGGGTCACTCGTCCTGCAGGACAGATAGTTTTCTTAATCCAATGTACAGACAATATTTTTCTACTCGTCCTGCATTAAGGTCTCTTTTATTCTACTCATAGTTATGAGTGGACAAATGGAATTTTCAATCTCTGAGTACATGTACTTAAAAAGAACATTTTTTACTAAATATGTCCTGATGAAGACCATGATTGTGATTGAAACTAGTATATATTAATATATTACTTAAACCCACAACGTATATTATAATATGACTGTTTGCAATGTGTGACTATGATTATAAAACATGTAAGTTAGTTTGGATTTGTATGACAATTTTATTTGTATGGCTGATTCTGTTATAAAACTTGAATGTTAGTTTCTATTTCTATGACAGTTTCACTTTATTGAAAAATAAGAAAAATACAATTGCTTACATTGTGTGACTATGATTTTAAAAGTTAAATGTCAGTTTCAATTTGTATGACAGTTTCATTTTCATGATAAACTAAGAAAATTACAATTGTTTAACTTGTGTCACTAAGATTATAAAACTTGTTATGTTAGTTTCAAATTTCTATGACAGTGTCACTTTTATTATAAACTTAGAAAAATACAATTGTATAAACTCTGTGACTATGATTGTAAAAATTGCATGTTCCTATAAAAAAAATTTATGACAGTTTCACTTGTATCTTACTTCTTACACGTCCATTAACTTGACTGTTCTATCACGTGATCACTTTACATATATCACTGTCTTCAATCTTGGCCATTTTCACTTGTATAACAGTTATCCATATTATAGCTCAGTCTCTATTAAAATTTCCATTCTATGATACTTAACTCGTCAATATCTCTGATTAACTTTTATCATTGATCTCTTTCTCTGTAAAGTGTTACACATAACAGCTTTTTTTAATTTACAGTCCATTTTCCTCCTTATAAACGCATTATTGAGACTCAAATTTCAAATATAGAGTGAAGAGTGCATCTTATGAACAAATGCTACAGATAAACTGATTAAAAATTTACAAATTTTCTCTATCTTGTGATATTTTCATGTTATCTACCGGAAACACCCTTTTTACTGTTTAACCTGTATAGACATATCTTGCCTTGTGTCAGTTTCACTTACTAGTTTCACTATTATTATTTCATCCCAATGTCAGTTTCACTTTGGTGTCAGTTTCATTCTGATGTCAGTTTCACTTTGATGACTGTTTTACTAACCGCGCAAAGTAACTATCTTGTTCCATGAGTTTTTTGGGTGAATCAAACTCTAACATACGACCACTGGCCATTGTCATCACTCTGTCATACTTCATTATTGTAGAGATTCTATGCTGTAAAAACAGAAAATAAAACCGTGCTCATTAGTATATAAAGCGCATTTTATCTGAAAATTTAAGTAAACCTTCCAAACATGGAAAAAATAACAAGTATTTACACATTTGAATACAATTTGAATACATGCTTTAAACTAAATAATTTTTCAAAATATGAATTAAATCATATATGCTATTCTTAAGGTAAAATGATATAATAACAAAACATTTAACATGACAAACAGTTTTGACATTGCTACCCTTAGAAATGCTTTTACTTTTTCTTTCTCAAAGGCTTTACATTTTTGGTGTCATGTTGCAGTTTCTAAAATTTTACTCATTGACCAATTACTGGAATTTTATTTTGCTTCTGTTACATTTTGGTAATAAGTACAATTATAATGATTTAGTATTTTTCTTGGAAGTCAAAATACTCCATTAGTTTACATTTTGCTACTTTTATGACAAATATCTTTACATTCAGTGCTATTACTCCTGGTGAAATAAGCAACTAACTCTAAAACCATTACTCAAATGTAATAAAACTCCTGGTTGCTCTTTCTAAATAGCAAAAAAAAATATTTGTTTAAGAACCATAATGTGCCTTTAAGAAAAAAGAAACAAATTAAAATTATAAAATCATCATCAAACAGTTTTTTCTGTCCAAAAATGGTTAAGTCATATATTCAAACATTTCAGCACATTAGTGTAACAGAAAGTACGAGGTAAATAAACATAAAACTTACAGCAATTGTTATAACAGTTTTATCTTTGAATACTGTCCCTATAACCTTCTGTAATTTGTTATCTGTTTCAAGGTCAATACTGGCCGTGGCCTCATCTAGCACGAGAATCTTGTTCTCGCGTAGAAATGCACGTGCCAGACAAAACAACTGTTTCTGACCTATACTGAAATTCTCACCTCCTTCAGACACTTTTGAATCTAGAATATAAAACATGACACGTATATATGTTATACTGTGCTTTCCATCAACAGATTGATTCGCTTAATTATCAAACATTCATTAAATCTTATCTGTAGGCTTTATAATCTCTTTGAAACATGACCATTCAAGTGTTTAAGAACAGACTATTAATTTATCTAGAAAGGTTGAATGTAATGGTTTGTTGTTTGTTTTCTTGTGTGCGCTTTTTTTCATATCTTATTTTTTTTTATGGGGGGGGGGGGAGGAAGGTGTGGGGTGTGTTTAGGGAGGTTTACATCGCATCAATACAGTATATGTCATATGGCCATTTTCCAACTTTACTGGAGGAAGGATACCTCTGGTTCCCATCTGTACATTATTTCAGGCACAAACAGGCATCTGAGTAGAACCAATGTTCTATAAGCTAGCTGAATTATGGTCTGGATTAATTATAATCACCTGGAATACTTTCTAAATATACTGCATATGTATGTCATATACCAAGTATGCTTAAAATTTGGAATAATCCATTTGTTTTGAGATTTTAAATACTAGAACTGTAAAACTAAGCTGCCAATATTACAGTACAATCAGACAAAATCAACATTCAGTCCAGTTTGAAAACTATACTGCTGGTTCAATAGTCTACAGTACAGTTACAGGTGATAAAGGGACAACACTCTTGGATCAACTAAACTGAATAATTCTCTTAAGATTTCTCTCCCTTTGAGGAGGTTTTGTTTCTCTGTCATAATTTAAAGAAATCTCTCATACCAACATGTTTTTTGGTGATATTGAAAAACAAATATCCATTGAAAAAACATTGAAAAATGTAATTTCTCCAGATATAAGAAAGTGGATCGCAGTTATATACATTATATACTATACAAACCTAGTTTATTAGGCAAGGCATCTATGGTGTCCTTAAGTTGTACAGACTCCAAGGCTTTCCATAACTTGTTATCGTCCATCTCACCTCCAGGGTCAAGGTTATATCTACAACAAAATATGGCAAATACAGTACCTGGTATATAATATAACAATTATTCCTTTAAAAAATAATCAGAATAACCATTGCAATAGCTTGCAATAGCTTATAGCAATGCTAAAAAAGTTAAATTAAAGTAGGGCTCGAACCCATGAACCCTGGGTTGAGAAAAGGCACCTTAACCACTAGGCCACTACTCCCCTTAATTTAGACTTTGATTTCAGACACAAAAAGTATGATTCTTATTTGTTTCTCCAAGGGAATTTGTTCTTCATATTTTGTTTTTTTATGTAATTTAATATGAAAATATCTGACCAATCATCTTTGGACATTAATCAAACCAAACAAGAAACATGTTGTACATAAATTAAAATAGGAAAATGAAAATTTTAATAACTTGCCAAAAACACAAAACTCTGAGTCAAATTATTAAAATACAATGTAAAAAGCGCTTCAATAGCAAATTTACATAATTTATAGGAGTAAACAATATAAGTCAAACAATAAATTGATGTTAGAAATCAAATCTTAATAAACAAAGCTATAGATAACAAAATACAGGTATAAATTTCCTTTTATAAACACACATTAAACTTCCTTAAAAAAAAACCAACTAAAAATAAACAGTTTAACTTTAAATACATGTGCAATGTCTTAAACAATGCAAAACAGCTTACTGTTCTTATATTAAAACAAAAGAGGACAGATAATATTAAAACATGATTTTGAACCAAATAAAGTAAACTAATGCTTATGTATCTTGTATGATAAATGCCACAGTAGTTGTCATTCAGGATTTTTTAATGAGAAAAAAATTATAAAAATAATAAAGAATAATAAGTTTTAAATATATCAAACTCCAATTATACTTACTTAATTCTTAACCTGCTAAATTATTGACATGGCAGTTCATTCCAGGTTTACAGGATTTTAACCCTTTAAGTGCTGGACCCAAAATATTAAGTATTTGCCACCAGTATAGAGCCAGGCCAGCCTGCACATCCGTGCAGTCTGACCAGGCTCTATACTGTTGGCTGACAAATTTTAAATATTCAAATTGATATCCCTAAAATTGATAATGGACAGTCCCAAAAAATGGTAGTGGGACAAGTCCATTTAAAATATTCAGCATGTTCAGGGTTAATACAGAAACTGAGCTATGAACAGAATAGAACCTAAAGAGACTGCATGAATAACTAATATGCTTTGTATTGGTGCAAAGATAAATTACGTTCAATTCCATTAGGCTAAGATATAATGCTAGAAATAAATGTATACACAATAATTTCAAAAATAACAAATAAAACCTCACAACCCTGCTTTCAAGAGGCTCCGAGTACTGACCTGATTGTCCCAGTAAATAATATCGGGTCTTGTGGTATTATGGCAAGTTTAGACCGCAGTTCTGGAAGCGCAATGTTTGATATATTTTTACCGTCTATAAGTATTTCCCCTGCAGAAATCTCTATCATACGAAATAAACTCAGGGTAAGAGATGACTTGCCACTACCTGTACGACCACATATACCAATCTGGAATTATAATATATCATAGTTATACAATACACTCACTCAGATACAATAAAACTTGTATCACAGTTTTGAGGCCTTTTTTATTGAAAATGATTCAAATTTAAGCAGTACCCCTATAAATGCAATGTGCGTTAACTGGAGTGCAGGTATCAATTACCACTGGTAGGAGCAGTAGTCTAGTGGTAGGACGCGCGATTAGGGATCGAAAGGTCCCGGGCTCAAACCCCACCAGGGGCACTGCTGATTTCCTTGAGCAAGAAATTAACCTGCGATTGCTTCACTTCACCCAGGTGTAAATGGGTACCTGCGAGGGTGGTATAATTCCGTTGCGCCAAATTGTCGGCTGCACTAAGCGTAGTTAAAAGACTCCCCAGGGAGATTGATAGATAGATACCAGTAGCCCGATGACCAGGGGTAATAGCTGTTAAGTCGGTGAACGTGCGTAAGCATGAAACTTAGACTATAAAATTCAATTACTTTACTTTACTTTACAAGTTAACGCATTGTATGTCGATTGTCAACTATTGATTATCTTAATTTTTTCTGGAGTTTATTTACTGTGATGACAGGGAAAGGGATTATGATAAAAGTCATCATATTCAGATGACCGTACATTTGTTTACATTTTTTTTCTGGGGTTTACTTACTGTGATGACAGGGAAAGTTTTTGGATTTTTTGCCAATGATTCAAAAAGACTAGGTACATCAAAACACTAAGCAATCTAATTTATATGCCCCTTCATACAAATCAGATGGCCTCGTGTTTCAATACTTTTTCTAGCAGTATGAAAAAGGATATCAATAATTAATTTTTTTAACTTCAGCAAGAGTGGACAAAAGTTATGTGTCATCCACCAATACAATTTAAAATCAAAATGTCTCCAAACTATTACTTTTTGGGAGACTAGAGAAGTCAAATATAAAGATATCCCTACCAATATATCAAAATTACATATAAAATACATAAAATCATATATGATTTTAATGTGAAGATTTAATTTCTACTTTATAACATCATCTTTTAGATACAGTTCTAAACAAATAAGTGGCGGCACAACGGAGTGGTTAACATGTGAGACTAGTAAGATAAGGTTAGCTCACCCTGTGGGTTTAACCACATCACTTGCTAGCTATTGATTCCTGTACACTCATTGCACAGAACTAGCTAGTTTGCAGGAACTTATTCAAGAATGTCTCTGTAGGCTTATATAAGATCCTACACAATCAAACTGAAACAAATTCTGTAAAAAACTAAACTAAAGATACAAAAATAAAGTTGATACCTTTTCTCCAGGGTTTATGATAAAACTAACATCATTTACAACAGGATCTAGATTAATATCATAACATAGACTGACATGTCTAAATTCTATCTCTCCTACTGTAGGCCAACACTCTTCTTCCACTGGTTTTTCTGAAAATATATGCATTTACTGATGTTCTAGTATTCAAAAGTTAACCTATTTTTAAAAACTTGAAGTTTTATTTTTTCTTAAGACTGCTGTTGGGATTTTTTTTTTAATTCAGAAAAAAGAGGCTATTTTAGATTGGGGCCTTATGATAGGATGAAATGCCGTGAGGGAAAGTGTGATAAATCAAAGAAAGGGTAAAATATGACATCACACACTACCAACAGAGAATGCAACATTGCAATTTCAAATTTAATTGCAATTTAAAATGCAATATTAGCAGAGGAGACCTGTGCTGACAGCTCTCTGTCTATCAGTCAGTAAAATTTATCAACAACCTGATCATAGCTAGTAACTTTAACACTTTGCTTCATAAATGTGTGAAACAATGAATTTTCTACCCCCCCCCCCTTCAAATAGTGAAAAAATGTCGTATTTGGGCCCCAAACACATGTTTTTGTTTGAAAAATGTTGCTAAAAAAAGTGAGCACTTTTTCGGCGCCACCCCCATCATGAGCTCCTTTATGACTATATAGTGTAGCGGAAAAAAAATCAAGGATAATTATAAGGGAAGATTAACATGGTAAAAAGAGACAATGTTAAATAACTAACACATGAGGACTGCTTACCATCTTCAGTAGTTTCAGTTTTGAGCTGTGTGTATTCATCTACACGTTCCACCGCATTCATCATCATTTCTAATTCAGTTGAATTTCTTACAATCCAGTTCAAATAATTTGACACCTGAAAAAAAAACAAAGCAAAAAATAGTACATTTTTACAAGTAAAGCCTAGACACTAGCTGCCTCCTTTGAAACTAAGTGTAAGCAGCAAATAAAGCAGGCCTAGTTTTCCCCATCTGCCAAGGACACTTACTCTTCAGTGTTTTTAAATCATACATTCAACAATAGAACCATGATGGGATTAGATCACAGACCTAAAAATCATTGCTAGACAAAGTTGTAATTTCTACAATAAAGAAAAATAGGTCATTTGGTTAGTTCAAGGTCATTCAATGTCAAATTTTGATTTCAAACACTAGTGTTTCAATGTTTAACAGGGTAAAACGATGACACTAGCTGAATTACTGAATTTTTTTTTTTTTGGGGGGGGGGGGGGGGAGGGAGTGGGGGAAGGGGGTCAGGGTTAACATCGCACCAATACAGTAAATGATTGTCATGTGGTGACATTTCTGGTTAACAAAGACCTCAGGTGTCCTTCTGTGAATTATTTCAGTCACTAAAGGGCACTTCAGTAGAACCACAGATGTTCTGTAAGCTATCTGGATAGCTTCCTCACATGAAAAAAAAAAATTCCCTGTTGGGATTTTAACAAACAGCAGTGAGGGCCAAGTGGTTTGAAGTCAACAGCCCTCACCACTTTGCCACAGATACCCATCATTGAGACCTAGCTACTTAATTACAGTGTATCGTCATTGTACTCTTTTATTATTTGAATATAAAATTGACGATGAATATTCAATTCAAAATCTTTTTTATCATTAATTTGTTTGTTTGTTTTGGGTTTTACGTCACATCGACACAGTATAAGTCATATCGCGACGTTCCAGCTTTACTGGTGGAGGAAGACCTCAGGTGCCCTTCCATGCATTATTTCAGGCACGAACGGGCACCTGAGTAGAACCACCGACTTAAATTTCGTAAGCTAGCTGGATAGCTTCCTCACATGAAAGAATCCAAAGTCCCTGTAGGGATTCGAACCCACAGAGGTGAGGGGCAAGTGGTTTGAAGTCAATGACCTTAATCACACGGCCACGGACCCCCTTTTTATCATTAAAATAGCTAGAATATTATCAAATGAACAAAACATTAATAAATATACATTTATTATCTTATTTATTTATTCATATATTTATGCATTGTGTACTACATAAGTACACAATACAGTCCTTTATTCACCACTGATTTAAATAAGTAAATACCAATGAAACAAAACCAAATAGTATTACATGTAAATCTTTTTAAAACTTGTCTCTTTTTTGTGGCTATTTTACATAATCTACACTTTACTTCCTCATTATACATGGGCAAATATGCCACTCTTTTCCTAATCAAAAATTTTTATCTTAAAACATTTAACTTGAAGGTTTTCATGATAAATTATCTGACATGGTTGTGCAAAATATTGATGGCTTCATAAATGGACTTTTAATAAATATTTCTGTTGATAACCTTATTTAGCTTACACTTTTATGAACTTAATATCTGTTAAATCATGGATTTACAATAAGTTTGTGCAATGACAGACTTGCAATAAATTTGAGTGATCATGAACTTGAATATCTTTGTGGTTACTGGGCTTACAATAATTTGTGTTATTTGTGCAATAGTGGATTTGTAGTAAAGATATATGACAATGGACTTGCAATAAATCTGTAAAGCTGTGTGATTATGGACTTGCAATTAAGTTGTGTGATAATTGACTTACAGTAAACTTGAGTGATTATGTACTTGCAATACATTTGTGTGAAAATGGACTTACAGTAACTTTGTATGATTATGGACTTGGAAAAATCTGTGTGGTTATAGACTTGGATTATGAACTTGCAATGAATATGTTTGTTTAAAGGACATGCAATAAAGCTATTTGAATATGGGCTCACAATAAATTTATGCAATATGGGACTTGCAAAAAACCTGTGTGATTATATACTTGCAATAAATTTGAGTGATTATGGACTTACAATTAATTTGTGCAATTATGGACTTACAATAATTCTGTGTAATTATAAAGCTGCCTGGTTAAGGATTTACAATAGATTTGAGGGAATTTATATTGACTTACATCAAATCTGTGTGAATATGGACTTGCAATAAATTTGTATGACTACGGACTTACAATTAATTACATGTACATATAAATTTACAATAATCTATGCATTTAAGGACTTTTGGATTCTACTAATATTTACAGACTTTTGATCAAGATAAATCTTTTTTGAACCCTTCTGTTATATAATCTGATAGAAAAAGAACACTGATTTAGTTGAACACAAATGGAAGTTACAGGCTCGACAATTGCTCTTATTATTGGATTATCAGTAATTCTGGGACTGCTTTTATTCCTATTCATTTTTTGTTTGAGAAGGCACAGAATGTGGACCAAACAAAAGGTGCAGTTAACAAAGGAATTGAATGAATACTGTGAAGATATATCTGTGTATGAAAATGATCCTCCTAGTCCTGGTAGTGACAGAAAAGTGTATGATAATGACCAAACCAGTGCTGGTAGTGAAAGAAACATTCATGAAAATGACCATCCCAGTACTGGAAGTGACAGAAAAGTTCATGAAAATGACCCAACTGGTATTGGTAGTGACATGAATTATGAAAAAGATAAGCCCAGTAATGGACATGGAAATGACCAACCCGGTACTGGTACTGGCAATAAAGTTTATCATAAGGTGAAGACAGGGTCTGATGATGCCACAGAGGCTGAGAGTCACATTGATGAGACTGATAATTTAATTGTACATGTTCATAATGAAGAAAATGAGGAAATGATAAAAAATGAAAAATTTGCAAACATCCAGAGCATGGAAACTGACCAGGGCAAAGCATCTGACCATAAAGACTTAACCAACAACATAAAGTTTGCTGATTCGATTCACAAGCAAGATGCGCATAATATTGAGGAAAATTGCCATTTAATAACTGAAAATGATCATAGCATAAACACTGACCACAACTGTTCATTTACTGACAGTGATGCAGGAAGTGATTATGATAAGAATACACAGGAAAATTAAAGGAACTCCACTGACCTCTAAAGAACTAAAATACACCATAAAATTTGAAGATTTGTAAAAGATAACAATCAAGATACATATGCCCTGAAATAAATTGAGAAGCATATTGTTTGTTCTACATGTATTTCTTAGCCTGATTTGAGTGAAATTTTTTGCCATTTTTACATTAGAATCTTTTTTTTAAAAAAAGAATGGTGTGAGCAAATAATGACAAATAATGACACAAGTAAATGCTGCAGACCTTCATCAAAATCACCATTAATCTCGAAACAAAAAATTCCAGTCTCGTCATGTCAAAAAAACTTCAGTGGTGTCCCTTTAAAGTGGCATGCCAATAACTTAAGAAAAATATACATATTTTTATTTATATTCACAATACAGGTGTAACTTTGAATGTTCTATGCAAAATAAACAGAATTTACAACATCAGTCACCAAAATTTTACCTTTTTTTATAATGAAACCATGAAAATTTCTCCATTTTTTTAACAAATTAAAATGTATTTCTGCAGGAAATAAGTACCATAAGATATATCTAATTACTTTAATTGTACCAATGATATCCTGTTTTTACTCAAAAGAACAATTTTTTCATCTACCCCTCTCCCCCCACCTCCCAAAAATAAAACAAAATACCCCAACGACAACAAAAGAACAACAACAAATAATATAACTGGAGGCAGACAAGTTAATTGCATACAAACAGGTGACTTGTTTCTTGTTTTGTCATTTATTCTTTGACAAAGGCATTAAAATTTGATATTTATTATATTTTGAAGTGACAAGAGGAAAATAAAGATATCTTTTATCATTAAAACTTCCTGTTAACCATAAATGATATGGCTTTTTTGGAGAAGATTTTATTTAAATTTATTTTGATTACAAGGCATAATTCAAAACAAGCAACTATGAACAACTAAGAAAATAAAAATATTAAAAGGATTCCAGTGAAGTATTTTGATATGACAGGACTGGAAATATATTTCTTCTTCAGATTTTAGTACCATTTGATGGATATGATGGAAGACTGAACCAATAATTTGTATGAAGATTATTTCCTAACTCAATTTGTCAAGAATGTTTGTTTTAATTTTGTAAAATGAACTTGCATGTTTACCATGTATACGGCTAAGAATCAATTTGATAGTCAGTTTAAATCTGTGAACATTACTTTATCGACTTTTACATATTTTACAGTTGTAAGTACCCTAGTTGATACATGTAAGGAAATATAAAATTAAATGCTTTCAGGCTTTTGAATCTAAGAAGAGTTCCTCTAAGTACCTCAGATGTGGAGGTTCTGTAACATTTGAGCTGCTTCATGACAAATCAAACATAATGTGTCTGCGATCAGCATGGTGTGCATCAGCGCAGTCTGATCAGGATCCATGCTGTTCGATTACAGACCCTATAACCAGTAAAGAAACTGAAAGCGAACAGCATGGATCCTGATCAGACTGAGCAGATGCGCAGGCTGGTCTGGATCCATGCTGGTCGCAAATGCGTTATGTTGGTTTTGTTGTGACGCGGCTCATTTATCTAATAGATCATTGTTAAGGTCAAATAGAAACTTTCTAGCTTTACAGGTAGAGGAAAACCTAAAGCACCCCTTTTGCATTGATTGAGTACACCTTAAAAGAACCACAGACCTTCTGTAAGATGGCTGGATAGCTTTCCAGCATGAATGTATCTAATCTTGACAATATAAAATCTTACTCTGAGGTACTGAGAGGCAAGTGATTGTAAGTCATCAACCAATGAGTCAATAACATTAACTTCAGGTGTTATTTCTGAAACAATGATGTTAAATGTGACCAAGTGTGTATGTTTTGTTGGGTTTTGTGTTACACTGATACAATTAGTTATACGGCTACTTTCCAGTTGGAAAGGACACAAAATCAATAACAACAAAACAACTATTGTAGAGTACACAGCTTAAGCTTAAAGCTAATATAAAGGCATCAATTAAACTGACAAAGAAATAATTGCTTTCTTCCACATAAAACACAGCCCCCCCTCTAATCGCCCTCCACCCCCCCCACCCCCCTCCCAAAGATGATTACCGAAACTGTTGGCAATCAGTATAAATTGTAGTGAATAAGTATTTTGTATGGAAGTCAAAATACTACTTTGTTTATATTTTACCACCTTTATGACACTTTAATGCATGTTCAGCGCTACATTTTCAGTTGTTAAACATCTAACATGCTCTTAATCCATTATTCAAACACTATTTGACATTTCTAAAGAATTAAAAAATATTGATTTCAGAGGCATAATGTGCCTTTAAATGAGTTGTGGGTTTAAGCCATACTTAGTCAACACCATTTAACTTATATGACACCAGTTTCAAGTTGAAAGTGAGTAAAATAGGTTGGCAGAACTTTATTTCACACTCAATCTTTAAAGCTGCATGCCTGCAGATGAGCACAAATATTTCAAGGAAATCAAACTTGGAGAAAAATGAGAAAAAGAAAAAATTTTTTTTTAAAGTAAAAAGATTCAAGTAATATTTTACATGTTATACGGGTTATATGCAATTAATTACTGATTTTGATGTACAGGTATAAATCATAACTTTTCTACTGCATGAACTAGGCAGTAAGCTCTATTTTTGCATATTATGACCTTCTTTTTTGGTAATTTAGGTGGTTTGTAAAAGACGTTTGCAAATACTTTCTTTGTTCACTTCACAATATTTTACTTTAAATGCACTTACCATTAAAGCGTATGCAATACACAGTCCTATAAAAGCAGGGTCTGTATTGCCGGCAAGACCAGCGGTCAAACTGGCCACAGATGACACAAATACTAATATAGCACCCATATAATCCTGAAATATATAAATCAAAATAATGCATGTATTCAAACTCAATTATTACAAGAAAGTAAAAAAATTTGAACGTGGATATCGCATGTAAAACTTCAACCAACAATTTTCAAAGTTCACAAATGGTCATAAATCAGTCAATATTCATGCCTTACAAAGTGACAATAAAATTTTTTTCTGAAGACATGTTTCATGTTTAAAGCCAACACCTTCAATATATCTAATAATTCCATAGTTTGGTCAAAATTCATCCTAGAGTCATGTGCCTTGGAGAGTTATCTTAAATTATGATTAAAATTGTAAGCATCTACAGGGGTTGACAAGATATTTCTTTGTACAAGAAGTTAAACATTGAAATTTAACCAAAGTGTTATTCGGACTCTGATACTGACTTGGGTAGGAAAATGCCACAATTTTTCGAATGGTCAAACTTAAAGACAACAAAGGGCCATAACTCTGCTAAAATATGATCAAATTACAAATTTGGCAATAACATGCACCAAGCACTTGTTATTGATGACAATCATTCTCTGAAACCTTTTGAGAAATTGAGCACAAAAGAAAATTGTTAATGTCTACTAGTCTGCAAACTGGTTTAAGAAGACAATTAACATAATAAATAAACTCAAGAGTATATTCTCACCTTAGTGCAGTAGCGGGTTAACACTTACATAATTAAGTAGAAGTTAACCTGTTACTGCACTATGGGGACAATATATGCATATTGGACATTACAAATGAGCCGCGTCATGACAAAACCAACATAGTGCGTTTGCGACCAGCATGGATCCAGACCAGCCTGCGCATCTGTGCAGTCTGATCAGGATCCATGCTGTTCGCTTTTAGTTTCTCTTCTTGTTATACGGTTCGTAAGGGAACAGCATGGATCCTGATCAGACTGCGCGGATAAGCAGACTGGTCTGGATCCATGCTGGTCGCAAACCCATGTTGGTTTCGTCATGACGTGGCTCAAATAAAGAAAGTCAGTGTATATATTTACCAATCTTATACCCAGCCATCTGTTAGCTGTCTGGTTAAACAAGAAAGGTAGGACATTATTGTCTATTGCACTTAGAGCAATCTGTCGGAATCTCACCTGGGCTCTGTAATACACAATATAACATAATGTTAGTAAGGCATTTTTGTTTTTTGTTTTGTTTTGGGTTTTACGTCACACAAACACAGTATAGGTCATATCGCGACGTTCCAGCTTTACTGGTGGGGGAAGACCTCAGGTGCACATTCTGTGCATTATTTCAGGTACAAACAGTCACCTGAGTAGAACCACCGACGTTCTGTAAGCTAGCTGGATAGAGCAAGGCATATATGAGTTAAAAGCTAAATAACAGTAAAGGTAATATTTGCATATTTTGACATCTTTTTGATAATTTACGTATGTTTGCAACTTGTAAATTACCATCTTTGATCTCTTCAAAGTATTTTACTATTATAAAATGTTTTCAAAATTTTTATGAAAATTAGCATGAATCGGGAGGCATGCTGCTTTAACATAAAGGTAATTAATTTTTACTTACTTGTAAGCCCTTATTGTCATCAGACCATTCAAAGTTTCTGACAAATGTGAAAATATAGGAGATTTTGTTACACTGTCTAAACGCTGAAGTTCTCTGAAACAATTGAGAAGGAAAACTGTAAAAATGTAATGAGTGGCTTAAATACATTGTATAGTAACAATTAGATACTCTCTGTTTGGTAAAAATAGTTTCACCTTTAAGCTGACAGGATGATTTTCATATCAGCATTTGTTTTTTACTAAGTGTCATTTTTTAATATGCCCGTAAAGCAATATTAACCTTTCCTTACTTAAGCTGTAGATAGATAGATAGATAGATAGATATTTATTCAGGCTAATGTACTATTCTAGAGCCACTTTCACCGTTAAAATATATAAGCAGTCATGTCTGTCTCTAAAATACTCACTTTCATTCTTGGCCATAATTCACAAATCATGCACAAATCTTAAGAGTAAGCACATTGGTACAATGGCCCAGCAGAATATTCTTTTCTGTTTACAGTCAGTTGCAACATGGGGAAATTGGAACATAGGAAATTGGAACATGGGGAAATTGGAACATGGGAAATTGGAACATGGAAAAAAATTGCAACAAACATGGGAAAATTGGTAGTTATATTATAATAATAGTAAATAAACTTACCTTGCAGTTGCAGTGTAGAATTTTTGCATAAGATAATACAGGATACACACTGGTAAAGCTGCCAACAGGAAGTAAGGTGTCCCAATACAGTTCACGATGATTGCTCCCAATGAAGCAAAGGCACAACGTAATAATGATTCATAGGTGGCTGGAATTTTCTGGAAAAAAAAAATGAAAACATTCTAAATATAGAAACATATATACATTTCAACAATTCTGTTTAAGCCACAGTTTTAAACCATAACCGCTGAATTTCTAAAAATGAAATAGTCAGACTTTCAATTTTTTGGGAGGAGAGGTTTTAGGTTGCACCAACACAGTATAGGTCACATGGCTTTTTCTGGCTTTACTGGTGAAGGAAGACCTCAGGTGACCCTTTTTGTATTATCTCATTCACAAATGGGTACCTGAGAAGAACCACCAACCATCTTTAAGCTAGTTAGGTAACTACCTCACATGAAAGATGCTTGCATGACTTGAACCTACAGCATAAAGAGGCAAATGATTTGAAGTCAACTACCTTAACTACTCAGCCACAGACATCCAGCTCCAACTTTAAATTTCAATCAGTTCATTATCAATTTTGGGGTGTATGAAGTGTATCACTGTCATTGAATATCCATCATTCAATTCATTACTTAAATGGTTTTCACTATACTACTATTACTTGCTTATTAATTTAATACATTGATATTTCATCCATATTTGGCTCTCAACATTTCAATACAAACTGTTCTATTTATCACAGTCCTAAAGGTGTCTATTCTGACAATAGATTAACTGATTCAAAGAAATACATGCCCATTATACAAATTTGATAGTGTAAAGCGCATTTTTTTTTTTTAATTCAAGATATAAAGTTATTGTAACCAAGCAGGTAAAGAAGAGTCTGTAGAACCTGGTGTTGGACACAGAGAAGAAGTTTCTTGTTGTAATCTCTTGCAGTTTCATAGTAATGTCCCGGACAAAGTTCAAAGTGTAAAAATGATCAAAGGGCAATAACTCCAATAAATGTTACATTTAGGTATTAGGTACGATAACATAATCTCACCTGATCAATTTGACCTACGTTACCGGAGAGGTAACTGGATTAGAAGTCATCGACTCTAACCCCTCGACCATGAAGGCGGTATGTATGAAAAAGCAGGTAAATTAAGTGTTACAGTTAGGTATGACAACATTATCTCACCTGATCAATTTGACCTACATCTGATGAAAACCTATTAATGATCCTCCCACTTGGATTTGTATCAAAAAATCTGAAACAAAAATTCATCATACAGTATTAACGCTACACCTCTTTTGAAGAAATTAACATTTGATTCACTCATAACCATATTTGAACAAACTGTTCTAACTTTTACAAATATCAAAATTATACTGATGTTTTAACATGTGCTTTATTTCAAAGATGAGCCTTTAAATACACAAGATTTCAGTTTGGAAACAAGTTCTTATGACAAAATTTAAATCAGAATTTGATACAAATCTAATTATTTGACATTATTGACAATAAGTTCTTCCCTGTGACAGGCCTTGTAGAAGATCAGTTATTCTACATGGATGGAATAATTTACTAAAACACACTTTATGTCTTTCCTCACAAGTTGGAAAGGCATCGCATAACCATAAATGCTTTTTCACATACCAATTATTACCTCCCCTGGCTGCAATTTAGGTGGTCATTTCTAATATATCATAGGCTTAAGATAAAATGCTCTCTTTAAACTCAATAATATAAATAAAAGTACATAAAAGTATAGGTACCTCATAGGGACATGTAATACAGTATTGAGTAAACCGACATGCAGATTTTTGGCTCCTCTGATCCCTGTGAGCTGGAACGCGAACCCTGATATTAACGTGGCCAATACAGCACATATGGACAGGATTATATATGTTGGTATATACTCCCAGTTGTCAAATGTCTGTAAACATAAAATATAAAATAATTAGGAAGTAAAAGCAAAACATCTTGGTTAATGATTGATTGAAATTCTTTTTGTCAATGTTTAAATTTTGTATTTTTGGATGTAAATCTAAACAAAGATGTTTTACAATAGTACAATGTCTTTATCATATTTATCTAATAACTCATGAATATACTTTAAGAAATTTTTAAGAACTTTAATAATTTCAAACATGAAAGAATCATCTATCCAAACTGCAACCCTAATCAGTATTGATATCAGCATCTATACAGATAAGGATTTATTCAAACACATTGATATGAATAATTAAGTTTGGACTGCATTTCTTCTTCTTCTTCTTCCAGTATAAGAGCCGGGATCCAAACGGAACGTAATGAGGCTCTGCGAAAACTATGTACATGGTGAGATGGAACACTCTTCCGCTCAGCGATAAAAGTTGTAAAAACTGATAAAAACTTTATTTACAGAGACGTTGTGAAGTGAATTTAGACGGAGGCCGGCAGGCGCGCGCGGAAAGCATCCAATGTTTCCGCGGCGGTGACTGTTGATGCCAGGCCATTCCAATCAACAATTGTCCTGGGGAAGAAGGTATTTGTATACATCCTGCCAGTGGTGCGTTCTTGGTAGAAACGTATACGTGTTCTACTGTCACTGGTGTTCTTCTTGGATTGGTTACTCAGTGGTAGGTACTTGTCCTTGGGGATGTCTACTAGGTCATGTTGAATGCGGTAGAGCATGCCTAACCTTGCTTCCTTCCTTCTCTGTTGGAGGGTATTCCAATCCAGGATCCTCAGCATTTCTGTCATACATCCAGGTGTTCTGGATTTATAGTCATTTTTGACAAACCTGGCTGCCCTTTTCTGGATCTGCTCAAGTGAATCTATGTGCGTCTGAAGATGAGGATCCCAAACCGTTGCTGCATATTCAAGACCTGGGCGTACAAAAGTGCAGTAACTTGCTGCTTTCAGTTGTGGTGTACAATCCTTCAAGTTTCTCCTCACAAATCCCAGTGTTCTGTTTCCTTTGGCAGCTACATTCTGTATGTGCTTGTCCCATGAGAGGTTGTTGGAGACAGTTACACCAAGGTATTTGCTGTGGTCCACTGATTGCAGGACTTGGCCATGAAGTATATACTGGTGTTGGTGATCTATCTTTCTGTTTGATGATATGTGTAATACATAGCACTTGGAAGCATTGAAGCGCATAAGCCAGGTTCGTTCCCATTGTTCCAAAGCTTCAAGATCCTGTTGCAGCCTTGTCTTGTCATTTGTACTCTTGATGACTCTGAACATGAGGCTGTCGTCCGCAAAGAGTCGGATGTCAGATGATGTGCAGTCAGGCATGTCATTTATGTAGGCCAGGAACAAAAGTGGACCTAGAACGGTTCCCTGGGGAACGCCAGATATAACATCATCTTGGTCAGACTTGGTGCCTTCAAGGACTACTTGTTGCTTGCGGTTGCTCAGGAAGGATTTGATCCACTGGTTTAAGGGACCTCTCACGCCATAGAAATCTAGCTTGTAGAGGAGTCTGGAATGAGGGACTTTGTCGAACGCCTTCTCGAAGTCGAGTAGAATGGCGTCTACTTGGGTACCCGCTGAGAGATACTTGGCGATGGTGTCAACTGTTGTTAAAAGTTGAGTTTCGCATGAGCGACGTTTCCTGAAACCATGCTGGTTGTCTCTCAGTATATGGTTGGTGTCAAAGTGTGACATTATATTACTGTGGACAATGTGTTCCAGGATCTTGCAGGTGATTGATGTAAGTGAGACGGGCCTATAGTTGGCCGGGATGTGTGTATCTCCCTTTTTGTAGATGGGTACTACATTTGCATCTCTCCAGTCCTGAGGTACTTCAGAAGAGTCAAGGGAGAACTGGAAAAGGCGGGTAAGTATTGGTGTCAGTTCATCAGCAGCTAAATGGAGGAACCTGGTCGGAATCTCATCAGGGCCTGCAGCTTTATGGCAGTTAAGATTTTGGAGTAATTTCCGTACTCCTGGTTCCCTAACTGTAATAGATGACATGCTGGGGTGGCTACTTGGTCCCTTGTCAGGTAAGTTCTCTGTGGGTTCTCGGGTGAAGACAGAGCTGAACTGCTGGTTCAGTATACTGGCCTTGCTCTTGCTGTCACTCCGAATGAAACCAGCAATATTCTTCAGGGGAGCTACACCAACCATTTCCTGACCCTTGCTCTTGATGTAGGAGTAGAACTTCTTCTTGTTGTCTGGACTACTGTCACTGATGATGTCTTGCATATACTGCCGGTTTGCTCGTCTTGTGTGCCACTGGACTTCTTTTTGCAGTCGCTTGTAACGATCTCTGTCTCGTTTGGAGTTTGATTTCCTAGCTTTCTTAAAGGCTTTTTGTTTCCGTCGAATGGTTCTTTTGATGGTGGAATTCATCCATGGATTTGTATATTTAGAACAAGTGAGTTTAGATGGTACTCTCTTGGTTATAATTTCTGTGATCTTTGTTTTAAAAGCATGCCACATCGATTCAATGTCTGTGTATGGGGTGTTCTGGAATTCGGTTGCTAGAGTACGGGTGTCTTCTTTGATGGCATTAAGGTCCGCCTTCTTCCATAGTAATATTTTCCGTCTTGCTGGGCGTGGATGGTATGTTTGGATCGAAGTGTCGAGGAGCACAATGTCATGATCGCTGTTCCCTATCGAGGGCATAGGTTTACATCTCATCTTGAAGCTGGGGTGGGTGGTCAGGATCAGATCTAGTACCTTGTCTTTCCTGGTTGGAAAATCCACTAATTGTTCTAGGTTGGAGTCAGCTATCATATCTAGGAAGTGTTTGCTGGTGCTCTGTGGGTACTGTGATCCAGATATGTTAAGAGTTTTCCAATCTATGTCTGGTAAATTGAAGTCTCCCCCAATAATAAATATGCTGTTCTTCGATTTGGGCTTCAAAGTTCTAATCTCTTCTGTTGATTTTGAGAGGTATTCAGAATCAGTCCTGTTTGGTGGTCTGTAGTAGGTTGCTATTGTGATGTTTTTGGATCCTGACTTGATGGTGCCACTAACCAGTTCTGTGTTACTGCTCTTGTAAATGTCGTGTAGCAGGAGATGGTGTTTTGCCGCTATAAGGACTCCACCATGGGGGTTTTCAGGTCTGTCTCTCCGCTGTATGTCATAGCCAAGGTCACTTGGCAGTATTTCGCTAGAGGCCACTTGACTGTCCAGCCAGGTTTCAGTGCCTAAAATAACATCTGGGTCGCAGTCTAGTATGATTGACTCAAGGAGTTTCCCCTTCTTACGTAGGCTCTGGAAGTTTATATTAAGAATGCGTAGCATGTTTTTCTTCGCGGTGGATTTGGCTGAGGTTTGCTGAGGCTTAGGTGAGGAGGTAATTATGTTTGCACCAGAGAGGTTGAAGGTAGAGTTGCTGTGTTCAGTACTCACGCTAGATCTGGACTGCATTGATATGTCTGAAACACTGTATGAAAAAGAGGGGTTGGGTTGATCATCTGTATGGTCATCAGCTACGACTGAATATACTATTGAGGAGTTGTTTGGTTTGTTGCAAGATGGGCATGACCAAGTGTCTGTGCTCTCTCCGAGTCTGCTATACATGGTGGTAGACATACCCAGGCAGGCTTTATGTATCCACTGGTCGCAGTCATCACAGGCTATAGCACGTTGCTCCATTTTACATGCTCTTCCGCATATACCACAAGGGAACTTTGGGCGGCGAGGGCCAGGGTTTGTTTCAATCCCACTTAGCAGCAGTAGAATCAAACCCAGTGAAGATCTATCCTGGATTGCTGGGCGATCAATAAGCCATTTACTCCTAACATGACGCATCCAATAATAGAGACAGAGATCTGGTGGGTGGGGTATGGACAAGGTTGCTGTTGATGTAGTTGCCGGTCTTTGTTGATGAAGTACTTCATCAGGGAATTCAAAATGCATATAAAAATTACTGCATACCAGAATTGTGAGTCCAAACAGCAGTGGGAGGGCCAGATAGTGTTCTTTTCTTTTGTTTACATCGGATTTCATGGGCGCCGCCATTAGAGCCTCGTTTTGGTTTCAGATGGCAAAAGTGGAAAAAATCATATTTTGGTTTTAAAAATCGAATTTCAGTGAAAATTTTTGCTCAAATAGGAGGGTATAATGTTCATAAACATTAAACAATCAAAATCAAATGTTAAATGTCCCTTTGTTTTCTGCAGATTATAAATAAATTTAGAGTTGCAAGGAAGTCGGTTGTTTCATCTCACGCATGCGCACACACGCATTTATTGTCTTCTTTAACAATGCATAATAAACCACACTAACCACATTAAGCAATTCAAATAAAATAGAAAAAGACAGAATTCCTAAAGAAAGCCCAACACGGAAAAACTAAAAATGTTGCAGGCTCGGTTTGAGAGAGCCTGTTCATGGACGGTACTAGAAAGTACATCTTATTGTCCATGCCCTCCATTACCGGTTAAGGCAGAATTCAACACAAAATAGTGGAATTTTTAATTTAGAAACATACACAGATGTGTTCATACAGTTTATTCAGTCAAGACTTCATAATTTATTTTCATTTCGACACAAAATTTAGATTATTCACAAACATTTTAGGTTTGGTCTGGTGTAATATTTGAACAACTTACTTGCGTAGAATTATGAGGTTCAGACTTGACGAACTCTGTTGATTTACTCGCCCAATGTGATACCCAAATATTAGTACTGACTAGAAGTGTCTGATTGGTTAGAAGAGTGAGAACGGAAAATAATGCAAACGGTATTCCACACGCTCGTATATGACTAAAATATACCCGTATGCTCACTGAACCAACTTCTCGATGTTCCTTCTTTATAAGTTTTCCTACCTCAGGTTTACTCTCATCACCATGCTCTGTAAACAAATGTAAATGACAGAGACTGTGTATGTTCTTTTTAAGTGTGTTTCTATTGTGCTTTTGAGAAACATAATTAAGATTACTCAACAACTTTAAACCTACAAGGAAAAACAACATTTTACTGTTAATAGCAGAGGGAGACTGCATCTGTCTTAAAACAAAAGTGGGCACTTTAGTTAAACCATTAACCTTCCAAGGCTTATTGGACGTCTTTGTTAAAACTTACAAGAGTGAACTATAATATTCCTTATGGGATATTATTAAAGAAATCTATATAACAACATGGTCAAACCTTTATCATAATCATCGTCTTCGTCTTTAACTTCACCACTTTCATTTCCTGAAGGAGATTCTATTGAGACTGGTTCACTAACTGTTGACAGCTGAAATTATTCCCATACCTTATATTAACATTCTGGTTCACTAACTGTTGACAGTTGAAATTATTCCCAAACCTTATAATAATATTCTGGTTCACTAACTGTTGACAGCTGAAATTATTCCCATACCTTATAATAACATTCTGGTTCACTAACTGTCAACAGCTAAAATTATTCAGATACCTTATAATAACATTCTGGTTCACTAACTGTTGACAGCTGAAATTATTCCCATACCTTATAATAACATTCTGGTTCACTAACTGTCAACAGCTGAAATTATTCCCATACCTTATATTAACATTCTGGTTCACTAACTGTCGACAGTTGAAATTATTTCAATACCTTATAATAACATTCTGGTTCATTAACTGTTGACAGCTCAAATTATTCCCATACCTTATGATAATAATATTCTGGTTCACTAACTGTCAACAGCTTAAATTATTCCCATACCTTATAATAATATTCTAGTTCACTAACTGTTGACAGCAGAAATTATTCAGATACCTTAAATTAACATTCTGGTTCACTAACTGTCGACAGCTGTAATTATTCTTATACCTTATAATAATATTCTGGTTCACTAACTGTTGACAGCTTTAATTATTCCCATACCTTATAATAATATTCTGGTTCACTAACTGACGACAGCTGAAATTATTCTGATACCTTATAATAACATTCTGATTCACTAACTGTCGACAGCTGAAATTATTCCAAAACCTTATAATAACATTCTGGTACACTTATTGTTGACAGCTGAAATTATTCCCACACCTTATTATAACATTATTATCAATAATATAAGTTTTTTTTTCACAATACATGGCCCATTTTATAAGAAATGAAAATTGATAAAAACATGTCAAACTACATTCAGGGATGAAGTTATTTTCCGACATCATTTGGTTTATTGATGTCATATCTGACATCATATGATATAGAGGATATTTTTTTGTTTGTGTGTAAGATGAAATTTTATTTCATCGAGTGGGCTTTAAAAACAGTATTCTCAAGAGTGGCGTAGATGAAATAGAATTACATCTTACACAACAAACAGACAAATTTTCTTTTTATTTTATGCTTTAAAACAAGTTAAAACGAAATTTCCATAATTTTAACGTTAATATTAAAATCTGTTTTCCCCATGGAGAGCCCCATTTAGAGGGAATTTCTCATTAAAAACAAGAAGTCTTGAGCTGGGAAATAAGTCCGCCAATCAAGGTTAAATGACGGTGATATTTATTCATTTTATTAAAAAAATATGAATGATCGCTTGTTTTAATAATAAAAACAAACAATTCTTGTAGGAGAAAAAGTCCAACCATCCATCTATATTTCTGTTACTTAATGCGAATTTATATTAGACCTGGCTTTGTAAAATGTAAGCCGCAGCCATTTTTTAAAGTTGTGTTTTTCATGGGAGGAAAATAATTGTGTAAGATTCAGAAGGATATAATTTGGATTTGTTAGTCATACACCTTTTTAAAAGAAAGAAAACTTATTTGAGGATTGTAACAGACAAAAAATAAGTGTTGACAGAAGTGAAAACATTCAGAAAAGGAGCTAGGAAAATGGAAAATTTGGAAGCTTAATGCTAAGGCATTGTAAGGAACGCTGGGTTGTTTTACTTATTTTACGAGTGATGGCTGTCAATGCTTTTCAATTTTTCATAAAGCATACGGCAGTTATTGCTCGTAGGATACTTTAATATGCCCAAATGTCATCAAGAGCAGTTTAGCATGGGGAAGGAATGTATTTTTCAGAGTGTAAAACGAAACAAAAAAATTTAGAGACAAAATTTTGTGATTGGAATTTGAAGGAATAGAAGTAAGTTTTATCTCTTTATTTCTTTTGACATTTTAGTTATTTATCTATTTCAGCTTTGCTATTTTTTTTAACAGCCTGATATTGTCAGAATTGTCAGTAAAAATTAAATTGAGGTACCACATGGGGAAAATCTTATAAAAGTAGTTTTGTCATTGAAAAAAGTGAAATTATATTTTGATAATTTTCACTGTGAAATTATCAAATATAATTTTCACAGATAAATCAGTAATCCACTGAAAAGCATAAAATAAAATGATGTATAAGCATTCTTTTTTTATGCTGTGCATATATCGTGTAATAATGCACTTGATTGTCCTATCTTTTTGATAGGGGAATGGTGTGTAGTGTGTTAGAACATTAATATTAGCAAATATCCTAATTTTCATACAACTGGTTATATAAAAGTATAGTTTTCTTGTAACTGTCAGCATAATAGTCTTAATAACTTTATACATACAAATAATAACCCAGTCTGATCAAAGTATACTGACGACATTACTGACTAAAACTAACGAATCAAACAATAGCATCACTCTATACCTGACATAGCCATAACATGTTTGGGAATCAACGTTTGCAACCTATATAAAAGGGAATATGTACACATGTTGTCAAAGCATTATGGAAAGTGCAAATTTAATATTTAATTGAACTATGCAATATGTTGTTTGATATTATGAAGATATAACATGTATACAATGTTTAGTTTATTATTGTCAAAGTATCAAATACAAACAAAGACAAAAAAGTCATATGTATCAAAATTTTGTACATATATAAATTATATTACACATTTTCTTATAACAAAAGAAGAGCAATCATACCTTGCCATTACTTTCTTTGACAGGATCTTCCTCTATAGAAACCTGACTCTTCTGGCTAATCTCACTGAACTGTCTCACAGGTAGGTGATCTATTGTTCCATCTAGTGTTTCTGAATCCTTACGTCTGTCAAATACAATAACTTAACAATAACACAATCACGCCTTTCATCACCTTGCATTATAAAACATACCCGTGCCACTTTTGCTGCTCCATAAATATGGTATAGCACACCAGTGCATATATTTTAACACAATAAAGTACTGGAAACAAACTCGATTTATGTAGTGAATTTGTCATGCTTTAATCATGTGTAAGAGGTTCTAATATCAAAATGTAGGAATTTCAGCAACATGTAAGGATTGGACCTGATCAGATTGTATCAGTAAGCAGACTGGACTAGAGTTATACAGGTTGAAAAGGCTTAATATTCCCACTATCACTGTAACAGATTATAGTAATAAGTTGGTGTATCTTTTTTATTCCAATTTCAACACATTTTTGGTCATATCTTTGCTTGACAGTCCATCTAACCTGCTTTCCAGGATAACTAACCAGTAATTACTAATGCAGACAAATTATATCCCTAACCTGTCTAATTCTAATTATCATTTAAGTGGATTACAATCAGAATTTTCACCACAGCATATTTGTTAACAAAAGAGCACATGTGAAAGTTTGTGGATAAATCTAATGTCACTCAAGTAAAAGGTCAGAGTAGAGATCTTTTAATTTAACTGTGAGTGACCGACTACTGATCCCACATCATGATATTTTTTTCTAATCAGCTTTCAGAGATAAATGACCATTAGACTCAATTGCAATGGTGTAACCTCACAAATGAAAGTAGAAAAGAACTTACACAGACTCTGCTGCCTTGGCATCTTTGAGAGCTTTTCTCCAGGATTCATACAAATCTGGGTGTGTCTTTTTCACCTCTGTTAATTTACCCTGACATGCTATCTCACCATCCTTCATGACTAAAACCTGTATTATTAAACATATAATAATATAACACAAGATTGTCATCAAATATGATAATTTTAGTGACACATATAAGACTTTACAAGATACCCTAGCAAAGTTAATGTTAGGTATCTGCAACATATAATTATAAAAGATCCTGAATAATTCTGATAACTTTTTGGAAAAGTTGTAGATAGGGATGGGTGGTATAATGGCTAAAGATGCCTCTAAACTCAGTGACCATCATTTGAAGCCCTGCTCAGATTATAATAATATTTTTTCAAGGCTAGTCGCAGGCAGCAGACTTGAGGTTGATGGATCAAAAACTTAAAAGTGTGTCACAGACATGGATAGCTTTTATTATTCTTATTTATAGTCTAGCAAAGAACCATGTCTTTTATATCATATGATAAATAGAGGACATTCAGTAAATGTGGATTTAATATTGAATTTCTTGAAAGAGATGAATAAAACAATATAATATTGTTTTATTCAACTAGTTGAATAAATTTAGTATTGAATCTACAAGAATATATTCTTTTTGTTATACATTGTATATCTAAAACAAGAACCGGTTGAACAGGGTGATGCTCCCCGAGAAGGTTCTGGACACAGGAAAGTATAAAAAAATGAACAAAGGGCAATAACTCCAAAAGTAGGCAAGGCAGAGTTATGCTTTTTTTGCACTGCACTTCTATTCAATGAGATCTATCTATCTATAGAGTTATGTCCCTGGTAAAATTCAAAGTGTAAAAATGAACAAAGGGCAATAACTCCAAAATTAGACCAGGCTTTGTTTAGGTTCTTTAAGCATTGCAGTTCTATCCAATTATATCTAGCTACCTACAAAGTTTCATGTTGATATTTCTAATAGTTTTAAAGTTGTCCCGGACAAAAGTCAAAAAGTAAAAATAAAACAAAGAGCAGTTACTTCAAAATAAGGCAAGGCAGAGTAATGATTCTTAAGCACTGCACTTCCATCCAATGAGACCTATCTATCTACAAAGTTTCATGTTCAGATATCTCTTAAAATTTTAGAGTAATGTCCCGGACAAAGTTCAAAGTGTCAAAATGAACAAAGGGCAATAACTCCAAAAGTAGGCAAGGCAGTGTAACAGTTCTTGTGCACTGCAAACCTACTTAATGAGATCTATCTACCTACAAAGTTTCACGTTGATACCTCTTATACTTTTAGAGTTATGTCCCTGACAAAGTTATAAGTGTGAAAATAAACAAAGGGGGATAATTAAAAAATTTGGCAAAACGGGTTATGGTTCTTGTGCACTGCACACCTACTCAATGAGATCTATCTACCTACAAAGTTTCATGTTGATACCTCTTATAGTTTTACAGTTATGTCTTGGACAAAGTTCAAAGTGTCAAAATAAACAAAGGGGAAAAATTCAAAAATTAGGCAAGTCAGAGTTACGGTTCTTGTGCACTGCACACCTTCTCTATGAAATCTTTCTACCTACAAAATTTCATGTTGATACCACTTATAGTTTTAGAGTTATGTCCCAGACAAAGTTCAAAGTGTAAAATAAACAAAGGGGGATAATTCAAAAATTAGGCAAGGCAGAGTTACATTTTTAGTGCACTTCAAACGTACTCAATAAGATCTATCTACCTACAAAGTTTCATGTTGATACCTCTTATACATTTAGAGTTATGTCCCGGACAAGTTCAAAGTGTAAAAATAAACAAAGGGGGATAATTCAAAACTTAAGCAAGGCAGAGTTACCATTCTTGTACACTGCACACCTACTCAATGAGATCTATCTACCTACAAAGTTTCATGTTGATACCTATTATACATTTAGAGTTATGTCCCGGACAAGAAAAGGGGACGGACGGACGGACAGACGTCCGGCCGAAATGGAATAAAGGGCCATTTCTTTTGTTATTTTCTATTGTTTAATAAAGGGCCAATGGCCCCTTACTCTATTGTTACAGAATGATTTCTATTGTTCTCTTTTGTTCTGTTTACAGTTATATGGCCCCCTATCCCTATTCGGTAGTGCGGACAGCCGGACGGACGGACGGAGGGACGGACGAGGCGGCGACTATATGCTCCCCGAAAAAATTTCGGGGGAGCATATAGTCGCCGCCTTGTCCATAAAAATGAAGTTTAATGTCCGAAAGAGACGGTTTTTATTGACCACCTATAGAGTAACACTAACAGCATTCACCCTATCGTAAACTTCTGGACTCCAGGATATCACCTTCTCTTACAGGGCCTTTAAAGTTACATATATAATGCAAATGATGTCAAGTCAACGTGTTATTATACTTGCGTAATATCGTTTTTATAAAATGGATTGATTACACTCCTGCGCCCGAATTATTAAATAAACAGATTTACACTTTATGATTTATGTGATAAACTGACTTACACTATATGATTTGTGATAAACTGACTGACACTATATGATTTATGTGATAAACTGACTTACACTATATGATTTATATGATAAACTGACTTACACTATATGATTTAAGTGATAAACTGACTTACACTATATGATTTATGTGATAAACTGACTAACACTATATGATTTATGTGATAAACAGACTTACACTATGTGCATAGTTAAGGTATTGAAGTTGATGTGTGACTAGTATAACGGTTTTCTTTCTCCTCATCAACTTCTTCATGACCACGTCATCAAACACGTGACGACCCACGTGGGCGTCAAGGGCAGATAATGGATCATCCTGAAATGAAATAGAATATCGGATATCACTTGACATACGTTTAGTTCACAAGTTTTATAATCCAATTAATACTACTATTAACATGTTAAGAAAAACATTAAGCTAATTTTTTTTCTCCCTTTTTAAATGTAAGTTGAAACGATTTGCCAATATAAGCCGAAATGTAGTGACGAAGAGCTCATACAATGAAAATATGACAAGGTAATATGTTCATTAAATGTCTAGTAAAACTATGATACTATTGACCAATTTCAATTCATATATTATTCACTATAAGGCAACCTTTAAGTATTCTGTCACTGTACACAGTACAAACAAATATTGAGTATAACATACCATGATTATAATATCAGCAGTAGAATATAAAGCTCTAGCAATACTGATTCGCTGTTTCTGACCACCACTTAGATTTATACCCTGAAAATATATCAAATTACAAATCAATTAAAATCCAATTTATACCCAATCAAATTAAAACCACGAAACAAGTGATAGACTTATAAATCTTTAATTTTGGCATAACTGGCTAAGAAACATCAGACCAAATGAATGATTATATGATAAATATGACTAAAACTGGAAATAAGACATAATACATGTTAAAACCATTAAGTCTGGTGTAGTCCGAGCCAGTATGCCTCCTTCTTTCTTGGTATTGGCTTACGAGCCTAATCCCGAGGCTGCATACATATTGCTGCTGATGCGGGTCCTACTTTGTTGATAAAGGAGCTGAATTTAGTCACGTGGTATTAGAAACCGGATATAGGTCAAGTACCGACAATGTAAACATCAAATCGAAAGTAGAATTAATTTAGATCTTGCATAAACCGCGTTTACTACGTAAACTTCAATTAAAACAATCTTACTCAGCCATACAGATTTACTATATAATCTGTCACATTTTATATTAATTTCTACATAAAAACTAGAAATGTGTCATCATGCCATGGATGCCCCCGCATGCAGCCAAAATTTCAGATGTTATAATATTTAGTTCCAAATTTGTTTGCACAAATTATTTTTTTCATTTGCAGTTCAAAGCCCTTAAAACTTTTCAATGTTAACACAAACCATTTTCCTACAATGTTCAAGGCACTGAAATTATTCAGTCTTGACCTTTTGAAAATAGCATATTTCATATTTGTAGCCAAAATAATGGCTACATACATTTCCACAAAAGTATGAGTGCTGAAACTGAAAGTTCAAAATTTTTCCAACATTCAAGAAAGATAAGTTTGTCCAAAATCATTGAACCACGACCAAATTCAAACTTAAACTGTTTATTCCTAAGATGTATCTGTTTTATTTCCAAAGTGAAAGGGATATCACCATGAACAAATTCCAACCTGCCCATTCCTTTGACATATCCATATGTCAAATTTGAGTTGAATATGTAACACTGTTTGGTAGATAATGAACAGAAACTGTAAATTTCATTTTATTTTCAATGTGAAAGGGGCATAACTCTGCCAAAAATCATTGAACCATGACCAAATTGGCACTTGACCTGTATTTTCCCATGAAATGTCCATATGTCAAATTTGAGTTGAATGTGTGCAACCGATACTAAAATAATGAACGGAAACTGATGATGACGGAATGACAGAATGAAGGAATGACAGAAGGACGGAACAGGGTAACACTATATGCCCCGGCCATTACTTGGCGGGGGCATTAAAACACTTTTAACTGCTTCTTTTCCTAAGATTCATTACATAAACAAAAGCTGAAACGGTTTACTGTAGATCATAACATATGAATGTGTGTGTTTTACCTTTTCACCAATTTCTGTAGCATCACCGGCAGGAAGACTGTCTATATCAGGCTGTAATGCACATGCCTCTATCACTTTCTGAAATCTGTAATATAAAACCCTAGTATCACATCTCAAAACCATACACTCTCATTTAAACCTTTTTTTAAATTTTTTGATATTAAACAATTCTAGGAATTGACGTATCCCTCTCCTGTTAGTTCTTAGCATGTATATTATACATGCAGATTAATTTTTCAATAAATTTCATATAAATTTTCTATTTACAACAATGATATATATTAAAGAAAGGAAAAACAAATCTTGAAAATTCTAGTTTGACTGCAATTAACTTATCTGCTTTTTCTTCCTTTTCTCTTTTGGTTTTAAATTTTCTATTAACAATTTGCTACAATTTTTGAGATTTTTTGTGTCATATATTCAATTTTCTCAATTATTTGAATGCTAAATAACCAGGATATTTAGTTGCTTACAAAAGAAGAGATAAATATGAATATGTTACTCCAATATGAATATGTTACTCCAATACTTGACAAATGAAATCAAATGTTCACCTCTTCCATGAGTATGAGTTTCCAAAGAGAATATTCTCTTTCAATGTCTTGTTTAGTAACCATGGTTTCTGTGAAACATAAGCAATACTGGCGTTCCTGAAAAAAAATATATATTTCAAACTTTAAGGATAAATTTTCACTTCTTCACATGAAAAGAATTAAAGTTAAATCTAGACAAAAGTGTTCATAAAGGATGTAGTTTCCAATTATCAAAAATGTTCCCGTGATGTTTGTGAGAGGTCAGATGAAAGCCAGTTTAAAATGGTGATTTTATCTCGTGTAATCATTAACTAAGCATCAGTAAAAGCAACATGTTAAAACAAGAAAATGTTATCAAATAAACTTAAATTTTTTATTTTTCATCATCTCCCTAAAAAATAGTTACATTTATCAACGATCTCCCCATAAATCTCAGTGAAAACATTGATATTTTTCCAAAATCATAATAATAATAATAATATATATAATTTTACCTGCACCACTGAACTTTGCCTGTCACTGTCAACATCTCTCCTAATAAAGCTGATAATAGTGATGATTTACCACTGCCAACAGTACCGACCACCATAATTAACTTCCCTGAAATATATCAGTCAAATACATCATAATACGTTTACATGTACTGGCACTTTAATATTTAATATTGGCTAATCAATTTCACAATCCATTTTTACCTTCCCCATATAGGGGGGGCGGGGGTTTATACATTTTCCCTGAAACTTAGGACTGTTCCAAATTGAAAGCTGGGCAATCCCTTATACAATCCAGCAGGTTCCATGTTATAACAAAGCCAGATGAGGTAATATGAATGGTTTAAAACTGAAAATACTTTCAGTGTTGCTTATATATCTATAAACCATTTAAAAATTAATATATTATAACTGAAATCATATTGCCTTATTTACCTAATAATGATAATAAAACTAGAAATGTGTCATCATGCCACGGATGCCCCCGCATGCAGCCAAAATTTCAGATGGTGCATTAATTATTTTTTTCATTTTAAGTTTAAAGCCCTTAAAACTTTTCAATGTTAACACAAACCATTTTCATAAAATGTTCAAGGCATTGAAACTATTCAGTCTAAACCTTTTAAAAATAGCATATTGCATATTTGTAGCCAAAATAATGGCTAAAAGTAAGAGTGCTGAAACTGAAAGTTCAAAATTTTTCCAACATTCAGGAAAGATAAGTTTGTCTTAAATCATTGAACTACAACCAAATTCAAACTTAAACTGCTTATTCCTAAGATGTATCTATATTATTTTCAAAGTGAAAGGGACATAACTCTGCCAAAAAATCATCAAACCATGACCATATTCCAACTTGACCTGCCCATTCCTTTGACATATCCATATGTCAAATTTAAGTTGAATAATGTAACACTGTTGGGTAGATAATGAACAGAAACTGTAAATTTCATATTATTTTCAAAGTGAAAGGGGCATAACTCTGCCAAAAATCATTGAACCATGACTAAATTCGAACTTAACCTGCGCATTCCTTTGACGTATCCATATGTCAAGTTTGAGTTGAATGTGTTGTACGGTTGGGGAGATAATGAACGGAAACTGAAAATTTTATATTATTTTCAAAGTAAAAGGGGCATAACTCTGCCAAAAATCATCGAACCATGACCAAATTCGAACTTGACCTGTATTTTCTCATGACATATCCATATGTCAAGTTTGAGTTGAATGTGTTGTACCGTTGGGGAGATAATGAAAGGAAACTGAAATTTCATATTATTTTCAAAGTAAAAGGGGCATTACTCTGCCAAAAATCATCGAACCATGACCAAATTCGAACTTGACCTGTATTTTCTCATGACATATCCATATGTCAAATTTGAGTTGAATATGTGCAACCGTTCTTAAGATAATGAACGGAAACTGATGATGACGGAATGACAGAATGACGGAAGGACGGAATGACGGAACAGGGTAACACTATATGCCCCGGCCATTACATGGCGGGGGCATAAAAAATATCAATCTTGTTTTATTCTAAAATGTAAAACAAAACGTACCACTTGGTATTTGAAGATCAATGTTTTTCAGGGCTAACTCTTTTGTTTCCAGATCCCAGGAAAATGCCCCACCGGACACCTCTACAGCATACTGGGGATCACACTCCTGAAGCTCTTCTATAGACACCCCGCTCATCTGTCGCCGGCGGTGATGGTGATGATGATGATCACCCACGGCTGATAATGTGATCGCTAAAATATAAAAAATTTTAATTTTTTATTACAGGAGTCCAAAATCATTTAATGTTTCCTATCAAATAACTATTAAGTAATTATAGTTAACCGGGTATATTAAATAGACAAATGTGTTTGTTTCTTAAAGACATTAAAGCATGATGAGCAAGGTGAAAATGATTATGCTGTCAATAATTATTTAATCTAATAAGTCCTCTGTCAAAAATTCATATCAACAATAGGTGTATAATTTATTTATCTATCATAATTTCTTTAAAAAAAAAAAATGATTTTGATTTTTTCATTTTCTTTTTAATTGAAATTATCTCTTTTTTTTTGTTTTTAAATGTTATTTCTTTATTTTGTTACGGTTTACAGACATGTATAATTAGTTGAAATGAATATAGTAAAATAAAATGAAAAAACATGGTAAAATACACAATATTGAAAAAATAATAAAATAATGCATTGGTATACATTTTTTTTTCTCGTTTTTTTCTTCTTGTTTTTTAATTGAACTACAGGAAATGTACAAAAGCATGTTGTGTTTTAACATAAAAATAAAACATCAAAATGGCAAAATTTAAGCCAAAATTTTGCACCAGATAATATTATAAGATTTTTAAAGTTATTCTTACCCCATACATTTTATACATATATTAATATGTTTCATAAAGAAGTTAAAATAAAATGAATAAATCTGTTTATTGTATAAAAGCAGGCATTATGTGCAAAGGTGCTATCATGGTTACGATAATAAATAATTGGAAATTTAAGTAATATCTGATTAACTCATGGTTCAACATTACATTGCTTTTGGTAATAATTACTTTTCTATGCAACAAGTAGTTCGAACAGACTGTGTCTCCATTACAATCTCTTATAATACTGTAAGCTTGTTATTTTTATCATTTTTATCTTGAAATAACTGGGAGTCTAAATTCAACAAAACAAGGCAATTCAATCACCCCTGAATAACAATTTACCTAGATGATGCTTTTAATGTGAACAGTGATTCTTCATGATGACTAAAACTTTCAAAAGATAAATGCTTTTTTTGTGGTGTTTTTTCTTTTTCATGTGCACTGTTAAGGTCATATATGGGGATTTTCTAACTTTACTGGTGCAGGAAACCATAAAGTGCCCCTCTGTTTATTGTTTATTATCAAATACTACAGGAGCAACTGGAGTAGATTTTTTATCGTCAACATTCTGTAAGCTTCAACACAATGTCATGAAATAATCCCAAAATCCCAGGCAGGATTCAGACTCACAGGGGTGAGGGGCAAGTGGTTGGTTCAAAGTCAGTTACTGTACTTCTGTGATGAAAATGTTTTGCTGCTAATAAACAAAAATCTAAATATTTCTTTTCACAAAAAAAATTCAAATTATAAAAAATATATTAGATCACAATAATCCAAAAATTTTCAAATTATAAAAAAAGTAATAAAGCACAATATTTAGTTAATGACACAAGTAATGTACATTAAGACAAAAAAATCGATAAAAAAAAAAAAGAAAAAAAAAAATCACAAAAAATTATTTCCTTTCAATTTCAATTACTACATAGATTCTATAAGATGGTTTCACATTAGTAAAATTTGTATTATTCTAGCACTCCTAATTGTTTTGTTTTGTTGTGTGTGGATAGTCAAGATTGGATATGGTCACTATATTATTAAATTAGCAGGAAAGATAATGAAGAGGTGTTAATCAACCATAAGAGGTGTTAATTAACCCAAAGGAAAAGATGAAAATCTCCATGAGAAATTCTTTATGCTTAAACTTTTGAAAAACAATAATAGTGACGAAATATGAAAAGAGCTGTCAATATGACAGCATGCTCGACAATTTCCTGTTTTAAAGTAAAACAAGAATGGATAATGTAGAATTTTCCTAATTTAAAAGGGCCATAATTCTATCACAATTCATGTTAGAACTAAGGGCCTTGGATAGCGACCTCCTATTATGCTATCAAATAAGTACGTGGAGTTTCAACCCATTCCCTTCAGTAGTTTTAGAGAAACTTACTTGCAAGCAAAAACTTAACTAAAGTAAGACATCAACACGTGGGTGAGTACAACAGCTCTCCCTATTCTACAAATAGACAGGCTAAAAATGTACTGTTAATAGTTAAAGAAAAATGCAGAGGGAATACAATATGTTTAATCTGATTAACATACTAAGTGATATTGTACAGGACAGCTGTGTAAAATTTACAAGAAATTATTATCTTTACTCAAGACCGATACAACTGTCACAGAAGTGACCAATACCCCCATCATCTCACGGACAGACAATTTATGGAGGTCCAATTGTCATTTATATATAAGATAAACATTTTAGCAAAGACTGAAGTAAGTCATAGAGTGTAGAATTCATAGTGTGGACATAAAATATAACCTTCAAGGGTGACCTTCACTTTTAGCCTGGCACAGCAGCAGCATATCATGTTGAGGTTAACATTTAAGGCCAAGTTTGAATAAAATCTTTCAAGGGTAAAGGATTTATAGTGTGGACACGAAATTGTTCGACATATGGCCTTCAAGGGGGGATCTGACCTTCAGCCAGACACAGCAGCAACACTGGTTCTGCTCATCATCTCGTTGAGGTGAACATTTTAGGCCAAGTTCGAAGAAAATCTAACAAGGTAAAGGATTTATAGTGTCACAGTAATTGTCTGACATTTGACCTTCAAGTCTGTCCTTGATCTTGAGCAAGGACATGGTTGGGTATGAGTGCTGCAACATTGTCTTGTTCAAAACACCTTTTTTAATCAAGGGTCATAACTCAGACAAGGATCATTCAACTGGAAAACCCATTAAATATGCACAAGTACTTGAGGTATCGATCAATCCTGTAAAGTTTCGCTTAAATTGCATTAGTAATTAGAAATAACAAAAAAATGGCCACAAAAAAAAACTAGAAGATATGTACAACTAGACTTGTTACTGATCATTCCTGAAAAGTTTGGAATAAATTGCACCAGTAGTTTTCGAGTTATCCAGACAGACGGACAGACTTTGAAGGATGTACTAACATTAAGATAGATACATGTAGGTGGCTATTCTATTGTTCTCCCTATCATTCTTTTAGCCCCATAAGAGCAAACATAGCCAAGTAGGGGATTTAGAAATGAGTGTGATCAAAGAAAAAGTTCAGTGACCAGTATTATTCCTGAAGGCATCTATGTATCCAAATGTTAGCACAGACGGATGGACGACAAAGAAGTTATTCCTTTATGTTGCCACTCTGTTGTAGGCAACACAAAAATCATTCCATTCCAGGTAAAGGACTAATAGAGTGGACACTGAATTATAAGACAGACTGATGTGACAAAGTGATTCCTGTAAAGACCCTCGGTAGGTTTATGTGGCTGGCAAGATAATAATGCATTCTGAATGATAATTGTTTACATAACAGCATTGCATCTTATGTGTATCAAATTTCTGTTTAAATTTGATTATTTTCCAGTTATAAATTTAACATATAGTTAATAGATCTTTTATGTTTTTTTTGTTGTTGTTTTTTTTCTTCAAAAATACACTCGTTCACATTTGTTGTTGACACTTTTCCCAAATGCACTGATTATTGTACACAGTTAAGATGCCATGCTTAACTTTTATCTGGTGATTAAAACTTACGTCTGTTTTAAATATCACAATATTCAAACAGATGAAAAAAATACACTGAAAAATAATACATATGTAAATAGATAGCAATCTCTTATATCACAACATTGATAATTTATATAATAAATGCACTTGTACAAAATAATCGTGACAAAAATATGTAAATTACTACTTCTTGGTATCATTCATACATATTTTAAAAAAACTGTTGCTAAGTTACAACAAAAATATACTTTGTACACATTGAAGTACATTGTAATTCTAAATTCTAAGTAATAGTACCATTCATACATTTGTTTATTGGAAAATAAAACTGTTGCTAGGTTAAAACAAAAATGCACATTGTATAGATTTTTCTCTCGCTAATTTTCGATACAATTTATATATTGGGGAAATAACTGTTTCTAAGTGACAACAAATATATAAAAATTAATTCTAATACTTGGTACCATTCATATACATTTATAAAATATGTTGCTAGGTTACAACAAATGTAGGACGATTTGCTTAAGGACTTGCGCTTGACCATGTAACACACTATAGACACACAATTTGGCACAAAAACAGTACAAACACATCAAAAAACACCATGTTAAACAAGAGGAGCTCATTGATGGCTCTCTTAAACTCTCACCTGGATGATATCAGGAACTACTTTTTTTCTTATGCATGAGTGAGCATTACTTCATGAATAAAATGGAATCTGTTTAGCCTTGATGAACTTGACATTGGCATAATGGGAGAAGTATCTTTTTTCATTTACCTTCAAACCAAACGGAATTTGTTCAGTCTTGGTGACCTTGAAATTTGTTAAATGGGAGAAATATCTTCAATTACCTTCAAACCAAATGGAATTTCACCTTGGTGACCTTAACATTATGGGAAAAATAATTTTTACAGGCACTTCCCTTCAAAGCAAACATCTTGATCAATAACTGGAGGCTCTACTCAGAGGAAATACTTGTTTATTGTTACCATAGCAACCACAGTTTAAGCTACTTGTAAGCAAGAAATAATTTCGACAACTATTATAGGACTTTATCTTTGAAATATCCCAAGTTATGTCAAGGTTAAAAGTGCAGTGTGACAAAGATGTTAAATTGTTAAAGGAAATAAATGAAATACATAAACAGGATTTTGTATATGTATGATGCATGACAGACTGCTTGCGATCCTGTTAGCTCACACTGGCAATATTTGTCAGATGAGCGTAAAATAACACACACACACGCACACATGCCTCCCATTATGACACCTCTGTGCTGGTAAAGCAATTTTTCTTGCCTGACAGATTACAGTGATCTTAACAACATTATTTTTTTAATTTTAGCTGATAGAAATCTATAGATCGCAAAGACACAAACTTTAGGAGTCAATATATTAGAATATAAGGAAACCAGGAGTGCTTAACACAAAGATATTTTTGACCTTGGACTGACTTTGACCTTGCAATGACCCAATTCTTGTCAAAATATGCCTCAATACAACAGGTCTCTGTCAGCTGTCCTGTATAGTCCTACAGAACATAAATTGACTTACTTTTTCTTCCTGCAGGAGTTGCCCAAATGGAAAATGGATGGCAACTATCAATAAACATATACGAATATATACACAGAGATAACAAAAAATCACATTCAATTTAAACATATATTGCTCCCACTTACAGATTATGTCAGAAAATGGACCAAATAGTAAAGGTCATATGGCAATTTCAAGCTTCACTTGTGAAGGAAGACCTCAGGTGCCCCTTTGTGTATTATTTTTAGGCATGAACATGAACCTTAAAAGAACCACCAATGTTCCCTATGTTAGCTGGATAGCTTCCTCTCATTAAAGAATACAAACACCCGCAGCAGTGAGGTGTAAGTGGTTTAAAGTCAACGACATTAACAACTCAACCATGGATGCCTCAAAAAAAATTTCCAATGAGTATATCGAATACCCACAATAAACAACAAAACTATGTCTACGACTACAATATCACAGGTCCAAAGCAAGCAGGGGGATAATGTTTGTAAGAAAAGGGTGAATAATTTTCCATGGAGGTATATTTGTAACTATTGTCTGTTATAATGTCCAACAATAACACCTCTCTGGCCATGTCTGGTGTAAGCTTATAAATTAACTGATATATAATTCATAGGGTAAGGTTTGCACTATAGGAGTATAAAATCACATTTATATTGTTAAAACTTGTTAAGATGTTCAATGTTTCTTCACATGTTAACTTAAGAAACAATATATATCACTTAAGGTGATAGATGCTTCCCAAACTTAAAAGTTTGTCAATATATTCACTCTAACGTTAATTAAATGAGAATATGACAGTTATGTTTTATTTTAAGCATTGGTGACCTTGAGCCCAGTGACCCATAGCTCCAAGTTTAAAGGACCATCCAATGTATGTTCCTACCAAATATGAAATTGATCAATTAAATAAGCCTGTATTGATCAAAGTGTAAAAAACCTATTTTAATCAACAGTGCCCTTGACCCCAGTGACCTATTTCTGAAACCAAAGTAAGAGGACTACCTAAAGGCATGTTCCTTATATAAGGGACAACAGTCAATATACATGTATATTAAGACTATGTAAACAAAAGTGTAAAAATGTATATTTTACCATTCCTGACCTTGACCTAAATTCATCACGACATCAATTAACCAGTTTAGCTCCCTGAATGTGAATGAATGTGAAAGACTATATTAACTTGTCAAGGTCAAAGGTCAATTATGCAGAACCATGCTCTATATTTGCTGTTTAATTTGATCATTTTGATATCGATATACCCCCAAAACTTACTGTAGACCTTTTTCTAAATCAAAGCAGGACATTTCCATTATGCAAACTTAAATTCCAAATTATTTTGTTTATATAACCTTTTCCTTATTTTGGCTATATATTTTACAAGTTAAGACAACTCTATGGTGTTAGGAAAGGTTATCAGTCAGACACTTGTGTGGAAAACTTTGTCATAAGTTAAGCTAGCAGTATTGCTTCTAAAGCTTAGGGTAGCACTTACAGCCAAAGGTACCTTAGAAAGTAATAACAGGTAAAGAAAAGCTAGCTGAGATGGTCTTTTCTTTTTTCATTTAACTTCATATAGTCAGTATTTTTTATGTTTTACCATAAGGAAAAAGGTAAACTAACACTTTATAAGGAAAAAGGTAAACTAAAACTTTATAAATAAGGATTTCTGTAAAAAAAAAATATTTTAAATTTTCCTTCATAAAGGCCTTGATAAAATGCATTCTTGAAATATTTAGAAAAATGTTAATGGGCATGCTACAAAAGCTAGAGTGAGAGAGTAAAAAGTAGAAAACCTCACTCTCGCGCTTACCGGAGTGTCGTCGTGGAAACCCTAGAATTAAACACATTGTTTACACAATTTCAACATCACAAACATACATTAACTATTCTACAAAACATAAAAGCAAACAAAAAAACATTTTAAAACATAACATATAATACTTCTGTTTAATATTATTTATTTTTCTGATATTTAAATTTTTGAAATTTTTGTGTTCAAACAAATAATCAATCTTTCCCGGTTCATTGAAACCTTAAAGCAAATACAGGTACTTTCATAGCAAGACTGAAAAAAGATGAGCCGTGTCATGACAAAACCTACATAGTGTGTTTGCGACCAGCATGGATCAAGATCAGGATCCATGCTGTTCGCTTACCAACCCTAATACAAGTACAGAAACTGATAGTGAACAGCATGGATCTTGATCAGACTGCGAGGATGCACAGGCTGGTCTGGATCCATGCTGGTTGCAAACCCATTATGTTGGTTTTGTCGTTACGCGGCTCAAATATCTTTATGGGTTGATGAGGCATGGTGTAATACACAAAGTTAAACACACAACTTATAGTTCCTGTGTTATGCTGACACTCATGTGAGAAGGATAGCTTTACTGCTCTTTCTTTTTCAACTTTTCTTTTTTCAATTATCATATTTTAAGATGTGGCAACACATTGATTCAAAGTTAAGTAATAGTTAGATTTATAAAGATACAAATTAAACAATTTAGTACTAGTAGCTCAAAAGGATCGTCATATTAACAACTGTAGCTCCTTGAAGGGAGAACCATTCTTTGGGAGCTCACTGTATAGTTTTTTTTACAGTGAAGTATTTTAAGCCCCTGTCTCAATCTTAACCTAGGGCAACGATACGTAAGTGATTTGAAACTAGCAAGTTAAGTATTTCACTCTGTACAGTAGAAACAACAACACTTCTGACCAGTGCATTAAAATAACTGGGACTACAAATTGAAATCTTCTTTCCTATTTCTATTTTTAAAATAATATAAACTGAAACATCTACATCTGAACAAACACCTAACTAAGTGATTTCTATGTGATCTATTCCTTCAGTTTTAGTTAAAACATGGTGTTATGTGCAAAAAAGTGCTTTTATCAACTATGCATTTTGAGGACTAATTGATAAGACTAGTATAATATGATATCAAAATATGGTGGTAGGTTATCTCAGTGGACAGCCTAAAATACATACATATAATCTATTTTACATTTGAGTGCCTAAAATAATAATGAGAAATCTAAACCATTATAGAGCAAGACCAGTCTAAATGTTCATACAGTTAACAAACCAGTCTCTAAACTGTTGACTAATGGAAATATCCCGTCCCTCGGGAGTACGCTTATGGGCAGGTCCCCTCAGATGGATATTCAAATCTGACCATTGCTTATGAGGAAATATACATGTACTAACATATTTTTTTCAAACAGGCACATTTTCAAGAATTCTTTTTGAAAATTTAAACAATATAATTTTTGCAGAGGTAAGTGTCACAGGGTGAGAAAAATGTGCAACCTGACCAGGACTCGAACCGGGGACCCTCGGAATACCATTCTAAGGCTCTACCAACTGAGCTATTCTTCTCCACTAAATATTGAACAGTTCTGAACATATAGCTTTATACACTTAAATCATAATTTCTTCCTTCTTTAGGGTTAACCTATAACAAGACTTCTGACCAATTCTGACCATCAAACTTTCCTTTGTTAAGAGATATCAACATCAAACTACTGACACAAAAGTAACCTGATCTGGCTGGGCTAGCTCTATAACTGGGGGGGGGGCATAGGTTGATCATTATCACAGTTCACACACTGACTGCTAAGTCAATCATGAAACCTGGCTTTGGAACTTGCTTTTGTTATTTCAGTGAAATCAAAATGGTGTGCATTTACGTCTCATGCTATTTTAAACCTACGTATAAATGTTAAGATTATCAACCTATGAGCCGCGTCATGACAAACCAACGTAATGCGTTTGCGACCAGCATCCGGGCAGTATGATCAGGATCCATGTTGTTCGCTTACAAACCCTATAGCAAGTAGAGAAACTGATAGCGAACAGCATGGATCCTGATCAGGCTGGTCTGGATCCATGCTGGTCGCAAACCCATTATGTTGGTTTTGTCTTGACGCAGCTCATATGTTTTTATTAGAAAGCTATAGCCAACCCTTCATGTAATTAGATTTAGATAATTGAGTGTGCATTATAAATCAAAACCTTTACAAATAATAAAAAAGCTTCTTTATATACCAAACTGATAAAGTCTGACAACTCTACTAGAATAAAATTGAATTTTTTAAAACTGTAAGAGTTACCTGGATTTACCAAATGTTCTGTATTGTACTCCAGTAGGGAAGAGCTGCTATTTTGTCTCGAGTGTCTTGCTGAGAAAGCACCAGGAGCGTGTGAGTGGTGACTAGCCAAACTGCACATACTTGTACTTAGACCATCATGTTTGTCTTCAGCGGACAGTAAATGCAATTGTATATGCTAAAATAGAGGAATAGATTGTGTGTGGTGTGCTGTTTGTATTTTGACACTAGTGACCATCCATAAAAAGTTTGAGACAACTCATTTATATTAAATCAGTAACTGTTATTAAGAGCAAAAAATGATATAATTTTGTAGCTTGTTTAAATGAAAGTGACAAAAAACTTTTATGTTAAGCAGTTTAATTGGATGTCATGTTTATGCTTTATTTTAAGCTTGCCACAAGTTTGCTGTTTCTGTGGTTTCTATGTAGATTTTAACACAGTTTTTGGTCATATCTTGGCTGTCAGTTCACCTAACTTAATTTCCTTGACAAAAAATAACAAATTTCTCCGCAACTGATCTACTACACATCTCATATGTTTTCTGACAATGTGTTTTCTGACAATGTGAGACAATTGAACATCAGATTCAAAGTCAAGAAGATATTTCACTTTGTTCTAGGATCAAACCAGTTACCGTTGGATTACAAATCTGATGGTCTACATATTGAACTATAAACCTTGCATAATAACCTTTCCTAGGCTCGTTTAATGCAAGTTTGTAGAAATTGACAACTAATTCATCAAACCATCTACATGTATTAATGTTTTTGTTTAAATACTTGAGTTATACACAATGCATTTAAAGGAAAATACACAGGCAGACTTCAGCTGACTGTTGTATACAAATAGGCTATTGTGCAGGTGTGACCACTTGTTCAGATTTTACTTTGTATTTGTTTAATGACCTGATTGTATTCAACTTTAAACACAAACCTCTGGATCTCCCGTCAAATCCTCCGGTAAACTCTCTGTGCCTGTCTTAATTGTATCACTAAAACCCTGCAGTCCCTCCACCTCCGGTGCCAGGAAGTAGGGCATAAGTCTCTTAGCGCTTACGTTAGCCATGATCAACGTGGATGTCATCACAGAAAATAGGACGAGGGGTACATAGAGAATATTAAACAGCGCGAGGGTAGACAAAGCTTTCCCTGCTGTCAGTGGCTCTTTCTCTATGTACGGATATAGCACAAATGTCTGCAAGGAAAATATATTAATGAATTAAAGCAACTATCCACCACACAGGGTTGTTTGACCTTTCAGGAAACAAAAATGTTATGAACAGACAATGTTACACGATAGGACTTAGCATATACATGAAAAGTGTCATGCTCCTAAAAATACCAGCACATTAGCTATTAAGGCACTGAATCTATTATCTATTACAGTTTAAAACTGTTGCAACAATTGCTTTTAGATTCAAGCCTGTAAAGCCTAGGTTTCATCAAAAGAAAACAAACGTGTAGTTAGTGTAACTACAAACAGAAATATTTCCAATGATGGCTAAATTGATTGCTCTACTACCAACAAATGTTTGTATAAATGCATCAATAAATTCAACATCAATACAGCGCTATACAGTCGACTCCACTTATAAAGAACTCGCTTATAACAAATTATCATTAATAGCGATATAAATCTGATATCCCCGGCAGATTCCTTCTTAATTTATATTAAATCACATCGCTTAATACGTACTCCCAAATATAGCGAATTTTCGGCTATAACGAACCATTTTTCTAGGCCCCAAATGACGGAAAACATTTAAATTTCCTCGGTTATAACAAACTGTTATAATTGAAATATCGGGATGCGATCAATTACATTTTAGGATCAGTACACGAATAACACTATCTGCTAATTAAACAATCGAATGATTGCACAGTTTAGTTATGGCTTTAGGGAATAAAGATTTTGATAAAATGTTCTCACAACATAATTTCCTACTTGTTACGGAAAATTTGTATTTCACACCCTCAGTTGATTGATGTAAATGCCTGATAATTGCCAATTAATCGACTTTTTGTGTTTGCAATATTAACCAAACGAGAATAAATAAATAGCAAAAGAAAACAAATGGTAAGAACTTCATTAACAATACATGAATTAATTTATGTACCATGTACATAATGTATTGCTCAATAAAATGCCCTGCATTAAATAACCATTAAATAACCGCTGTAGTAAAATACCACTTACACAGGTAACCAGTGAAGAGTATGGCTTTTTTACGGCAAATTTCCCCATCTTAACAAGTCAGACAGTTATCGCTACTTCGCTTTTAGCGAACTTCGAATATTAAAAACGATATTTTAATGTCCCATTGAGTTCATTATAACCAGAGTCGACTGTATTACAATTCACAATGTAACAACACTGATTTTTGTTAAATTAGACAATTCAGTGTTATAACACTGATTATTTTACATAAAAACTTACCAATAGAGTTGCTATAGCAGGTACAGCAGTGCCAATAAATGCTAAAATGGAGAAAAAAATAAAGGTTTTTTTTGAAAGTTAGACTACTATCTCTGTTACTATCAAGCAAACTCTCACTTTTATCACAATATATGTAATATGTGTGGTTTTTAAGCCACCTTTAACTCAAGGAGAAAGACACACCTACCTACCCCCATGCATTATCTAATCAAGGTGCAGGAATCAGAGTTATGACCATCAACATCCATTATATCAAAATTCAACAACAACATAAACTTAAGCATTTCCTATCACTTCAATTTATCACTATGAAAATCACTTAAAATCTAATCAACTTGACACCAAATATTACACATTCTGAATTTCACTTGTGATGTTTTATGCATAATCATTAATTACATGTATAACTCATGGTTTTCATTTTTATCTGAGGCAACAGATGTGCAAACGAAAACAGGCGATTTGGCCAAGGGTGGAGGGGGAATATCTTAATCTACAGGCTGAAAATAATAGAACCAATTTAGAACAGTATTTCAACCGATGATATGAATCGCCAATCTGTTAATAATGAAAACCCTGATAACTATATCAGTTTGTTAATTGATCAGAAAGAATAGGTAAATTATCTTACTAAACATGGCTCTGAAGACCGCATTCTTGAGCAGGTGCTTTAACTCTATCTTCCTAGCTTCATTAATTCCCTTGGCAATAAATGATTCCCACGCTAGCAGTTTGATCACCTTCATACCTTGAATCATTTCATTACAGCGCTTCACACGTACATCTGCTCGTTGCTGTAAATATTACAAAATATACATTATTCAGTTGCAGTAAATATTTTTTTTAAAAATCACTTATTTTTAACTTTTGTAATTTGTAAAGCAAATTAAGTTAATTATTAAGTTAATTCTAACATTTTTAAACACAAGTTGTATTACATAATTAATAAATGTGGCCTGGTAGTGAAAATGTCTATCTCTCAAGGCAGGGATGGTTTGTTTGTTTGTTTGCTTGGGTTTTACATCACACTGACACAGTATAGGTCATTTGGGGACGTTCCAGCTTTACTGGTGGAGGAAAACCTCAGGTGGCCTTCCGTGCATTATTTCAGGCATGAACAGGCACTTGAGTAGAACCACCGACGCTCTGTAAGCTAGCTGGATAGCTTCCTCACAAGAAAGAATCCAAAGTCCCTGTTGGGATTTGAACCCACAGCTGTGAGGAGGCAGGGATTATGCGGCTATTGAGGTAACAACCCTGTTTCCTCACAACACCATCAGCACTTACATTGTTTCTAATTAGATAAAAGCTTTATTTTCATAATACAGCATTCTACTTACATTATAATGCAATTCTAGCTTTAAATAACACTTTTTTGCCAATCTTAGTCTACGGTTTATTTCATAAACAGGTACATGGTTAGCAACATTAATCTTGCACCAGCTGGCTTTCTTCAATAATTTATCATTCCTGGTAGATTTTGAACCCAATGTGCCTTATAAGGCTGGAAAACTATAAAATTTACCATGACTTTTTTCTGTGTAGATGACATTCCTCTTCCAACATACACCTGAGCTGGGGCTGACAATACGATGAGTAAACCACCTATCACAGCACTCACACCTAACTTAAAGTACATCAGTAACATTGCCAGGGCAACCTGTAATATATGAAATAAACATCATAATCTCAAATCTAGTTTTAACTTTAACATTATACATGTATTTCAAAGAAATATTTTTTAATGTTATATTCAATGACTATGATTAGGAAATAAATTTTATAAATACAAAGGCCTTGAATTATTTTACTTACCTTTCCAGTAATTATCCTTTTATTTCTCTGAAAAAACTGAGTATTAATCTCTAGTACAAACATATAATTTTCATTATAAACATAAGATTCATTCATTTTTACATACCTGTACAGAAATTACTCAGGTTGCAATATTGAAATTTTACATAACTGTACAGAAACCACTTGGGTTGCAATATCTAATATTTACATAACTGTGTGCAATATTGAATATTTACATACCTGTATGCAATATTGAATATTTACATACCTGTATGCAATATTGAATATTTAAATATCTGTACAGAAACCACTGGGGAGCAATATTGAATATTTACATACCTGTACAAAAATCACATGGATGCAATATTGAATATTTACATACTTTTATGCAATATTGAATATTTACATACCTGTACAGAAATTACTTGGGGTGGGATATTGAATATTTACATAGCTGTATCCAATATTGAATATTTACATACCTGTATGCATTATTAAATATTTACATACCTGTATGCATTATTAAATATTTACATACCTGTATGCATTATTAAATATTTACATACCTGTATAGGTGTTGCCCAGGTGTAGTGTATAAAGAAGAACTGCATCATAAGGAAGGTAGAATCCATGGACATATGGTTCACTATCTGACCTACTGTTGTCTTTCCGTTGGTGATTGTGAGAGTTGATAACCTCAGTGCCTTACTATACACCATAGTCTAAAAATAGAATGAGATAAAAGGTAAAGTAAGCGATGTGGAAATATTGGCAAATTTCATGAATTGACGAAAATCGCTAAAATTTCCTCATGCGTAAATACCAATCAACCTGTTATTACATTCTACGGTTGCACTCCGAGATTGGCGGTTCGCTAATATTTCCTAATGCAAAATTGTCTGGAATTTCAAATCTGCTAAGTTCTTAACATGCATAGATATTAACTTATACAGTTTATATATGGGTGCAAGTTATAAATATCAGAAGATCAGAAAACCCTGAATGTAGTGGTTCTTTGTTTTATATAGAAAAACTAGAACTATCACTAAATGTGATTAATACCCCCACAAGACTGCTTCGGAAATGAGGATGTTACTAGTAACAGAATACCTTGTAAAAGAATTGAAATATAGAGTTATGGTTGTTGGCAATTAAAGATATTTGTGGTTCTTGTATGTTGCATTTCCTTTCAATGTGGTTGGCCATTGATGAAGTTTAATTGAATTACTCTGTAATAAGTCCAGAAAGACAAAGAAAAGGAACAAAGGGCAAAAACTCTATAAAAACTGAAGATAGAGTTATAGTTCTTGTGCACTGCACTTCCTCTTATTGTGCTTGAACATTGTATGAAGTTGTTTTGAATTCCAACCAGTACGTTTTAAGTTATGCTCAGGACAAGGAAAAGTATCGAAGGGCAGTAACTCTGTATTTTGTCAAAATGGAGTTATGGCTCTTGTGCACTGTACTTCCTTTTAATGTCCTTGACGACTGTATGAAGTTGTACTGAATTCCAAACAGTAGTTTTCAAGTTATGCTCTGGACAAGGAAAAGTAACAAAGGGCAATATCTCTGTAATTAGTCAAGATGGAGTTATGGTTCTTGTGCACTGCACTTCCTCTCAATGTGCTTGTCCATTGTATGAAGTTATATTGAATTCCAACCATTAGTCTTCAAGTTATGCTCCGGACAAAAAAGCAATGGAAAAGTAACAAAGGGCAATAACTCTGTAATTAGTCAAGATGGAGTTATGGTTCTTGTGCACTGCTCTTCCCCTTATTGTGCTTGACCATTGTATGAAGTTGTTTTGAATTCCAACCAGTAGTTTTCAAGTCATGCTCTGGACAAGGAAAATTAACAAAGGGCAGTAACTCTGTAATTAGTCAAGATGAAGTTATGGTTCTTGTGCACTGCACTTCCTCTCAATGTGCTTGACCATTGTATTAAGTTATATTGAATTCCAACCATTAGTCTTCAAGTTATGCTCCGGACAAAAAAGCAATGGAAAAGTAACAAAGGGCAATAACTCTGTAATTAGTCAAAATGGAGTTATGATTCTTGTGCACTGCACTTCCCCTTATTGTATTTGACAATTGTATGAAGTTGTTTTGAATTCCAACCAGTAGTTTTCAAGTTATACCCTGGACAAGGAAAAGTAACAAAGGGCAATAACTCTGTAATTAGTCAAGATGGAGTTATGGTTCTTGTGCACTGCACTTCCTCTCAATGTGCTTGACCATTGTATGTAGTTATATTGAATTCCAACTATTAGTCTTCAAGTTATGGTCCGGACAAAAAAAGCAATGGAAAAGTAACAAAGGGCAATAACTCTGTAATTACTTTAAATAGAGTTATGGTTCTTGTGCACTGCACTTCCCCTTATTGTGTTTGACAATTGTGTGAAATTGTTTTGAATTCCAACCAGTAGTTTTCAAGTTATGCTCTGGACAAGGAAAAGTAACAAAGGGAAATAACTCTGTAATTAGTCAAGATAGAGTTATGCTTCTTGTGCACTGCACTTCCTCTCAATGTGCTTGACCATTGTATGTAGTTATATTGAATTCCAACCATTAGTCTTCAAGTTATGCTCCGGACAAGGTAAATGCAACAGACAAAAAAAAGCAATGGAAAAGCAACAAAGGGAAATAACTCTGTAATTACTTTAGATAGAGTTATGGTTCTTGTGCACTGCACTTCCCCTTATTGTGTTTGACAATTGTGTGAAGTTGTTTTGAATTCCAACCAGTAGTTTTCAAGTTATGCCCCGGACAAGGAAAAGTAACAAAGGGCAATAACTCTGTAATTAATCAAGGTAGAGTTATGGTTCTTGTGCACTGCACTTCCTCTCAATGTGCTTGACCATTGTGTGTTGTTATTTTGAATTCCAAGCCTTAGTCTTAAAGTTATGCTCCGGACAAGGAAAATGCAACGGACGTCTGGACCGACCGACCGACCGACCGCCCGACCGACCGACCGACCACAGGGTGACTCCTATATACCCCCCCAAACTTCGTTTTTGGGGGTATAAAGAGAGCTTTCAGGAATAAATTTAACTTGGAGAACCCATATAAGATCATCATATGAGCCACGTCACAACAAAACCAACATAATGGGTTTGCGACCAGCATGGATCAAGACCAGCCTGCGCATCCGTGCTGTCTGATCAGGATCCACGCTGTTCGCTATCAGTTTCTCTACTTGTTATAGGGTTTGTAAGCAAACAGCATGGATCCTGATCAGACTGCGCGGATGCGCAGGCTGGTCTGGATCCATGCTGGTCGCAAACCTATTATGTTGGTTTTGTCATGACGCGGCTCATATATCCATTCTTATTCCCAAAAAGCAACAGAAGCGTAAAATGATTCTATTAATTGGTGAATGGGTAAGGGTTTGGAAACTATAACAGAACACCAAATATATACAGCTTTTGAGACATAAAATAAAAGTCTTTATCACATTTTACGTGACATCATTTGCGTTCTAAATTTGTATACAAACATAGTGTAAAAGCGTGCTAATGTTACAGTTGCACTATAGGCGCGTCAATGAAAAAATTACTCTTTTTTGACAGTTTACCATTCTTATTTTAGATATGTCATGAAGAGGATATTATATTCGTGTAGATTCAATACTAAATTTATTGAAGGAGTTGAATAAAATCATACTAATTGCAAGTCTCAATATCCTCTACTTCTGTGACAAATGGATTCTTTGATTAATGAATTATTCTGTTCCTTACAGACAGTCTAAGACTTCTTTAAACCTTTTAAGAATTTCCTTACCTGAATAGCAGATCTGAGTCTGATACCCTGTCTAATGACAGTATAATGGTGGTTCTGTAATAAGGTGTGCTGGAGAACTGTGGCAATAAACAACACCACACAGAGGCCATACCCATTAGTGGCAAACGTTTCAACCGTCACATAATACTCTATAGGCTGTAACAAACAGAAAAAAAGTAAAAATTATTTTATTTATTACACAAATCAACAGCAAAAACTGACACTCTATAAGCTGTAAAACCAGAAAAAAAGTAAAATTTATTATATTTATAACATGAATCAACAACAAAAATTGACTGGTATATTTTTACACTTTTATAACAAGAAAATTTATAAAATAGGGCTGCTTTATATATCATTAGACAATTACCCTTTACTCTGCTAAATACCTAAAATGAACTTGGCAGTAATTCAATCTGGACAAAAAAAAGAAATCATTTTTTCGGTACAATTTCTAAATAAGTAATTTCTGAATTTCACAGAACAGTTTAATAATTATTCTAAAAAGGTGCATACCTTATTTTCGGTCTGATTAAGGGTAAGATTACCCGTTGATACAGGGGAGTATGTCACCGTAGTTGTATTAGCAGATGTAGTCGCAGTCGCATTTTTGACGTCTGCTTCAGTCAAAGCATATGCGTAATCTACGATACTCTCGATGCACCATGGTCCAACAAACGCCAACAGATCACCGCACAACCGGAAGATTCCGGCCAGCAACAATAACGGCCAGAATGCACGTAGATATATCTTGTGTAATGACGGCTGTTTACCATTTTTTGTGGCTTTGTCCTTGTTTGGAATAAACAAAAATAATTTAAGGTAGGGTTGTGCAATATATCGCAATATATTGAATATTGCAATACTTTTTTATATATCTTGCAATATCATTTTGCAATATGTTTTCTGATATCTCAATATATTGAACAAAAAAAATTAAAATAAATAAATGAATAAAAAATAAATTTCTGCTAAAGATTGAATTGTAGTCATCTTGTTTTAGCTTGACTTCAAATGGTATACAAGTTGTTTAAACTCCTTCATGTACAATTCCTTTTTTAACACATTGTCAAATCTTTTATTAAAGGGCCTCTCACATACCATTTATTTTAATGGGACATAATATTAAACAACATTTAACTTTTTAAGTCAAGGTTCTGTAGGTCTTACCCTTGTTTTTCAAGCATTTTATATAGTTCACAATATATTACAATGCATTATCTTCTTATGCATCATGCCTTGTATGTCTGTTAATATCACAATATATCTCAATATGATTTTTCTTTGCAATACCGGCCCCTTATTAAAGGAAAAGCAGTTTCAGGTATGAAAATGCAACTTGAGCAAACTGAGGTGTAGTAAACATTCTGTCTTCTATGAAACTATTACACTGATCAAGAAAAAACACCCTTTTCTAAAGACATTTTCTTTAAAAATTATGCAATTTTCTCCAACATGTTGTTAATTACAGCTTAAAATACATACAAGAACATGTCACCACAACCAATCCATTGCTTCATACTCTTTAGGTATAACCAGTGAATTTACATTCTTAATAAGACTTAAACATTTACTAGATCTGGTGTGCTCTTTTACACCTTAAAATAGTGGCAGGGCCTTCCTTCGGCAGAATAGTAGATTACATGTAGGTCAGCTGACAGAGTGACCAATATCAGCTGACAGAGTGACATGGGTCAACTGATGGAGCAATCATTGACTCAACTGATAATAATTACTTGGGTCTTGTTTTTTGGGAAGGTGAATCAAGTATATTTTGAAATATAAAATGTATCTTTGAGGCATGTCAAGAACAAAACCAGTAAGACAATTGCTACATGTATATTTGTCACAAAAAGATAAAAAGACTGTCTCTACAAAACTTTTAATTTTGATGTTAATTCAAATATTTACATACAAGTAATTATTGAGAGTTGAGAGTAAGTTTGTATCTTATTCAGTACTTTTATCTCTATGTATCCTTATGTAGATGTAGGTTAATTAATGTCTGACAAGTTAATTATAATCCAATTGTACCGCCAGTGCAATAATTATCTCATTTGAATAAGCTAGCAGTCCTAGGTTTGTTTTTTTACCTTTTTTTTAAATACAGTTGATAACCAACATTTAATCTTTACTGGTGAAGGAAGATCTGAGGTGCCAATCCGTGTATTATTTAGACATAAGCAGGTACCTGAGAACATCCACCCACCTTCTGTTACCTAGCTGGATAGCTTTCTCACATAAAAGAAACAAGTTCTTGTCGGGGATTCGAACCCACAGCCGTGAGGAGCAAGTGACTTAAAGTCAACAACTTAAACCACTTGGCCTGACAGGAGCCATGTGATCATATTTCAATACATTCAGAATAAATAATCTCGTTGAGAGGTAATGTTCTGTCCATAAAGTCTAGTACTTACTCGCTCAATTTCAAATGCATGAAGCAGGCTCTTGTAATTTGTCAATGCTCGTTCAGTCTGAAATAACATAACTTCATTAATTTGTTAATTTAAATTTTACCATTGCTTTTCATTTACTATATTATATGAAAACTATATTTAGATGAGTTCAGAATTCATTAAAGCCTTCAAGTACATGGTCGTTAGATTTGTAATCAGTGTCAACACTGCATGGACTAAGTGCCCCAACCTGTCTCAAAAATATTTATTACGCACTGACACAGCCTCTTTGTTGGATACCATAATTCATTATCTAGCAATTGCCATTTGGTCAAAACCAGATTTTTTTTATCAAGCATTTTTACATACATGAGCCGCATCATGACAAAACCAACATAGTGGGTTTGTGACCAGCATGGATCCAGACCAGCCTAGGCAGCCTTGCAGTCTGATCAGGATCCATGCTGTTCGATGTCAGTTTCTCCCCTTGTAATAGAGTTGGTAAGCGAACAGCATGGATCCTGATCAGACTGGTCTGGATCCATGTTGGTCGCAAACGCACTATGTTGGTTTTGTCGTGATGCGGCTCATATATCATCATCTCTGGAGATTTATTGTTTAAATTCTAAAATTAATCATAGTGTGCTTTTAAACCACATGCAAAGTTCATTGTAATAAATTTATACATATATCAGTTACACTAAGTACAAGTTATTATGGCCCTACTTGACTGTATCTATCATCTTTACCGCTAAGTCATTCACGGTCCTTACATCTAATCACAAAACAATTAAAATGTACAACAGTATTCAAGAGTTCTTTTCCTGTCTCAGTGTTGAATGTCTCAGTGTTGAATCATTTCCGGTTAACATCTTAACAAAACTGTTGACAGTTTCAAATTTAGTCTTGAAAATTATCCCCCCCCCCTCCAAAATTAAGAAATAAAGAAAAGAACATTCCCGAAAACAAGCTCAGCTTTTAGGCATACATGTATAAAGCTTTTTAAGAAAAACATCATTAACAAAATTTAACTGACAGACGGAGCTATTTAAATATAATATTCTCTGATGATCATCAGAGAATATTATATTTAAATAGCTCCGTCTGGGTATCATCATCTGACCAAAATTTATGTTTTGATACATATGATTTTGAGAGTTTTTCTTTGCTTCTTATTAACTTTGTTTCCCAAATTATCTCATTTTCGCTACCCTGATAGTTCCCTATTTTCAAGGGTTTTTTTTTTAAAAAACCCAACAACATAAAAATACTGCATACATGTATATATGACTATCCAATTTACTGACAATAGATCAATTGTTCTACTCAGGTCTTTCTAGACAATTGAAAAAATGAACAGTTTAGTTTTGATATGTTATATTTAAGTGTTCCCAAATAAAATAGATAAATATATGAGCTGCGCCATGACAAATTCAACATAACGCGTTTGCGACCAGCATGGATCCAGAACAGCCTGTGCATCCGCGCAGTCTGATCAGGATCCATGCTGTTTGCTTACAAACCCTATAACTAGTAGAACAAGAGCTGTCCGTAAGACAGCGCGCTCGACTTTTTTAGTGCTTGCCTATAATACAAAACATTGACAGTTAAGGGCCATAATTCAAATAAAATCTTTGACAGAATTACCTTCTCCTGGACATGTTTGGGAATCATGATTGTAAACAAGTATTCCAACTTTCAAATTAATATCTCAAACAGTTCAGTCAAAAAGTGGACTGGTACTAAAAACTTAACCAAGATTCTAAGTCGATAAAAGGCCTTAATTTTTAAAACAAATCCTTGACAGAGTTACCTTCTCTTGCGTACAGATGGGGGTAATGATGTGAAATAGCATTAAAAGTTTCAAAGCAATATCTGAAAGGGTTAAGGCAATAAGTGGATTTTACCCATATTCAATGTATTTTCTAAGTCAAAAAGGGGCATAATTCTGTCAAAAACCTTGACAGAGTTATGTCCTCTTGTCTGTTGATGAAGGTCGTGATGGTAAACAAGTATGGTCAGTTTCAAAGCAATACCTCCAATGGTTTTTGAAATAAAGTGAGGTGGTACAAAAAACTTAACCAAGCTCAATACACTTTCTAAGTCAAAAAAGGGCCATAATTCTGTCAAAAACCTTGACAGAGTTATGTACTCTTGTCTGTAGATGGAGGTTATGATGGTGAACAAGTATGGTAAGTTTCAAAGCCATACTTGTAATACTTCTGAAATAAAGTGGGGTGGTACGAAAAACTTAACCAAGGTGTGACGCCGACGCCGACGCCGGGGCGAGTAGGATAGCTCCCCTTTTCATAGAAAAGTCGAGCTAAAAACTGATAGCAAACAGTGTGAATCCTAATCAAACTGCGCAGGTGAGCATGCCGGTTTGGATCCATGCTGGTCGCAAATGCGTTATGTTGGTTTTGTCATGGCCCGGCTCATATATATATAAATAAATATATAAATGAACTCTGGAAAATACATACACTTGGTAACTTTCCTAGTGATTTCTGTGTGAGTGGTGACTTGAATCCATCTATCAATATGTCATTGACCCACCAGAATGTAGCTTTTGATAAAAAGTTAACAAAGTTAGCATAGTAACGAGTCCTTTCCAGTTCAGGTGGCGCATGAATTTTCTTTGGTTTCTTGCAAAATGCATACCGCTGAAATATAGAAATATACTGAATGAAAGTAAATATATGTATATATGCATCTGTTAAGGACAATGCCTAACAGATGGGCAATGCCTATCAATAAACAATTTATATAAATAATTTAAGTAAAAAAGTAAGCTGAATAGGGACAAAACACCTAGAAATACTGCTTTCAGGATAATGTCCCAGACTGTCTTTCAACTGTGCCTTAGTCATCATAAACAAGTATTCCACTTTATAAGGTGATATCTTTCATAGTTTAAAATTCATTCTAAAAGTTTGGCAAATTCTAAGTCAAAAAGGGGTAAAACTCCATAAACATAGCTTTCAGAATTACATGTATCCCTCTTCCCTTGCAACTGCACCTTTGAGTAAGTATCCCAAGATTCATCTTGATATCTGTTAGAATTTTTTAATATTAATAATAATGGCTACAGTATTCATTTAAGTTTTTGCACAATAATGACAACAACAAATTTTACAATGACAACGACAATGCAGCGATCATTATCATAATAGTGTGTCTTATTCTTTGAAGCAGATAAGCTAATAAAAATGTGTTTGGAAAATCTGTATGCCTTCAAAGAAAACAAATTACAACAATATTTCAGCAGTTATGGACATCAATTAACAGCTGGTGTCAGAACTCTGAAAATGGTCATTTACAATGTGTGTCATGACCTGTCCAACTGGTCATTAATTCAGAAAGTACATTTGTACCACAGTAAAGGTTAAACAGGGAATTTTCAACAGTTACAAAATGTATGTTAATTGAGATAAGGCCCGCTATATTTGACCTCAATTTAAACACACAATTGTCAATTATTAAAGTCGATGATTTAATGCATAAAAAACTCACTACTTCTTAATTCTGCACAATGAATAAATTATGGTTTATTAAAAAATAACACTTGACAAGAGTTTCAATAAAAAAATTCTGATAACCCCATACTAGTTGTCTCAAGTAGTAAAATACATATCCACTTACTTCACATGACTTGTGAAACAAAAAAAATCTAGAAATATGCTTTAAATATGATTGTATATAGTACTGTACACCTATATTATGCAAATAAATTTGCGCAATTTTTAAATTAAAGCTGGGACTTAATTTAAAGGGAAAAGAAACTATTGACTAAATATGCTGTCTTATGTTGCTGGCCAGTTGACAGTCAATCAATCATGAAGCATTGGGTCTAAATCAATATCAAATATTTATAATATTATATATATGTAATCTTAAAATTTTCATTAAATCATGTTATGATCATTTGAATACTATTCAAGGGCAACATTGTTGCAATATACGCCCGTCACAGAAGCTTTTGACAGAGATGTGGGCATTATAGATAAGAATATAGGAGATATGCTCTGGGCATTATCTGGATATACTTTCATCTCTTGTGATTTTTTTATCTGAACTTTGACCCCTATGTCACCTTGGCAATCATCTTTAGTGACCTTGACCTTACACAAAAACGTCGTCGTTACTATGCGACGACGTCACATTTGCCCTGATGATCATAAGAGAAACCAGTTGGCAAATAATTAAATAAGTTAACTCATGGACTGTGCTTTTCAACTTTTTTGTTTTATTTATATATACTATTATTCACTAACCTAAATTACATATTTCACACCAGTAGTCATGATAATGACCATTTGAGTTTCAATCCCTCACTAAATAATGACTAAATGGCCCCAATACACATTTTCATCTGAACTTTGACCCCTATAATATACTATATGTGACCTTGACCTTGGCCACAGGGACCTAAATTTTGCACATGACACTCCGCCTCACAAGAGTGAACATTTGTGCCAAGTTAAATTGAAATCCCTCTATGCATGTTATGATGTAGAAGTTTTGCTCAAGACAAGCCTTTTTCAATGACCTCTTAGTGTGACCTTGACCTTTGACCTAGGGGCTTGGTTTATGTGCGTGACACGGCTCCTCATAGTGGTGAACATTTCTATGAAGTTTCATTAGAATTTGTCCATGGGTGTAGGAGATATGCTCTGGACAAAAATTGGATGCCGCCAGCCCGCCAGGGGGGAAACTATGATATGACCCGTTTTTCAAACAGGCATATAAAAAAAAAGACTGGACATCAAAATATTTTAGCTAGTTGGCATATATTTCTTTTTTAATTTACATTGTTTACTTTAGACAAAATATAATCTTAAAGATCAATATTTTACAAAATTTGGGCCAAATTGGAGGAAAAGTTGAACAACAAAGCGCTTACAATGTAACTCTACATGTAGTTACTTTTCCGATTATATTATGTCCCAGATAAAAGATAAATAGATGCCAGAGTTGAATCAAGTAAATGTTCTTACACAAAACTTATTACAGCTATACAAATATATATAAACTAATACTTACTTGAGTAAATAGTACAACAAGTTCTACAAGTATAAGTGCTCCATAAATAAGAACAACTGCCCATGTAATCCACAATCGAAGATGCTCAGGTGCTATTCCCGTGACATACAAAGAAAATGCCTTCAAAAGCTTTAATCCACAAGCACTAATCCAGTAAGGTATTAAAATCAATAAAACTCTGGGGGAGTTAAACATCTCTATATTATGATACAGAACTATAGTCAATATTGTACTGACTAGTGAAAAACACGGGGGAACTATCACATGGTAATTTGCACTATCTGGATCTATATAATCCGACACAAACCCTTCAGCTATTTCTATTGCATTAATCAATATCAAAAATAAGGTCAAAATCCAACGTATAGAGTGACATCGAAAATGTACCCAAGTTTTGGCTTTCAGACGACCCACAATAGACTCTCTCCATGCTATTAAAATGAAAATGCTGGTTACAATAAATAACCCATGGGGTATGATGTTCATCACATCTACAAAGCACTTGTTTCTAAGCACACCATCTTTCACACTAAGTGAACCTTCTCTTGAACCACAGAAACTCATGTTAAATACTGAATGTTTTGACCAATGATATCACATTCATGTCATAATAACCTGTTTTAGATTAAAAATAAACTGATAAATTTAAACAATTTTTCTAAAATATTAATATAATTATGTCCAAAAACAAGTCCGATTAAACAAACGAAACATTTCAATGTCTAGTGCATAACGACATCTGAATTGAAGTAAGAGCTTTTGTCACATCTTCATTCAATGTATCTTTATAATGACAAAAATAATTTTGCCATTGGTTTACATTTCAGTGACCTTACAACACACTAAATATTATCCAGGAAGTACATTCGCTAAAAAATAGATCCTAATTTCAGGACATTTTAAAAGGAAGAAAAAACAACATCGGTTGATTTAGTATATATTAAAAAAGTTTCATAGCAAGTTATGTTTCTTATTCGTATTTTATAAAACCATGCATGACATCTCGCGTACTACTTGTGTAATATTAATCCGCACTTCTGTGACCTTGACACAAGCAAAATGTCGATGTTAAACACAGTTTACCAAATGGTATTTAGAAGTTCTGCTACTATTGCAGTAGCAACGATGGCAAGCGCCTTCTTTTTCGAAAGGTTCATCGATCAAACCAGTAACTTTCTCTTCAACCAAGCAAATGCTAACACGGTAAGTCGAGAAATGTGTAATGTCATATATTTTCGCGACATAAATTTAATGGAACAAAATTATTACGAATCATTGTAAGAATAGTTCAGTTTGAAAAACCAGAAAATATAGTTAACTGGTAATGACTATATACAAAATCTTTGCTTACACTAATAAATCAGTAAATATCGGCGTATACTCAAGAGAACAAGAACACCCCCCCCCCCCCTAAAAAAAGAAAACAAACAGCAAAAAACTTTAAAGAGTATCAATCCTGAATTTTTATTTATTAAGCAGTTAAGAGTAGGTATTTCAACAATATTATAGGAAAGGCTGCCCTAAAATTGTTGCTTCCCTTGAGTTCAGCATCATAAATTTATGTTTCTCTCGTAAAGTCTTGTCAGGTATTCATTGCGGAGAAGAGTCAACTCGGCCCTATACCGACTCGGCATGGGTCAACTCGGCCCACTTTACAAAAATATGTATAACATATTATCTTTGCTTTGCATGTTGTAAGGTAAATAAATAATAAGAAATATCTTATTATTATTATTATTATTATATAGTTATACATTTTACTTCTGTCGAAATAAAGTATATTTAGAAATAAATTGTTATTTATTTGTCTTATTTATAAACTCTCTCTGTCGAACTACATAAATAACCGAGGTATATTGAGTGAAAAGGCAAGATTTGTTTCCCTTCCCTTGCAAAAGAATGCAAATTTAGCCGTGCTTAAATCGCTAGTTTAGGGCGATTAAATGTCCGATTTTAACATTTGTTACACCAATTAAAAGCTGGTGATCTTAGCTTCCTCTCAGTAAATATGACACATATCAACACATTGTTTGACACTGAAGGTATTTAAAATTACGGTTAAACATACTACGAGTCAGAAATACAGTGAGACACACAATCGGTTATCTTTACTCGCAAGTCTACTGATCAGAAAAGCGACAGGCTAGTTCTGAAACTGTCAATCCGTGTTTTATAAGTAATTACAATAATAACAATAAAAAGTGAAAACCAAACCTAAATATAGATAATTAAAAAGTGGGCCGAGTTGGAATAGGGCCGAGCTGACTCGGGGGCCGAGTATGTTTTAGGGCCGAGCTGACCCAGATTCTTCATTGCCATTGGGAAGCAAACATTGGAAACATCAAAATAATTGTAAACATATTTGCCACATTTCTTCATCATATAAGGCTTGAATTATTAAAAATATTGTGTATCAAACTAGCACTGTGAAATTGCGCAGGGAAACAAATAATGGCAACTGATGTATAAATGAAGCTTTTCTTTGTTATCTTTTTTTTCTTTATTTTTACTAAAATTTGATTTTATAGGTGACCAGACATTTTTTCTCCTGGACCTTTCAGCTTTGGTCATTTCACCTCATAGACGTGCATGTCTTCTAAAAATTATAAACCTATATTAATTGAAAACTTTATAAAGCACAGCAACAAAAACCTGTTGTCTTTATATTTGCAGGTGATGACAAAGGATGTAATAAAGATGTATGCAGCACTAGAAAGAGAAGATGAGGAATAAAACAGAACAATTAGGAATATTTAATGTTGTACATAAGGATTTTTATATGTGATATTTAGAATATTTAAATGAGTCAGTGTGTGTAAAATCTTCAACATCAAACAACATCACCTAAAATAAGAACAAGATGAACAACAATTTTGTGTTTTAAATTTTACTTAAATAGTTACTGTTAGAAATTATTTTGGATATTCATTGGACCATCAAAAGAAATGCTAATGAAAGTGGACAATTCTGTTAAAATTGATAATTAAGTTTGAGGAAATGAAATTTTCAAAAAATGTTTCGTTATATTTGAAACAGCTAATGCTATACATAGTAAAACTTGTTAGTGTTATCTGAAATTACAGTTAGAAAATGGTTATTGAAGTTCAAAAAAAAATAAAACAAATTTTTAAAATAACTTTTATTTATTTTTGCTGAAAATGTTTTTTATAATTTTTTCAATTTTATACACTTTGGAGAGAATACCTTACACCTTAACATTTACCATCCCTCTCCATGTATTTAGTTGCCTTGCAGTCCATGTCATTTAACCCTTACCCCATTAAATATCTTTAAATGGACTTTAAAATATATATTGACTGAATATAGTGAAAAGGGCAGGCCATGATCTCCAGCAGTCTAGAATTAAAGTGACTTTACATTAAGCAGTATAAAAAAGCAAAATATAGACATTCAATGACAAAATATTATGTGGCCATGTTCTCTAGGGGGGCGTCCATGGCCGAGTGGTTAAGGTCGTTGACTTCAAACCATTTGCCCCTGACCATTGTTGGTTTAAATCAAACATGGACTTTGGATTTTCATGTGAGGAAGCTATCAAGCTAGCTTACGAATGTCGTAGGCTCTACTCAGGTGTCCGTTTGTGCCTGAAATAATGCAAGGAAGAGCACCTGAGGTCTTCCTCCACAAGTAAAGCTGGAACATTGCTATATGACCTATAATGTGTTGGTGTGATGTAAAACCCAATCAATTGTCCCTCTAGGCAATAATGTGTAAATGAAATGGCCCAAAGTTCTTTTTAAGTGGCAAATCTCTGTAAAATAACAATGTGTTGTTTTCTTGTGGATTTTTTGTGACACATTAGCACTATCACAAGGAGAAATGTTATGCACACAAGCAGTTTTTGTTGTTAAACAAATTGTTTTTGTGCATAATATGTGACAACTTATTTCTTTCATTATGTACAAAAAGGTGACTGTATGATCAGAGCAAAGGGAGTAAACTATCCAACAGTCGTTCATATTCTAAGTCTAGTTATTTCCCTTTGACAAATCGTGCCACAATCATAAAATGTGCAGTCTTACCTGAAACTATTGTTCAAAATTTAATATTGCAGAAGCTGCGACTTGCAAATTTTAATGGCAAAGCCATCAATACCTATACATCGATTATAAAAGATTCAGTAATTGTCTCGGTGGTAAAAAGGGTTTTCATGTTGGAATCCTCTGTAGCACAGTACTGTGATGTATACTCGCCAAAGTAAAAAGTACCCGTTTTATAATTTCTAAAATCTTTTTTATTTTCGTGTAAACACAAAACTTGCTAATGCATAATCGTTGGTTTATGTGTTGACTGAATATTACATGCAGTGATATACCGGTATGCGTTCTCGTTAAAAAATCGTTTTTCACGTGCGCTTCGTGCGACACATATCCATATCCTGTGTCAGTGTACAGACTACACAAAATTTTTCACAAAGCGTCACAACTCAAACAAATTGTGTTGAAACAAGTCGAAGGAAATAACAAGGCTAAATAATGATGAACGAAACCTTGCTTTAGGGATATCAAATGTAGGCATGTCAGCAACCACTGCACCCTTTGACTTTGGTTGTACTTGAATGACTATCAAGCGTTTTTGGTGACGATTCCATGTCGCAGGAAACGTTACCGACCATCCTCGAATTGGTAAGCCACGTGTGTCCACTGCTGTCGATGATCGCTATATTGTCTTGCAGCATCTACGTAACAGACGTCTTACTTTAGCAGCAACCGGGCAACAGGCGTCTTACGGGTGACATCCACAGACTGTCACAGAAAAGTCAGCCTGTTCGTGCTACCGACCATACTTCGGTCAAATTCTCACCCAATGTCATCAAACTGAAAGGCTGGATTGGTGCCGCTGTAACCTGTACTTCCGACGTGTTGATTGGGATTTGATTTTGTTTTGTGACGAAAAACGGTTTAGCATAAGCCATGCCGACGGACGTGAACGTTAGAGAGAGCGTTTTGCGGAGACGTGCGTCACTGAGGACCGTTTCGGACTAAGTGTGGGGTGAGATAATGGGAGGAAACAAGATTCGCTTAATCGTTATTAATGGAAACATTCATGCTCATAAATGATGTTCTTGTTGTGGAAGCTCTTCCTTTTATTCCGTTACATGGTCCAAGTGTCTCCTTTACGCACCATAATGCCCGTCTACGTACAGCCGCAATAACCAAGCAGTTTATAGCAAATAAACCATTGTACACATGTTGGACGAGTAAAGGCGCCATGTTCGAAGAAATTATGCAATGCACTCTGTGAATGACCTTGCAGCGGCCTTACAAGCTGAGTGGATAAATTTATCTGCGCCGTTTATACAGCGTTACGTCAACATCGTGCGCAGCCGTATCACAACGTGCATTGCATAAAATGGTGGGCACATGCGATACTGGCACATTTCATCGAATCTTCAGTTTCTTTTTGTTGGTTTTTACCTCTCCAATCAATTTAAACCAGTCATGTAATGCAGTTGTGTCTTACAAAATTCACTGTGATTTTGGAAATTGACCCCTTTGTGATATCACGTAATTGTTTCCAATGAAAGAATTATCGCAGCGACTTCAAATTTTCAAATCACGCCAGCAAAGAATAGTTCTTTATCACAGGTAGAAGAATTAATCAGAATTTACGATAATTCTTAATGCCGGGTACTTTTTATTTTGGCTGAGTATACTAAAAGGATTTCAATGCGCCAGAGGTTGAGCTTCAATCGTTAAGACTTTCAGGAGCGATCTATGGTTTGACTTGGGTTGACTTTAAAGCTATTTAGTAGTCTACAGTGCGGAGTTTGGCATTTATGGAGGAGAAAAAAGATACAGACATTTATTTACACGTCTTTCAGTATATAGATATAAGAATATCCGAGTCATCTTTGAACTTCAGAAGAACGGACTTCTTTTACCAGCTAAAATCATTTATTTTGTTGCACAGCTTTGAATTTGGGACGGTCAAATAACATTAGTGATAGTTGTAAAAGATTATAGTGTCGTGTTTCAAAATTTATTTAAGCAGCAAACACATGACGCACTACCAAATTATATTCAACCCATCCAAAATACATGTTTATATTAAATTAAATTATTCTTAAAAAATATTACATATACCATAAGCTATATGTTTACCCTGGGGGGGGGGGGGTAGGGCTTGGTCCCACGCCGATAACCTGTGGACTTTGCACCACCGATTACCATTATGCATTACGGGAAAAGCCGGACATTTTGCGATTACTGTTCATGGATTCGGCAAAGATTTGACGGAAAAGGGCGGACATTTTGCGATTACTGTTCATGGATTCGGCAAAGATTTGACGGAAAAGGCCGGAAATTTTGCGTTTACTATTCATGAATTCGGCAAAGATTTGACGCCAAAAGCCGGACATTTTGCGATTACTATTCATGCTTTCGGCACAGATTTGACCAAAAGGCCGGACATTTTTGCGATAACTTTTAAATTTTAATGCAGACGGAAATCGCCAGAAATTTTGTGATTACTGTCCATGCTGGCCTTGTTCAAATGCTCCCGCCTAGTCATATCATTATCGCCTTCGTGATATTACATTTTATTAGTAGGAAGAACTCTAAGCTTATCTTTGTCGAGTCACACCACTATTTTTAGTGAATATGGTACGATCAATTATCATAAAATGAATATATAGTTACTGTCAATTCTATATAACACGTGACTCCCGTTTTTTAAATAAAAATTTAATGCGTAAAAACAAAAACAAAAAAGATTTTCATAAAACAACACTGCTACAATCCTCTAAATTGCAGATATCTAGCAAAGGTACATTGAAGTTTTCGTTTGAAAAATGGTTGCAGATCAATAATTGCTCATTTTTTCAATAATGCAAACTGAATTGAAACTGCCCAAGTATGAACATTCTTGCTGTCATGGTATAACAATATGATTATAAACTTCGAAATATAAAAACATCTGTACACGAAGGAATGTAGCGGACAGTAGATTTTATGATTATATTGCGATAATGTATGTACATGTAGGTCATGTTTTAATGTTTATTTAAAGAGCAACAAAGGTTAAGGTAAGAACATTGTTCTTAATTCATCGCGAAATTGTTACTTTTATAAAACGAGATACAAATGTCTGGATGCTTGACCTAACTTTCATATTAGTTCCAGAACAGTATATTTCTACTGTACTATTCTTAGTGGGAAAAACGTTTTCTCGAACTTAGATGAACACTTATAACAAAAAGAAATATATTTTAAATTTACAACGTGATTTTTGTATGGCGTCTATTATCTTATACTGTATAGTATTCTTAGATGGTCTGACATCTTGGCTTAAATAATAATTACGTTTGATTTTCATTTTCAAGAAAAAACCAACAAAGAAAGAAAAAGAAAAGAAGAAAAAAACAACATCATTCGACAACTATAACAGACTTACTGAATTGCAGCTTGTTTCACAACCATTTAACTGCGTGATTGTTACACCACGTTTACAATTCATGAAGACAATACCACGTGAAAACTCGTGCATCAAAAATAAATTGCGCGAAATTTAGCATTGTATGAGAAACTATGCCTACAGATTCTATTTCAGGAGAATATGAAAGTCAAGTTACTACTAACGTTATGCCTTATTCAGTCATCATTAGTTGTTGGTGATTATGATTGCATGTGTAACTATAATGTCGAACAAGGTGTTTACCCGAGCCCAGACCCGAGCGGACAACCTTTAGGGTATATGTATGAGTTTGACTGTAAGCCGACCACGCAAATACAGCAAAACTCCGACAAATTCTACACTATCCAGTTTGAGAAGCAGGTACATGTACATTCTTTTTTGTAGATATACTATATGATAAAGATGCATATTAAAACTACAAACAAATTAACACAACAGCATATCTGGCCATCAAATCTTCCACTTATCATAATTGTAAAGTCGAAAGCGAGTTCACACTATTTTGAATTTAAAAAAACAAACACGAATTCGTTATGCTGTTAGATCATATTGCTACCTGCATAATTGATGTTGATTTATCATAAAGAGCTAAAGTTAATATTAAAATAATACAGACTGAGTGAATAAGAATGTGTGCACGTATGAAGAGTAGTATTTACTTTACAATGAAAAGTTTCCATACATTTAGCGAAGGTGGAGTGACAAGTGACAATAATAGTCTTACCCTTAGTTTGACTTTTAAATATGAAATGTTCGATGTGTGCCATTATTTATAGGAATATTGTTACATTTTTTAAACATGAAATAAAACAGAAAAATTTAATTAATATACATATGTGTATAATCGTACTAGCGTTAAAATAACAAGGGAAATAACTGCAAATTGATATTAATAATTTCAAGACAAGTTGTTCCCCTTTGGCCACGGGCTGTACTTTTTACAGAAAATATGGTTATCAAAATCAATCATTTCTTTTACTAGATAGGTTATGTTCCCGAAAGTCAACAAACCCGGCTTCAGACATGCCCTGGTCAACCATCAAGTACAGATCTCAGTATGTTATTTTATATCATTGCACTGTCAGAATATTGTTTAAAGTCAAGATGTTAATATAATGCGATTTCTGCCATTTCTGACTTTAATTAATATTATTGTGTGTAATTCGATCCCTATTGATTTAAAACGGTTTCTTTCATCTAACGTTATATTTGACACATGAAACTCAGCAAATTTAATAGTAAACAAGTACCACTGTTTAAAATCTTATTCAGTGTCCAAAAAGTAATGTGATGTACCAAGAATGTGTATTTTCTGGACATTCACAGTTCCTCAAACAACAAGTGCAGCGGTAACAACATTAACAACAACAACTACTACAAGCACTACGACACCAAAACCAACCACAATTACAACTACTGGTAAAATGACGACTTCTACAACCACACCAACGCCTACAACTTCAACTACCACGCCAATTCCGAAGACACCTACAACCACGCCCATACAAACGACACGTACAACCACACCTATTCCAACGACACATACAACCACGCCCATTCACACGACACCTACAACCACACCCATTCAAACGACACCTACAAGCAAGCCCATTCCCACGACACCTACAACGACACCCATTCCCACGACACCTACAACCACGCCTATACCAACGACACCTACAACCACAACAACAACAACGACGACAAGGATAACGACGCAGTTCGTTTACTGGTCACTGGCAGGTACATTCTCTTTAATGTACAGTTAATTAAGAGAACAATAGAAGACGTCAGCCAATAAGCCTTAAAATGCACACTTCTTAAAGAAGCTAATTGAGTTGGCCACGTTCACTTCATGTTATATAATGAAAATAAATGATAGCTTTTGAGGCTAATGTCGGTTTTTACGTGGTTTTATGTCACAATTTAAAAATGTGACAATAGTCTGTCTTTGATGTGACATGACATGAGAAAAAAATACATACACCTTTTGGAACTCGTGGTTATTTTGTTGCTAAAAAGAAAACTGTGACAATTTAATATTTTCAGCTAATGTAACGGGTACGCCGTACCAGTATATAGGCGCTGGTTATAATCTCCTGACAGGTAACCCTGGTGTCACGAGGGACCCGGGCTTTCTGACGTCACAGCGTATCTTTCAGGTACATTTTCTTATATTTCTATAAAAAATTATCATAAGATATAAATCTGAAGACTTAAGAATTCTTATATTATATTTAAAGCATTTTTGTGCGTTTCAGCGCTCAAATTGACTAAATGATAAATTGACAATTTGATTGATTGGTTGATTGATATATTGATTGAATTATGAGATGATTATTAGTAGTTAATGAAGTTATTATTTATTTTAATATTTGATAAATTAATCTATTGATTGATATGATGTGAGGTCATACAGAAAAAAATATATTTCACCAGCTTTTCTATCAAAATACATGCGTTGTTTCAAATCACTTTTACAGAACAGAACTTATCTTATATAACTCGTTTCGTGTCATTATTATGTAATAAACAATTCGTATAATAATTATCTAATAAACACATGCCATAATTATAGTTAGAAAGTAGGATTTTAGTTTTTAAAGAATTAACGGATACATATAACAATAAGATTATATAACAATATATATATGCATATGAATACATGAATCGATATTGTACGAAAATATCTTCTCATTTTAACAGTGTTTAAAGAAAAAAATTCAAATACACAATGTTCTTTATACTACTACATGAATATATACATTTATTACGGGTTGTTCACATTATATGCATTACATAAGCTTCACTAAATATTGAAAAATGAAATACATTTATTATATCAGTTAACCGGGAACTCAAGCAATGTGAGGGAAGCGGTTTATGACAAACATTCCACGTGTAATAGAAAAACATACACAGCGATGTTACATGGCTCCAAGGCGTATCAGGATGAGCTGAAAACATCGGTCAAACCAAGCGGTAGGCATATGTGGAGATTTTTTTTTAAAAGAGCTATGACAAGTGTGTATCCAGCATTTCCGCATGATGTTTATGCAAGGTGTATCAATCAAGTCCGGGCCAGAACAAAGCTTGGAAAATCTGCACTAAAGTCTTGTAACAATTTTACTAGATCAATCTAAATTGATCATTTAAAATTCATTCTCTGAAACTAAAGAATGACCCCTGAACAGCTTATAAATAATAAAATGAATGCTGGGAAGGTTACTTACACAGAATCTAAGAAATATTTAAAAAAAAACTGTGTCTGTGTGTGTGTGTGTGTGCGCGCGCGCGTACACGTGCGCGTGTGTTTTAATATCCTATCCTTTTGTGTTCTCCAGCAACACACCCAATCAATCTAAGTGACAAAGCATTTACACACACCGACCAGTTCGAGTCAATGCGTCAGACGTTAGACCAGTCAAGCCAGATTGTTGTCATAGACAAAACAACCACATGCAGTTATGGAACTGTTCAATATCTTACGGAAAATGTCACCACAGGGCACTTTTCTGTCACTCGTGAATTCGCAAAAGACATGTGCTCTTTACCCGCTGTGATGACAACTTCCGGTCTCGTGAATTACATGCAGTTTCTAGACAAATGGGGAACGGTAAGACGCTGGTCTGATATAAACGGACTACTTTTTTCAATATTGTTTAAGTTATAACAAATGACAAATGAATACCGTTTTTAGATTGTTAATTGAATGTCTGTATTTGGCATTAGAACAAAAAAACCAAAATCATTTAGCATGTAGCAACACTGTAACATTGTAAACTTTGTGGACGATAAGCGTTTCCATTTGTTTATTTTTTAGAGTATCGTAACACGTGTTGATCTGGGTACTAAGACTGTTGATCGTTACCAAACAACGCCCGTGCAAATATACCAGCATGTGCAGCAAACGGTAAATATGTTTTAATTTTTTTACTGATTTTAAAATACATTTGTTAGCTGAGTTGGGCCGTATCCCATGTTTCCTTAAGCGATACAAGTCACTGATTATAACTCAGAAGTTGCTTATTTTGCTGATACATCCAGCCTAAACTTATATGTTTCAACTTACTTGCAACGAAATTCCGTTCGTCTACAGTATCATTTAAATTATTTTAGATTTAGACAAAACATTTAAATTTTACTGAAAATTGCAATTTTTAAAGATAAAGTTATGCATATGTTATTAAAGTTTTACAGCTGACATGTATAACAGAACGTAAATTGGGTTGTTGTTTTTTCTGACAGGATTTTAATCTGTTAAGACAAGATGGCGCCTATGAAGGTTTTAGCTCTTCAGTGTCCATAAACACAAATGATTACCCCAACAGTAAAGCTGGGATGAGTACAATCGGAACACACCGGGCAACATCGATGGGTTCTGTATTACACCAAATACCAATCAGTGCTGACCTGATATCCATTTCTGACGCACTAAATCTGGCATATTGGAAGCCGGTATATTATGTTTTTTTACTTGTATAGTATGTAAATATAATGTTTAAATCACGGAAGAAACCAATAAAAATAAAAATCTTTTTCCAACAAAAAACACGATATAATTTGAATAAATTCCAACATATTTTTGTCAGTGTGACGCTACACTCCAGGACATCGGAAGTTAATTGATGATTTAATATTTGATAATCATGATTGTTTTTATGTACAAAAAAGAGAGAAGAAAAAACACCAAACTGCTGTGTTTCAATCTTTGGATTTGTTTTCAATTACGTGAAATTAATTTACAGTATAACTTTTTTTGAATTTGACAAGTATTTGTTAAAAAGCGCCATTACAATAACTACGTGTATTTACTTTGATTAAAATAGATTCATTTATCTGTTGTTGTAAAAATAAGTTAAGCATCTAAGTATGATCAGCAAAAATCTTTTAAAAAAGTCTACATAATAATATGTCATTTGTTACAAGATAGCAGACGAGCTTGTGAAGGAGGGAATCTGTCCGGATAGTATTTTAAGCACCGGAATGTCTCAATATTTTGCCAACATGAAATCAGCGCTTCAACAATATCCCGCCTACAAATATTCGCAGACGACACATAAATATTCACATATCCTTATAGGTAACGCTTAAAACCGCTTTTTTCTCTTATATTATTTTTATATTATTAAAGTAAGATTGACAACTATTTATGTTTGAGCGAGATAGGATTTCTACATTAAAATGATATAATTTTTTCAAGCTTAAACGGCGCTTAAATCCCAAAGTTGATTTCAGAAAACAAAACGTGTTTTTGAAGGAAATAGAGGAAAATGAGTGTAGGTTCAAATACTGCATTTATTGAACGAGTTGAATAAAATTATATTATGCGGGCCTCTAGCGAGCAAAGTATTATTTTATTCAACGAGTCCAATACATTCAGTAATGAACCTGCTACTAATATATTATTCTATTTATCACATACCCAAAACAAAGACTGTTTTAAGTGCAGTTATGTAACAATTCAAACAAAAGCAAGATAGTTTCTTATCTCATCTGCATTGTAAGAAATGCTTGATCATTCAGATTAAGCAAATCTTATATGTAAATGCTTCTTTAAGGCTAGCTTCGTGCACATTACACGTTCATCGAATTTATAATTCAAATGTTATAGTTTTACTCCTTTTATTTATTAAAACAATACACATGTTTATAGATCGCCCTGTAGTTCAGGTACCCATCACGTGGCCATTGGGTACCTATGGATTAATGAAGGCTACTAATGGTTGCCCAGGTGACAACACTCGCTGGCAGGAGGGTTGGAGGAAGTTCGATACAGAAGACACTTTTAGTTCCCATAATTCATTCTCGTCCGGGATTCAACATTACCTGTCAGGTATAAGCACTAGGCAGGTTATTATAATAAAATTTGCAATACAAATAGCTAATGACACCTTTATATATTGCAATGCTGTTAATTATCGCATTGCCGATAAAAATCGAAGCACTGTTAAATGCCATAACGCCGACATTTGTCATGAAACAGAAGTATATAGTTCGAGGGTTGGCAGCAAGACTGTTGTAAGTATTTCTTAACTTAAGTCACCGCAGTTTTGAAGTCAACTAGTATATCACTCTGAGCATGATTTGCAGGATTCACATTAAAAAAAATTCTGGAAACAAAGTGATGCCTCGGAAGCATTAATCACAACAAAATAACATAAGAATTGCAAACTCGGTTTGATTGAGTCTGTACATGAGGGATAATGTATAAGTGCAACATCCCTCACGCCCCCTAGCACCGGCTTGAGAGGCACTCAATTCTCAACACTTTATAGTGTTGGCATCAATGATCCCGAAGGACCAGAAAATATAACAACACTGAAGTGAGTTTTAAAAAATGACACAGCATGATTTAGAAAACGGCTACATAACAGGATAAATCTTTCTCAATATCGTTACAATGCTTGTTAAATAAATGGCGAAATATGCCGAAAGTCCAAGTAAAGACTCTGGTTGTATCAATGCCTTAGAAGAAATGCAATGTGATCGATACACTAGTATTAATTTGTGTATTTTTCAACAGGTGATTTTCACAGTAATGATATAATTACCCGATTTTGTATGAAGACGAGTGGACACAGTATAACAGGAGGTCATTATGACCAGCAGTGGCCTCGGGGATCTTACTGTCTACTGAAGAAAGGCTCATGTCCGTCAGGTATGTCAATTTTCTATACTACACGTGTCATGTCTGATTGTTCCTGTCAATGGAAAAAGGCGAAAGACCGAGAGAGGAAAATAAATATTCGATATGTTCTACCTTTCGCCTTTTTTGTCCCTTTTATACAATATGATTTTTCCATAGTAACGGATGTTGCATTTCGCGCATGCGCATTCGGCATATAACAAAAACGCTATAATGGGCAAGTAAATGCTCGTCAATACCTTTTATTTTAAATTATTATAAATTCCTTTATTATTTAATCTACTTTCGCTGGGAAGGGATTATAAATAATCTCTGATAATTCTACATTTTACCGTCATTCATCACATGAACATTTTTCTGACATATAACGTGGGAGGATGGATAGGATTCTTCCTAGGGTAAGACGGATGTATATTCTTACATTGCATACAGTGTTGTTTAACCGTTAGATGTTTCAGTAGTGGGTATATACTAACCATTAAACTGTATTGTTGTTTAACCGTTACAGGTTTCAGTAGCGGGTCAATATTTTGGGATGATGAAGATATAACTAACCATAATGCTGCAGGCGGTATTTTGCCTGATGGTACATACAACAAAAACACTAACATGTTTTTCTGCTGCAGGTATAGTAAGATTTAAATGTGCATACATTTTCACCTAACAACCTAATTGAAACGATCACTTGACATACTATTACCCTATGTGTTCCGTATGTCTGTCTGTTTGTCTGGCAGTGGAGTATTTTCACATTGGACATAGCGTTGTTTTCTCACATTGACAGGGAAAATTGACATTTCCCTTCAGATTGAAGTTTGCTTTTGCTTTTTACCTCAATCGAACCTAATTTGTTTTTTTTCCTGATGACAGTTTGTTTCTTTTGTTTGATAAAGATATTCAGGGATCGATGGCAAACCAAAAGACGTTTTTTTATCAATTTAAGTGTTTGTATTTTTGTTGTTGACATCTTTAGCTATGATCTGCTTTCTTTTCAGGAATGATGGGTCTTCATCTACTAAACTGTTATTGCCGACAGATCACACATTTGTACTGATCAAATATAGACAAAGCTGTCAATCAGTGTTCGGAATGAGCGTGCACGAAGTTTACGTGCGTTGGGACGACGAAAATACGTTTAACAAAGATAAATCGTCCGGAGCCCACCCCCTTGATGATGGCGGAAGTAAAGATCACAAGATTCATTTTTGTATTTATCAGAAACAATCCGGACCGGGTATCATTGGATAATCCTTTGCTTTGTGCACATTTCATTGAAATCTGTGATTAAGAAAATATAAAAACACATAAATTATAAGCATATTGATTTCTTTTTCTTTTTATAATTCATAATGTGTAGACTTATTTGTAGTTAACGTTTTTTTACAGATAAAAAAACAATGAAGTTCAGATGTTTTCTTGCTCTCCTTAAAAATGCGTTCACTCCTTGTTAAAAAGCATGGAATTTATAGTACAAATGTTGGTGTTAATGTACATGTCATTTAACCCTGGAATCTACGTTGTTTAATCATGCATTGCCTCCTAAATTCAGAATTGCTATCATAATTACATGTTAAATATATCATAGAGGGCTTATCACAGTAAAAACATGGAAACTAGATTGCAAACAATGCACATTTGAACAACATTCTTTTCTGAAAGAATGGCGGTGAATGTTGCTTTTTCTTGAAATAATTGACAGGGCAAATTTATTCACCTTTCTCTGAAATAACTCTGAAATAAGCAATTTAAAAATTATTTTATTTGTTAAATAATTGGAAGGAAATATTTTTTGAGGTAGGCCAATCAATATGAAATAGTGTACTGAATTCTAAGTTTAACTCTACGATTAAAAAAAAGGACCGTGGTACTAGTAGGCATTTTTTTAGAGATTTTTTTGTGTAAATACAAATTAAGGTTTGGCATGTTTTTATTAGAACAATCACTGGCTATCAATGGGTCATAGACGGGGTGATTAAAATCCTAACAATTATGTTATACATTATCATGTTAATTTACCCCCCACTATTGCATTCTAATTTCATTTCTTTCAAATACAAAAGTCGCCATGTAATAAAACTGTATAGTACTCATTAACAGTTCGTTTTTTGGTAGACACGGTGCAAGTTGTTCAGCACATTATATTCAAGGCAGTCTATATATAGTCTATTCCAAAGATCTTCAGAATTTTGAATTTTGCGGATATCGTAATTAATCATACCCACTTTTTTATTTTGACCTAAGTATGACTTGCAGCACCTGTGGTAAATTATTAAAATTATTACTAAGGCCTTTTCCTGTATCTGTGGTTAACTAATATCAACATCGCTAGCTGTAACTGCTTTAAACAACGATGTAATTAAATAATAAAACCGCTTGCTTTTAATTAATACTAAGACCGTTCGCTGTAAATGCAATCAATTAATACTGAACCACATTCTGTGGCTGTGATAAATTAATACTAAAACCGTAACTGCGGAAAACGACGATGTTATACTAAAACCACTTTCTGTAACTGCGGTAAATACTTAAACCGCTTTCTGTAACTGCGGTAAATACTTAAACTGCTTTCTGTAACTGCGATTACTTAAAACCGCTTTCTGAAACTGCTATTAACCAATGCTTAAACCGCTTGCTGAAACTGCGGTTAACTAAGTTATACTACTCTACTTTGAATTGCTATCATAACAAAGAGCTAGAGGTAACCAAACACAGTATTTTTTTTAGTATTTTTGAGCGATAATTACAGACATTTGACAACACATACATGCCGTTCTATCCAGTCTCTATATAGCTTTTGAATGCCTGGAATATAGTAGTATTTTATTATTGAAATCACCTTAAGAATTATATAATACACTGTTTCAAAATTCAAACCATAGCAAGTACATTACACATATTCATTGGAACAAGATTAAAAAACAAAACAACAAAATAAATTAAAATTAAAACATCTTGTCTTTGTGTTCGTAACTTGATTTTAATAAATGCCCATAGTGATGTTTACCCTGAGTTGAAAATTTATTTATGACAATTGAAAATTAGCCACTCCAACAATCTGTATCAAAAAGGCCCATACTTTATGAAGAAATCGATTAGGTTAAAGAGTATTCTGGTATGCTTAAATTACTCTACCTAAATTAAACCAAACCAAATAAAACAACACTTAAAAACTTTGAAAATGATTTTTTTTATGAATTAGCACCGTTTTGAATGAACAAGACCGTCTATCCGACTAAAACAGCTCCCTGGGCTGAGGGTGTTTCATAATAACAGTAATGCAGTCTATGGTTTTTGCTTCTGCCATCGTCCATCGGATGTGCCCCGTAATACCTGTCATGATTGTTCAAATCTTCGTCATCCCACTGGACAAACAGGTCACGTACAGTCATACCGTTAACGGCTTGACACGTTCCTTTGTAACGTACCAGTACAAACGGTCGGTCAGTTGGTAGAACTATCTGTGTACTTGGCGAGCCGTCATTCCTGGAAAATTAAAGACAAAGTGTTGTTAGCAACTTGTATAGAAGTGAATTAGTATTAGTTTCGTATAAAAATTTGAAAAACGTTTAGTTGAAAGAAGCAAAGAAGATTACCGCAGAGCGACTTAAACATAATTGAGCCGTGCCATGACATAACCAACATATTCCCTTTGTGACGAGCATTGATCCAGACCAGCCTGCGCATCCGCAAAGTCTGATCAGGATCCATGCTGTTCTCTTACAAGCCCTATTATAAGTAGAGAAACTGATAACGAACAGCATGGATCCTGATGCGCAGGCTGGTCTGGATTCATGGTGGTTGCAAACGCACTATGTTGGTTTTGTCATGGCGCGGCGCAAATTATCTGTGTTACAGAAGATATGTGTTATCATGAGACAAAAAGTTATTCTTACCATAAAATGACCACGTGAACAAACGAAAACCTGTATTTACTATTTAGCCAAACTGAACGAAGTTTGTTGTAACCTAAACATCTTAAATTTACTCATTATCACATATTCCTGAGGTCGAGGGGTTAGAGTCGATGACTTCTAATCCAGTTACCTCTCTGGCGTGGGTTCGATCCCCGGGAGATGCTTTGGTAGTTTAGCACGGAGGAAGGTTGTCTAGTACTGGTGTAACTCTCCAGGAACGATGGTTAGGAAACTACCAGCCTACATGACTGAAATACTGTTGGGAAAAGGCGTAAAATGAAACAAACAAATAAACAAAAAACATATTCCTGATACCTCTTTGGAATGAGAATGGTTGCTTTTCTCTAGCAAATATTTTAACATCATTCCATAAAATAAATAAATTAGAGTTACATTTTGTCAGATATATTTGATGAGAGGTCGTCAATATAACATTAAGGATAGGCACTTTATGGTGAACTCTTTTGATAAATAAATAAATTAATAAATAAATAAAAAATGGAGTGAATCGTAACTCCGGAGTTTCTTTACTATACAAAACATTTCTACTGATACGATGTAACCAGGGGCTCGTCTTATCAACGAGAACTTAAAGTTGGGTTAGTCCATATAGTGGAGATAAAAGTTTGTCTGTTGTGAATTATTTTATGTAGTAGCGGGCAGCTGAATAGAACCACTGACCATAGTCCTATATAAAGTAATTGGATATTTCGATACTTCCATACTTCCCTTACATGAAATAATTCCAAGTCCCTGGCTGGATTCGAGCCGAAGCGGTAAGAAGCAAGTGGTTAAATGTCGGCGACCTCAACACCTCAGCCAAAAACAACAAACAAAAAATCAACAACTTACCTGCAGCAGTAATATATTTTAGTATTCGAATCAAATACTCCCTCGGGAAGAGCTCCTCCTTTAGCATTTTTGTTGTGCAAGTCTTCATCGTCCCAGAAAATGTAGCCGATACTAAAACCTGTTCAAAAAAAAAACAAAAACAAAACAATTGGATAACTTATAATTGTTCCAACAGATAAAAGTACTTGATAAACTCTGTAGAAGTTATACAATATATAACAAAAGCATATTTTCAATGTACAATTTAAGAATTCTTTAGTAAGTACATGTATATCAATCTATAATTATGTAAGTATCAATTTCGTTTAAAATCTTATTTATATTGCCTGATTTGAATTTTTAGTTTATTTCAAATTTGCATTCAGGCCACCGGCCCATACACATGTATACATAAAATATAAACACAATAGCATAATGACATGACAGCTAGTTAGGATAATATAACATCGCATAATATACAGATTTACATAGAGTTGTATAAAGTACAATGACATGTTGTCAGAGCAGCATTTTAACCAATTTTCACAAAACATATAATTATGTAATAAGATTTAGCAACTGACATAAAGACATTTAAGATAAAGATTCATTTCGCAGTTTAAATGCATAATATAAAAACAATGATGAGTTTTGTATTGTCTTAACACTTTTGCATGACATTAATAAGTTAAATTTATGATTATTTGGATGTTCCCAATACTTATTTGGTATAAATTGTTGACGTAGATTATTATATAAAGGACATTTTAACAGAAAATGAAATTCGCATTCAATTTCATATCGACAGTGTATACAAAATCAGATTTCCCTTGGAATACCAATATGTCTTCCTTTCTCTATCATCAATTGATGAGAGGATGACCTAAAAGCAGCAAGACTACTCCTAAATTTCAATATATCTATACAGTCCAGATATTTTTCAAAATTAATATTACATTTAAAATTTCTATAGAATACTAGCTTTCTGTTTTCTAAACACTTACTGTTCCAATTTTGCATGTACTGATCTTTTAATCTATTTACATAAAGGGTAAGGAATAAGTTTGCATTTTCAACCTTTTGTTGTTCCCAAATAAAGCCAAAACCATTCTTATAGAGATTTAATCGTAGAGTTGTCACCCAATTTAATAATTATTTAAGAATTATAGATGCAAATTCAATTAAAAAGAAAGTGGAACAATGACTGACCCATAATTATCTAGGTAGCAATTTCGCTTAATTCGTCCTAAAAACATACCGTTGGAAAAAAAATATTATTCAGTAGAAATATCATTGACATAGTAAGCAAGTGAAAGTATCACTTAAAAAGTCAGTAGGAAGAGATGTCGTTTAAAATTCCACTAAGTAAACATTCAATGAGTACAAAAATCGCTTTAAAGACATTAAGTAGCAAAATTATTAAAAACTTATTTAAAGAACTCCACTGAGGTCAAAATGTTTTAAAACATAAAATTCAAATAGATCAGCTGTTCCCTTAAAACAGAAAGATATACAAAAGTAAATTAAGAAATATACTAATATATGACATGAAAATCACATTTTTTGTGCTGTTCCTAGCCCGTTTGAGTGAAAAGCGTTGCAACAAATATTTTTTCCTCTTAAGAAAGGGCTACTCATGATTTTCATAAAGCTTAAAGAACGGTTTAAGAGCATGTTAATGTTTATCACCTGCACAGAGTAGCTCAATGTGAATGAAGTTGTAATATTAGTAGAAAAACGTAAACAAAGCGGTATTTTTATTTCCATCAATTAATCTGTATAAAATGCCAAGAAGCAACAGAAGCAAAAGACGGCTCAGGTAATTGGACGATGCGTTATTTTAAGTAACATGACACCAAAAAAAAAAAAAAAAAACGCTTTTGAGAAACCGAAATAAAGCATTTCTGGGACATAATGGGACTTTAACTTTGGCGAAAATTACGTAACAATAATTGCATGTAGGAACTATATCGTTTAAAAGTTTGTTTGCCAATATCACTTCAAGTATAGCAGTAGTTATATTGGTTCATTTTTAATAAGCAATATAGTTACGTCGAATTTCATTTGATAAGCTTCTACGTACACTACTTAATTTACATTTAAATGCAAATGCAGTATTATGTCATTTGACAGGTTCTATGCCTGTTCATAAGCGGCCGTCTGCTTTATAACATTCGCCCAGCGGCCCGGTGTACCGCCGTTTATACCGCCAGGTTGACCAAATTAGCTGTCAAATATCTTTATTACTATGTATGACTTACCAGAAGGGCAGCTACCTTTCTTCAAGACACAGTACGATCCCTTCGACCATGTTTGATCATACTGGCCGCCTGTCATACTGTGGTAGCTAGTTTTCATACAGAATCTCGTAAGTATATCAGCACTGTGGAATTCACCTGAAATACACGGACTGTATACAAAAACACGAACATATTATACTGACTAACTTTTAAACTGCTTATTTTTTCGTTCTCCAACCAACCCCGCCTATTAAAACAGAAATAAGATGAGGGAAAATCAGTCTTGAACTCGATTCGCAAAGAGTTGACTGAAATAGGGAGTTTTATTGAAAATGCCTCAACTGGCATTAATACAAACTTTTACACAAAAAACATGTTATATTAATTTGAGGGATGATTAATCTATAAAATCTTGTAAGTAATTTCGGCTTACTCCTTGGGTAATAGTATTTTCTTCTATTGTTGCATACCAAAACGTATGTGTTATTCAATTATACACTATACAGTCCAACGTTGGTTATTCGAATTGCCAGGGACTGAAAATTTACTTCGAATAATCGATGGTTTCGAATAATCGAAATCCTCATATTGTGATAGACAAAAACTACCATTACCGTACACCAGTTTCATGCATGAATTCGTAAAGCATGAACACTGGTAAAATATAAAATTCAATAAGTCGCTCTCTTGAAACCATGGTCTTTTATGGTTATTTCTCAAAATGTTTCCAACCAAGAACGCATTTCTAATTAATATGAATATTATACACTGACTGGATAGAAGGTCTCACTACAAACTATATTCACTTGATATGTAAAGTTAGAGGTTTTATGCGCCCCTTGGTCTCACGTTCAATTTCCAACAACCCATTCTTCCAATTAATGTTATTTTGGTACAAGTATATGATTCGTACGACAGTGAAAGGTAGCCCAACTACGCGATGAGAGATTATGCTACTTTTTGTATAGGCAATATCTCTCTAAAGCGAGGCTCTGACCCAAAACAAATGTATCTCAGAATCCAGCTCTGGTACATCGACATTTTTTTACTACGTTTTCACTTTGCTGTTGTTAAAATATAACCCGTATAATTTTTGTCTGTTTGTTTGTTTTTGTTCTTGTTTTTTACGAAAACAAACTAGAAAAATTATGAAACCTGATAAATAATGTTGAATTCCTGGTGAATATGAATTTTTGGGATTAAGATCCTCGGTGTCTTGTTTCCTGAATCCCTCTTGCCAGTATACGTTGTCAGCCGGACATCCACTGGTCGCTTTCATTAGCCCGTATGTTCCAACTGGCCAGGTGATCGGCACGTGAAGAGTATGACGATCTAAAAAAACAATTCACTTCAATAACTGCTGAGCGGATTTTGTTACAGAAATTAAAACAATTGTCTTTTAATCCTTTATTTCTCCATTTAACATATCTATTAATTAATTAATTTATTTATTTATTTATAATTATTTATTTATTTATTTATTTGTTAGTTAGTTCAAATGCGATTTTTTTAGATTTGAAGTGATGATGTATGCAGGAAAAGAACCCTTTCAAATTTATTTTATCAAAGTCAATGACATTATCAATACGCGGTTTCAAAAGTGGCCTATATCTTTTTGAGATATGTGGTAAAACTTGCATATTTTACGTAAAATTTGACTGCCAAATCTTACCAAGAAGTGGAGGATTTGTTGTCACGTGATTAGTTGCCGTGTCCTTGAAACCCGGATATTGATTTAGAGCTATTTTTATATTGAACCCATATTTTCCCACACCAATTGTCTTGATAGCAGAACTACAAACTCCTTCATCAACAAGTTCGTCAATTACCTTGAAATAAATAAACACGCCCATTCTAACAAAAATATAATAAGACACACCTACAAACACGCTTAATTAAAATTATTAAAATGTTGTGAATTCCATTTTGACTTTTTGAATACATGGACAAATATACAAACTTAAGGTCCAAGTTTAATGAATTAACCCTCCAGGTCTTTTTGTTTGTTTTGATTTTTTTCAAATTTTGGAGAAAAAATATCTACTAACACAAACCTTACAAACAATAATATGAAACTGAAACTTGCTTTAATTGATTATATATCTTAAATGCATTTTGTAAAAATTGACATTCACATTAACAACTCACCGAGTTCCAGTATTTTGGATCTAAAGCATCAACGATAGAAACCAGCTCTGCTGCGATCGGAACTTGGTGAGTAGATGAACCGACCGATGCATGGTGAGGACTTCCGAATGTACCGGAAACTGCTGAAGCATTTGACGCTTTGCTGTGCGTGTAGTCATGGGTGTTGATTACCACCGATGACGTAAAATTCAGATATTTTCCTCCTTGTTCAACAAGATCATTATCCTAAAATGAAGGCAATGATAATAAACTCAAATACTCAGATATGATTTAGGAGCATGGCTTTATAACGCCTTATTATTTCTATTTTGATAGAAAAGCCATATACACTTCCTATTTAGTTGTTTCTTACAAATATATGCAAGACCTACTCTCTTATTTGATTAAGAATAACTTGATATCTTACCACAGTCTAGTACATTCTTATATTTTTTCCATATACATAGAATCTTGTTTAAATGCAATACATGTAATTAATATTAATTGCGAGAGAAAACAAAAGCCGTTAGCTCAACAATGTTACCATCCCGTCAAAGCCTTCTTCTGTGCACGAGACTGTTTTCTGTAAAAAGCAGTATCCCTAACTCAACCTTTAACCCTTTATTCAGTAACTTCTGTTATGTAATATGTCTAGCTTACAATTTCTGCATTGAAATAGCAAAAAAAAAGCAACAAAAACCTAAAAAAAAGACAAAAAAAAAGACAAAACAAAAAAAAAAACATAAAAATTATAAAAGGGGAAAAATAACAAAGTAAACATAAAACCAAAACACTGTTACATGATATTTCCAGCAGCAATGCTTGTGTAAAAAATCTAATTTATATTGGACTTTTTTACCGTTCGTTGAATGTGTTGGTATACTTTTACAGGTGTCGTCTGGTAACTGTCTATTGTCTTTGTTCCCATGTCAACGCTCGTGACGATACTCTGAAATTTTAATGACGTCATCAAGTTATTACAATCATTCCTCAGATATTAGAACATAACACACAAAAAAGTATCAATTTAAAGTAAATCTTCATTCACAAGCGTCGCATGTAGAGAAAATAAATGTTCACGTTAATCCCTCATTTTGTCATTCATAAAACTTACTGAACATAATTGATTTAAATGAAGCTTTTTTAATTGGAAAATAAGGTTTATATCTAACAAACTTTTTATTATTACCCTGGTCCAAAACGGTAGAAATAGAAAAAGTCCGAATCACTGCAGCAGGTTGGATACACAATCGCTATCTGGACACCATAATAAGATTATCTAATTGACTTGGTAGCGCGAGGACAGACGGAAAGTTAACACCTGTATCGCTTTCATTTCCCCGCACTAAAGGGTATGCGGCAGTGTTTGCAAACGAGTGGTACTTAATGATTGTTTAAATGAAAATGCATATAGATATCTGCTATTACATGTAATTACACCGCTGTGTGTTTGAATCCCAACAGGGACTTTGGTTTCTTTCATGTGAGGAAGCTATCCAGCTAGCTTACGGAACGTCAGTGGTTCTACTCAGGTGCCCGTTCGTGCCTGAAATAGTGCAGGGAAGGGCACCTGAAGTCTAAAGCGGGAACGTCGCCGAATGACCTATGCTGTGTCGGTGTGACGTAAAACCAAAACAAACAAAACATTGATTTGTTTATAAGCAATGGTGATGGCCACTCACCGTTCCCCATTTGTCCAAGAACTTCATATATTTCGGATTGCTGAGGGAGTTAAAATCGATGGGCAGGGAGCATACATCCTTGGCGAACTCCTTTGTCACTGTGAAATGTCCAGCTGCAGCATTGTCCATGTTATAGCGGACAGTTCCATATTTACATGTTGTTATCGAGTGCAAATATACATTATTACCAGAACTACTGTCTAGGGATTTTCTAAGAGCATGGAATTTAGAGTTAAAAGTAAACGCTGATTCGGCCACGTGAGCGTTGTGATCCGCTGAAAATAAATTTATGAAAACAAATTTATATACATGTAGATGATTTGATTTTGTGGTCCAAAGCAAGCTTCTAAAAACTTTAATGTTAAAGTGTTTCCAGATCAGTCGCGTTTTTACTGAGAACAAATTATAACTGAATAAAAATGCAGCAAAAAGTTTTTATTTTCTCTTTACATGTTAGCAAAATTGTATTTTTATAGCACTTACGACTTGGTTTTATGTACTCTTTGAGTTCGTTTTGGTATGCCTTAGAACCATATATCAGCATTGGCTTCCTGTCCTGAGTACAGCGTGATTGTTTCACATACGTAGCTTCTCGCACGGAGCTCGAGTTTCCCGTCAGCTGTGTGAAATATATAAAACACGTACACGTACAATAATTTAATGAAACTGTATATGAGCGGCGTCACGACAAAACCAACACAATGCGTTTGCGACCAGCATAGATCGAGACCAGCCTGCGCATCCGCGCAGTCTGATCAGGGTCCATGCTGATTGCTTGCAGTTTCTCTACTTGTAATAGGGTCTGTAAGCGAACAGCATGGATCCTGATCAGATTGCGCGGATGCGCAGGCTGGTCTGGATCCATGCTGGTCGCAAACCCATTATGTTGGTTTTGTCGTGACGCGGCTAATATTTATGCGTTTTTCTGATGCTCCAACAACTGTATAATATTGCCACTTTTAGCATATTTCCTATGTTATCTTTGTCTGGTTTTATCTGTATTCCAAAAGTCTTTAGGAAAGGCTTAACGTTGGAAGAGCTTGTTATTTAACCCATTCGTTGTTGTTAATTTTATTATTATCTACACTTACATTGTATATGAAGCAATAAAATAGTTCTAAAACTATTGCGTACTATTTTCTTATAAATTTCGATTGGACTGCATCTGAAAATAATGTTACGTAATTTGCATACAATGTACTCACCTCAAAGATACGCTGTTTCGTCAAGAGACCAGGATCTGGTACTGTGTTTGGGTAACCTGTTAGCAGATTGTAGCTTACCCCAACATACTGATATGGTGTTCCAGTCACATTAGCTATAATGTAAAAATATCAATCATTGATATTATGATTAACACTTCTTGAACGCTGGGGACGAAATTTGTAACCCAATGCAACCTCTATAGGGGCACGGATGGTGCCTGCTAATATTTGTCTGCACTGGTTACATGGGCCGGATCAGTTGCCGGCAGTTGGCTAAGAGTTAATCGCCCTTATTCTTGACGACACATAAAAAATGCCATATGACACTTGACCATCCAGTTTAGGATACATTGCATGCAACTACTGTGTCCAATAACAAAAACAAATTATTGGACGACTATATGCTAGTGCTACAAGTCAAAAGCAGTATGCAGAAGTAAATACTAGTAGTTAGGTAGTTAGTCTTGACTAAACCGTACTTTTAGTTGTATAATCTGACTTGTCAAAATGTTCGATGAAAAGTGTGACCAAAATACGAGAACTACCAATATAGCAGCTCAGATTATAAATTCAGTTTCTAAAGATTTCTCCTAACTTCGAGCACCTGCTTTCAAGTTTCTTAACTAAGTTGATTTCATTTTTTAAATCGTATATATTACGGTTATAATTATTACCTTCCGTGTTCCAATAACTGCCGTAATATTTGAACATCGTGGTTGTAGGTTTAGGGGTGGTAGTTGTTGTTGTCGGCGTAGTGGTTGTTGTAGTGGGCGTGGTTGTTGTAGTAGTAGGCGTTGTTGTTGTTGACGTAGTCGTTGTTGTTGTTGTAGTGGGCGTGGTTGTTGTTGTAGTAGGTGTAGTTGTTGTTGTAGTTGGTGTGGTTGCTGTTGTAGTGGCTGTGGTTGTTGTTGTAGTAGGTGTGGTTGTTGTTGTAGTGGGTGTGGTTGTTGTTGTAGTAGGTGTTGTTGTTGTAGTGGGTGTGGTTGTTGTTGTAGTAGGCGTGGTTGTTGTTGTAGTGGGTGTGGTTGTTGTTGTGGTCGTCGTAGGCATTGTAGTAGTTGTTGTTGTGGGGGTTGTCGTTGTTTTCAGCATGGTGGTAATAATTGAAGCTTTAGTCGTGACAGGTACTGTAAAAGTAATAAAAATTAAAACATCGATTGTAAGAAATGCTTTATTATACTTTAAAATAAAGGCATATTTTAGTGATACGGAAGACATGAACTGTCCTTAATATTTATACAGTTGTACATATGATAACTAAACAATCAAAAACATACTGAATTCGCAGTCTGGTCTGGATCCATGCTGGTCGCAAACCCATTATGTTGGTTTTGCCGTGACGCGGCTCAATTTAATTTTTCACAATAAAAATACTTACTTAGATCCATAGCCGGCGGTTGTCCAGGACAAACTTGCATCCGTACTTGTTGATCCATCTTTATAAATCCAACCTGTATAAAATCAGGACACATAATTTTAGTAAACTGTCTAAAACCTTTAAAATTACAAGACTTATTTATTTCCAAGTAAAATTATTTATGAGTTTTCACGTCCCTTTATCCTCAATTATTTGTTTTGGTCGTCAGACCAAACAAATAATGGTAGCGAAATTTCAGTATCTAATGCTGTTAATTGCAAATGCCGAAAGCAGTCCGCTTTTTTGAAGCGGTTACTTCTCTTTATCTGTACACTAACGCCGAAAAATTCAGGGGAGATCACTGCGTAAAGATGGTCAAATGACAGGCGCATTAATTTTCAAGCAAAATAATTCCCGAATGGTCGAAGAATTCTAATATTGTTTATTCTTTATAGATATACATGCTTATAGTAAGCGTCATGATTATTTACACAAGTGTTAAACAACAGTTAGCGTCGTTACAAACCCTAATTTAGAATAATATGGTTTTCTTCAGGCATACATTATACATTCATTGTGGCCGAGGGGTTTGCGCGCTCGCTTAGGAAGCGAGCGGTCTGGAGTTCAAATCCCAGTTAAGGATACTTATTTTTTCCCCAAATTGTTTAAGTCAAATAAACATTGGATTGAAGATCAGTGTTGCAATTAGTCTTTTAGCCATTTAACTACAATTAAAACACTGGAAAGCATTGGTGGCACTATACAAAAACAAATTGGTTTATAATCTTACAACCTTCACCTTTCTGACATTCTGAGACACAAACAAATTCAGCGCCTTCTGTGCTTTGATTTATTTTTGGCATAGCTATAAAGTATTCAAAGATTCACTTGCAAATTACCTGAACAATTTCTTTTCTTCTGCTGCTTTTTTGCCATAAGTTTATTTTTAGTAATCTTGTATTTTGTATGGGACTCAAATTAAAAGTACATGTTTTACTTTGTTTATATCAAGCTACAATTATTACAAATTATTTTACATTAAGCTCTTCTTTCTACAGATAACAAGCAAATACAATGTATGCTCCAAAAACCTTCATTTTAACGTTATAAAATTCATGCTTTCTTTCTATACGTTCATGTAAATAATTTGTTTTCTGAAGACATACATATACCTCTGATACTGGTCATGTTGATACAGGTATTACAATAAAAGGTCATGTTTAATTTTATTATATTTTTTAGCCTTATCTGTTATTTTTCAGCAATTAAGTTTCATTTGGGTTTGTTAAGAAAGACTTTTTGATAGTGAAATTGTCTAAACGTAAAACGTTTACTACGAGCATTAGGCATCTGATATTACGAAAGACCGGTGGTGACATTTCACGTTCACGAATTCATGATTTCAAGACTTTAATATTTCATTATTTTTAGAGTGAAATATTGAATTTTTATATCGTGAATTCATAATTTCACGATTTCTCTTAAAAACCTAAATAAATGAAATAATGAAATCGTGAATTCATGAATTCATAATTTCATTTTTTAAGTGAAATCGCGAATTTATGAATTCGCGATTGCATTATTTCACGATTTCACTTTAAAAAATGAAATGGTGAATTCGTGAATTCATGATTTCACGATTTCATTATTTTATTTATTCAGGTTGTTAAACAGAAATCGTAAAATTATGAATTCACGATATAAAAATTCAATATTTCACTCTAAAAATAATGAAATATTCTTGAAAGTCTTGAAATCATGAATTCGTGAACGTGAAATGTCACCACCGGTCTTTCGTATGATATAGCGATGGTTGATTTATGTAATGTACGATTTTCGCGTGGCCATACAAACGATGAATAGTCTTGGACAAGAAAACATGACAAATGACAACCTTGCTTTGTTATGTTTGTTTGTTTGTTTTTTTGTTTTTGTTGTTTTCTTCCTCCGCTTGCCTTTTCACCTAGTGCACTAAAAATTTCTTGTTTCGGGTCAGGTTTATAGCTACTCACCCCACCTCGTCACCTCCTGAACACGTTGTTTTAACAAATATCGGATAGCTTCTGTTATATTAAGAAAAGATTAGACTTAAAGGATTATAGGCTAACCTGTTGTTCAAACTGTATTTTATACCAATTGTCGCCGGCATCTTGTACGGACATCACGGGTTTACAGTCAAACTCGTATAGATAGCCATAAGGCTGACCATTCTCGTTTGCCGACGAAAATACCGCCTTCTCAACATTGTAGTTACATAAGCAATCGTAATCGCCGACGACAAATACCGACGACAACACCGACGCTAGTACTGTAGTGAGTAACAGCCGGATCATTCTATAAATAGAAATACATCTTACAGGCTTATTAAGTAATTTTTAACATATATTTTCATTTTCAATAGCTTTTTTCTTTTCAGTGTCTTGTTGCGATTTGTTAAAGGTTCTAGGTGATCTAGTATTTTAAATGGAAAGTAAAGTATCACTTTGATTACATAGTGCTACATTTGTAGCAAATACCTTCACATTCAGCGTTTTCTTTTCTACAAATATGATAAGCATCTCACATGTTCATCACAACACAATTATAGAACACATGTTTACCGAAAGAAAGATCTATTCAATATCCAGGCTAGATGTACCTTTAACGACCTGTTCCATCTTAAACCAAAGTTATGGTAACTGATATAATATTATGTTGATAACGGATATTATATAGATAATAATTATGAAATTGATTACGAATTAAGAATCGATTAATTTATTTATATAACTGATTTATTGGATTCGTCACGTGATCAAATATTACTGTAATGTTAATGTTATTCTTAAATTAATTAATGTTATGGAGACATACAAATTATAACTTTCTCGAAAAAGGAATGACAAATTTTGTGTTTTTATATAAAAGAAATGATTGATCGCAATACGTTTTGAGTAAACAGTGAAATGGTATTAATTTATTACCTATATGCATAAATTAGTTAAACATCCGCAATTTATTTTTTCAAAAATATTCCGCGATTAGCACTTAATAATTATAATTCATGCAGTCACAATATACGTGCAACATATCTAGCCTGGTGCAACGTGTATAAATAATTTGGGATGAAAGTTGTAATGTCAAGTGAACGTCTGTATCATCCTTAGATACGCAAACGTCTCTAAGATAATAAGAGTGATATGTCGGTTGATTACATGTTAAATTGTTTATTAACTGATATGTACCATAATCTTGAGTTATATCAAAACTTACATTGGGATGAGATACAGTTCACTGTACTTACTGTATACAATGTTTAGCTATGATTAATTAATGGATTTTACTTTTTTTTCAAACATCATCTCACAGAAGTACTTTATTAGAACTTCTATATACCGTTACGTTTTTCATTGAATAGTAAATTCCGCCGAACGTTCCATTAGCGCTATATGATACATGTAGGGACATTATTATTTTTCAGTGTAACGCTATTTAGACAGTCACATTTATAATTATGTCAAGATATTCAATTATTTCCATTATTATACATTGTAATTTTTTATTTTGCACGAAAACCACAGACCAGTGTTAGTCATTAATTTATAGTCGTTTTGAATATTACATGTCCCCACACACGGGTATTGGTACAGATTCTTGTTGATTCTTTGAAATGGGAAAAAAACACGTTTTGTAAACTGATGTTTGACGCAACCTGGATTAAATTGTATTACATTTCTCAGCAAAATTACGGTATTCAAAGTAAATTGTAATTGATTTCCGATACACTTTTCTCCATCTTTAAATTTCGTATTTGGTTATAAATTAGAATTGATTTATCAACTCAATAGAGTATCAGCCGGAATAGCTCAGTTGGGAGAGCGTTAGACTGAAGATCTAAAGGTCCCTGGTTCGATCCCGGGTTCCGGCGTGAACGGAATGTTCGGCGGCTGATCAAACATTTTTTTTTACTACCACTGTGTGAATAGTGCAGGGAAAAAGAAATATCTACACGTTTCGAAATGCACAAAGTGACATTATGCTCTTTTAATCATTGTTTTTTTTACTATATATTTCAATAAACTGGTCGTTATAATGGTGATTGACCAACAAATAAAACATAAATGTTTAGAAAAAGACTGCCCCACTCTTATTATACATTGAAAGTTACAGATACATTTAGACAGATAATTATACATATTTCACAGGGCCTAATGAGTTATTTATCGTTCATGTGAAGTAAATTATAATATTGAATGACAAAATGAATTATGAGAAAATGTTAACTTATTTTGACTTTTACGTGTTCACTCTATATCTACCCATGGATGGACATAATGTCACTTTAAGGTATTTTCAATGTACGGTAAGTGACTGAGGCACTGAAAAATACTGTAATTGTAAAGTAGACAACATTTTAACTCAATGGTAATAATTTTCATAAAATTGACTGAAAGATGAAGGGCTTGATGCTTTCATGAATAATTCATTTCAAATGAATGTTTTTCTATTTCACACACTGTTTATAATCAGAGATAAATTGATTAAAACAACCAGACTGAAAATTCGCAAACGCTTGTATCTATACATGAACGTGTATAATATTATGATGATGGATGATGAAGATGGACGAAGGCCACGCAGATAGTTACTCTTGCTGCATCTTTAAAGATTTTAAATAACGTGCTCATGACAATAGGCCTATTAGCCCATCAATAAATGATAAGACTAGAACACGTGTATTTCTGACATAAAAACGCCAAGTATTTCAAAAGTAAAGTTTAATATTGTATAAACTTGTGTTCTTTCAGCGTTCAGTCTTACCTTTTAAAGAAATTTTTTTTTCAATGAAGTCCCACTAAATCACCTTGTTTTTGGAAAGACTTATCAGATTATTAGTTTAAACGAAGGTCAAGTTATAAGCGAGTCTCCTCATTCAATCGGCACATGGACACTGTTTGGCTTAACTATATCTCACGACCAGTTGCAAAAAAATGAAGATCTACACTTGCATTCTTTAAGCATGTATTTTTATGCGTACAGCCGCAACAGTGGTAAGAATATGACTTTCTAAAAATATTTTACATCTATATGTATAATTTCTTCACACTTTCTATCCATACCGTTTACAATTGAGAAAACAGCATTGATTCATTCGCGTTGACAATTGAACAAACTTGATGTGATCCGTGTTGATTTAGAAATTATGGTCCACGACAATGTAGTTTCTTTTTCTTTTACTTTATTAAAAGGGCACAGTCTGTAAGGACAATTCTGTCTGTGGAAGCGATGAATGTTGTTACATCCGACCAGCCTTTCTGATTGCAAGCAGACGACAAGCTAGTATACTTCCGGTACAACCAACACAAAGTGACACTGGTAATTATCTTAATAAGTTTCATATTCTTTATTAATTAGCATTTTCTTTTGACATATGTTTTAATACTTGTAATTAAAACGAAAACGTTATACAGAATCTGTACATGGCTCAAAAGAGCCACAGTTTCCTGTCTGAATTCGGTGAGGAAAAAAATCTTGGCTTCCAAGAATACTTAGTATTCTTGATAAATACTAGGTGTTCTATTAGTTTAGGTGTATGTCTCTTCACACATGGACAGTGGGTTCAAGTCCTATATCGGAGTGTAACCTTTTTTCTGTAAAGTGACATCAGTACAGGTAACTTCCAGAAAGCAGATTATAGAGTGCTTTACTTTAACATAATCGAGATAAACTTTTATAAGTATGTTAAACCTTGCGTAACAATTATAATTTATTGTAGGAGTTTGTGATAATACCGGGTAGAACATGAGCACTGTGGGCCTCTTGAACAAGCTAACGGACATTGTGGGTGCGGCTCGGGTATGTCATGCCAGTTCGTTCCGGACACGGTGGTAACAGCTCAACCATTAGTATGTCATGCCAGTTCGTCCCGGACCCCGTGGTAACAGCTCAACCATTAGTATGTCATGCCAGTTCGTCTCGGACCCCGTGGTAACAGCTCAACCATTAGTATGTCATGCCAGTTCGTTCCGGACCCCGTGGTAACAGCTCAACCATTAGTATGTCATGCCAGTTCGTTCCGGACCCCGTGGTAACAGCTCAACCATTAGTATGTCATGCCAGTTCGTTACAGACCCCGTGGTAACAGCTCAACCATTAGTATGTCATGCCAGTTCGTTCCGGACCCCGTGGTAACAGCTCAACCATTAGTATGTCATGCCAGTTCGTTACAGACCCCGTGGTAACAGCTCAACCATTAGTATGTCATGCCAGTTCGTTACAGACCCCGTGGTAACAGCTCAACCATTAGTATGTCATGCCAGTTCGTTCCGGACACGGTGGTAACAGCTCAACCACTAGTGGTCAGCAAAAAGAGGAGAGGAATATACGTTCCAGGTCCAGGGTCGTTTCAATGTGAAATGAAATCATAAAATCAAATAAATGATAAAAATCTAGTTTTTGATTCATTGCCTTTTTTGCCCAGATAACATTTTTCTTATATTTACTAAATGTATTGCATGAAAAACACAAATTTAATCCAGTTTATTAAAAGGTTGACCAACTACCGGAAGTTCATTTACACAGGAACTAGGGATCGAACCAGGAACCTTCCGATTCTCAGTCTCACATTCAGCAAACTGACCTATTTCGATTAGGAATTCTGACGGTTAATTATTGTCTGTTTTATAATGAATAATATATATACGTTTTCGCAAGTTTGATCATTAATTGATATTTTTGTAAATTTTGTAAAGATTTACTTATTTTGTAAAACTCTATCTGTAATGAATATTGATATGAAATGCAATAATTTTCAAGAAAAAGTAAATATATCAGCATGGCACAAATAAAATAATTTCACAGTCATGAGCATTTTGAAGTCACTAAATTATCATATAAAGTGCCTAAAGATGCACATGTAGCCCTTATTATGTTTGTAACGGTTTAGAAAGTTAGAATGTTTCTAAAATAGTCAATAAAAGATCTCATGTAAAAGTCGTAAATGCTAAAATTTTGTAAATATTCTATGTAATTCTTCAAATTAAAAAAACATGTTAATTGCCTTTAAACAGCGTTGGATTAAATATAAACGAAAATACAATTACTTCTAGCGGATTAAGAAAAAGAGTTGATCACCGCCGAAAATTCCCTTCAGGGGCCCAACCGGGAGAACCCCAGGCCCTTTAGATTTCAGTCTAACGCTCTCCAACTAGCTTTTGGGCTGATAAATAATGAAATAGAAAGTACGGGGTAATAGCGAATATAACCCTTTTTACGTGGTATTTTTGTATATTTTGAGCAGTTTCACGTCTTAGAATATACACATAGGATTCTTTTAAGAACTGCAAAGATATCTTTTCATTTAATCAAACATCTATCGAATAGTTAATGAAAATGTTACCTCAAAGGCAATAATTTTCAAGACTAATGGAAAAATAAATATATCAGCATGGCACAAATAAAATATTATAAGAGTCATGAGCATTTTGAAGTCAGTAAATTATCATATGAAGTGCCTTAATATGCACATATAACCCTTATTATGTTTGTAAACGGTTTAGAAAGTTAGAATGTTTCTAAAATAGTCAATAAAAGATCACGTGTAAAAGTTGTAAATGCTTAGAATTTTATAAATATTCTATGTAGTTCTTCAACTTAAAAAAATCATGTTTTTTGCCTTTAAACACAGCGTTGGATTAAATATAAAATTCTCTCTGTCCGTGACTGCTTTTCTAACTTTCGTGAGTGTTTGTTGTAAACTGTATGTATGATAGATATTGATATATGAGACGAAAATACAACTACTTCTAGCGGATTAAGAACAAGAGTTGATCAGCCGCCGAACATTCCGTTCACGCCGGAACCCGGGATCGAACCAGGAACCTTTAGATCTTCAGTCTAACGCTCTCCCAACTGAGCTATTCGGCTGATGAATAATCCAATAGCTAAAGTACTGGCTGGTTATAGCGAATATAACCATTTTTACGTGGCATTTTTGTATATTTTGAGCAGTTCACGTCTAAGAATATACACATAGGATTCTTTTAAGAACTGTAAGATATGTTAAACAATTCAAATTCGCATCCCCAATTAAACTCTTTTCAATAAATCAAACTTCTACATAATAGTTAATGTAAATGTTAAC